ATAAAAATTGATTGCCATGCAAATAAAAATTCAACGATTTCCTTGAGCACGTCCAAGTCGTCATCTTCGTTGTTAGGACCTACATTTTAAAATCGCTTTTTTTTTTAAATCGCTCTACCCAGACAAAAACTTTTTTGTTTTGTTTTGTTTTGGCCTTAACTCGCTTTTCTAGAAACGCGGAAAATATCAAAGCCGCTTCCGAGACAGCCAATCATGAAGTGCCGCAGGTGGGGCCCCAACAACTTCCGCTCCGAGGGAAGCCTAACCAACCTGACACCTTCGAAGTCCGAGGGTTCAGGACTGTTGTAGGAGGACCTTCTTAAAGCTGTTCAATTCAAATATATCACATTTTAATTTATACATTCAAACCAGGGACCACAAGAATCATTTGGTGTTTATACCCGTTACTCGTAGAGTAAAAGGGTATATTAGATTCGACGGAGAGTATGTTACAGGAAGAACTATGCGTTACCAACCATATAATGTATACATATATATTATTGATCAGAATCACTAATCGAGTCGATCTAGCCATGTCCGTATATCTGTCTTTCTGTCCGTATGAACGCTGTGATCACAGAAACTATAAAAGCTAGCAAGTTGCGATTTGGCATTCAGATTCTTAAGGTTCTTGCGCAGCGCAAGTTTATTTCAGCAGAATGCCACACTTACATACACCCATAATGCACGCGTTGTGTGCGTCTAGCGCCCACATTTTTGAATATTTTTTAAAAGTGTCATTTTAATTTGATTATCAATAACTTTCTTCAGAACAAAAATGGTTAAAACAGGAACATTCATTAAAAAGTTATAAGCAAATAAAGAATTTGACGCTAGATGGCGCTGTTGATAGGTGCGCAATTTTGGGCAGTGCTGTCATGACTCAGGTAAAAAAACGGACAGATCAGCTAAAAATACGGAAAAAGGGACAAAAAACGGACAGAAGAAATCATTATCCCTTACCCCGATGCGTATATAATTATTGATGGAAAAAGGTCTGAGGAAAAGCCGTTAGATACGTACACATTTCTTTTCGGTTGATTTAATTTATGCATGATTTTTATGCACTTTAAAGCCAAATAAATTTGTTTGTAAACTAAACATAAGTTTTCTGTTTTAAGATTATTTTATTTATTGATTTATTCTCAGGTTAAAAGGCAATTGAAAAATTACCTATGTGTCTTATTAAAATCGAAGCAGTCATTAAAAACTTATAAGCAAATAATAATAAATATTTTGCAATTCAGGCAAGATTGCACACCACATGCAGCAAATTAGCTGTTTTCACTAATACGCCACCAAGCCGCTAGGGGCGCTATAGGTTAGTTGGCACTAAAGGGTATGTGTTTTAGTGAAAAAATCCCTCTCGCACTACCGTAAGCTCAGTAACGGGTATCTAATAGTCGAGGCCATCGACTATAGCGTATTCTCTTGTTTTTGTATTTAATCTTCTGAAATCTCTTCCTTTAAAATACATTTTTTTGAAGACTGCATTTTTAATTTCTTTAAATAAAATCAAATTAAATTTATAAAAATGTAGGTCTTTTGAAATATATAGAGCGTGGTATTCCTAAGAGTATAAGTTAATATGGGCCGTTCTTTTACAAACCGAACACCTTTTTTGGGTCACATTTTTGAATTGCCTGAAACTATTTTTACGTATACTCTTCGATAGCTACATAAGTAAACATATGTAAAAGGATTTTTCCGAAAAAACGACTATTTTTTTAGTTGGAATTTTTTAAAGCTTGCAAAAGAGAATCAAACAAAACACCTCTTAACGAGGTAAGGGGTCGTGACGATCACGCACCATCAACGTACAAAAGTTCTGATACCAACTTTTGTGACGAATAATGCTTGTACATTCGACTAAATAAATACATTTTCTAAAATGTTCTCGTTCTGCCCGCCTTAGCAAAATATTAAAGCTTCCAGCTTCAAAGGCATATTTTATAGCAGGATGTCGAATGAGAACATTTTAGAAAGTGTAAGTGCAAAGCGCAAAGTGCCTGATATGCAATCCTTTTTGTGTTTTCGATACCTTTGGACTAGTATATCACTCCATATAATAGGACCATCGCTGCAGATTTATGATTCAGCTGCTATGTATAGTAGTAGCCTTCGCACTCGCCTGGTGCGCTTTGTCTATTCAAAAAAATACCAAAACTATACGAATCGGTATAAGAGTTCAAAACGAATTTCTATTCCGGTTCTCATACCGGATCTCAAGGTTGAATCGGTTTGTTTAGTTAACGCTTCCAATTCGTCCGATTTTTACGAAACTTTTAATATTGTATTAAAAGTGTATTACATCGAATCGCATTCTAACGTTCTAACAGCCGCGAGGACATAAATATATATGTCGGAGTCGGAGGTCGGAGTGCTTTTCGAGCAACAGATCTCGATTCTACAAAATTCGTTATTTTCAAAACAGATATTAAAATTTTTATAGAACAAAAATGTGTGTGTGTATTTAAATATTTAAATCGGATATTCCTAAAGAAATGGAATTCACTTAGTATCCAAAAACATTTGCGTGTTTTATTATCCTAGGGCTTATCACAAAATCGTGTTCCTCCAGACCAGTGGATTCCCACATTTTAAAGATACTGCGAATCTGTGTAGAGGTCACGGAACTCGAGCAACTGATCCAGCGCTGTTTCGTACTCATCCCGCTCCAAGCTAGAATTGGAGTACGCTTTCAACTTGGGAAGCTGCACGCGATGCGTCTGGGCGTGCAGGTTGTCCAGATGCTCGCCCAGCTTGGTGGAATTCTGCAGGGCGGCCAGTAAGGGTACTGAATCAACACGAGTACCCGACTCACGTTCCGCACCTCCAAGCAATTGGAAGCCATCACTTGAGATGTTTCCCCTAAACATATCGTAAGGAAATGGCAACTGCGTCTTCAGCGGCAATGGGGTAGATGCAGCATTGCTGATACTGCCATGATAGCTGCACTGGTAATACAGCTGCAGCATATGAGAGACGCTATCACAGCCATAGGCAGCCATTTGCAGTTGTTCGCCGGCCCTCTCCCTGGGGCGCTTCAAACGGTTTGCGGGAATGCCACGAGCCGTCACCGATTGCATTACATAGGAGGTGCCCGGATCGCAGCCCGGCGTGAATTGTGTGAGCAGCGCATGGTCTCCGCTCTGGTCTAGAAACTCTATAAGATCCTGCTCCTCTTTTAATCCAAATGGCAAAGCCATTCCTGCGGCAGTCATCCTCCGTCCCGAAGGAGAAACACGCTCGCAGAAGCGTAACAACGACTCGGGCGTTTGCCGCAGGCGGTAACCCAAGGTGGCGGTGTCCAAAAAGGCAGCAAGCAGCGCCGATGTTTGGTATAGATTATCTGCCTGCCACTGGAGTCCCGGCAGGGTGCGCGATTTGAGATTGTTGTTCCGCCAGATGCTCTCCAGCGTGGACAGTGGCGTAAACATCGTGGCTTGCTCGCTGAGATGGTGGTAGCTCATTACACTGTTTACAACTCGAATGCTGTGCGACAGGCGGGCATCTGAGAGAAAAACAATGTTCACAAGGTCGCCTTTCTTAAAAGCCGCATTACTCACCCGCTTGAGCGTAACTGGTGACCCTTGGATAGTACAGCGGCAACACAAAGCTAGCCCGACTGTATTCGTCGTTCAGGTGCTCCATACACTTTCCGGCCAGCCCTCCAAAGCCATCATCAATGTCAAACATCACGTGAAAGCCCTGCAGGCCGTCGCACTCCTCCACATACAAGCGGATGCGATCGCAGAACTCGTCGTTGAAGGCGATTTCCTGCCAAAGTTCCGCTCCAGCAGAGTAGGAGCCCAGTGCTTGGACATTCGGGTCCCTGACCAACCCCGGCAAGACATTCAGGGTCCGTGGATGGTACCGGGCATAGAGAAAGTCCGCCCAACTGTTTGCAGTCTCCGCCAGCTGATAGTTCTTTTCAGGCGCCACGGAATTTTTCAGCAGATCTCTCTGGTACTCGGAAATTACAGCCGGCGGCTTCTCGTGCACGTCCAGACGCTGCGCGGATACCCCGCTCTCCTCCGCCTGCTGTCGAGCCTGCTGCAGTTCCTCGCCCGTGCCCAGCGGCAACAGCTCCTCATCGCGTTGAACAAAGTTGCCGTACAGCTCGCCCGTGACCGGAAGGTGTCCAAGATTTCCGGCCAAATCCACGGACAGGAGGCGGGGTGTATAGGTGGTGCGATTAAGGGCATTCAGTCCCTCACGGTACAGAACATCATTGTTGGGTAGCTGCTCCTCGGCCACCTGGTCGCTTTCGTCTCCATACCTGAAGTTGGCCTCCTGGAAAACAGGATTTTATGTCTTTTTCCGGCAGGCATGTGGGTGCAACAGCTTACCTGTTGGTTCCAGAAGTGGGCGCCCACATAATTCGCGTATGTTCCAAACTGGAAGGTCAAAATCTCGCGTGTATGGTTCATAACAGCCGGCACAAGTGACTAATTTGCATTGCATTGCACGAAACGCGCCGAGCTATCGTTTGCGCAGGGAACATCGATAAATAGCGAGTGAGTCAAGCCCGATTACTCCAAAAGAGTGTTTACACTAGGCTGACCCCATTTATCGGGTTATGTCAGGTGTTGTTTGATTTGATGTTAATACGAAGGGCAATCAATTGGTTTATTAATGATTTCCTCCTAGGGGTCTGTCAGGAATCTACCAATTAAATGGAATTAAAGCTAATTTATTAGTGAAATATGCAAATACGTAGGAGGGACTTTCATAATTTATTTTTTTACCAATTTATCAAGACTAAGATTTTTCTACTAGTGAAACTCTTAGCCGATCTGATTACTAGGCTTATGTAAAAGAAAACCAACAACCCCATAACTCCATAGCTCCGCCCTAGTGTAAGCAGGCTTGAAAAAAGATCGAAGTGAACTCCATAACTCTATAACTGCACCGTAGTGTAAACGCGCCTTACATTTCAAAAGTAGAGCCCACTCTACCGAATAACCCTTACGAAGCAGTTACTAAAACAACCAAAATCACGTTTAGAGCTAATTTATTCGACGGGCCGTACATCCGCACATGTACATAGGTTTACGAAGTGCCCTAGCTGTTGAGCACCAGGGAGAGGTAGCAGTTCCATATGAGAGCGATGCACTGCACATAGATCACCTGGTAGCCCAACGGCACAAAGCTGAAGTTGATCATCTGGGCGGCTGGCCAGAGCATGTAGTTCCGGACCAGGATAGTGGGGTAGCTGTCGAGGATGCGCTGCCGGATCCGTACGACGGGCTCGCCGTTGACCAGCGGCACCAGGAAGGACATGGCCAATGCGAACGGAGGCACAAAGAGGGCTTGGTCGGCCAGCATCTTGATGGCTCCTCGGCGCATCGGAGTGCAGGTTTTGGGAACTCTCGACTCCAGAAATAGGTACCATCGCCGCAGAACCGGACCCACGAACACCATACCAAGGGCACCAAATCGAAGGGTTCGCGCGGCATCCCAATCGTCAAGCGGTTTCTTTTCGATGGCCAACTGGGCTATCGCATCGCCCAGACCCATTACCGTCGCCACTTTAAATCCTTCCTTCAGAAACACCTTGAGTCCCGTCATCATTATCTGAATTCAGACCTTAATTCAATTAATTTTAAACTGGCAAATTTCAAACACAACTGAGAATTACCTATTCGCTGTGGTAAACATTGCGTGTGCGTTTTTAAGGGTTGTCTATTGAACTCAAATGGGTCGTTGGGGCAACTCTAAACCAAAATGTCACAGCTTACCCACATCGGTTTATGATGTAATATGGATAATACCTATGATAATACCACTCATAACAATTCTGGCTTTTTGGCATTGAAAACCAAGATAATTGTTGTAATCCTGAAATTAACAGGTACGGAGAATCTGATTATAGGTCTATTCTACTGATTTCAGCTTCTTGCGCTTTTGTGGCGGGCCCGCCTCGTCCTCCTTTTCCACTTCACGCCGTCGTCGTTTGTAATAATCGTAACCACTTCTTTGTCCCTTGCTTTCATTCGCTTTTTGACATATGAAGGTTTTTTTCGATCATAGCCACGTCCCCCATATTATTTGCTGCTCCATTTACAGGGATTTGCTCCCTGTTTTCGATTTACGCTTCTATTTCTTTGGTGCGATGACATCTTTCAGAACTACTTTTTTCCATTCGTCTGAGTGTTCCTTGAAAGTTATAGACAATGTCGTTGACTTCATGAATTGTGGTCTGCGACCGGTGACCAACAAATGCCGCACATCGTGCTCCTTTTGTTTCAGTGTTTGAGTAGTGGCTAGCAGGTTGCTACGGATCTTGTAGTAGCTAGCAGTGGGTATCAGCCTGTGTTTGCGTCCAAGTTTTTCTAGTCCGCCCGGCGGAGAGATTTAGCAATCTCTTCGGGAACATGGATGCGTTGCTTGTAGGGATCACATCGCCCGGACAAGAGATCACAATCGAGAAATTCCACCCTAGGTGGCGATGGAACAGAAGGAAATTCCTGTTCCTCCTCACCAGCGACTGGTTTCTTGGCTTTCCGATGCATGGTGACCATCCTATAGCCGGCGGAGGGCAATCTCCGGATGCCGTACTTTCCCTTAGAACTCACATAGGCAACGGTTTCGATCTTTGGCGCTCACCCGCGGTGTGCCCACGTGCTCCTCGCCGGGCAGCTTGATGCCATTGCCGACCAGCTTGCGAATATCCGCTCCTTTGGACACTGCATCAGGCAGGCTTCATGGATTTGTTCATTGAAGTTGTGAATCGCATCGGCGAAATATCCACGCGCCGTCACTCCTGGGAACAGCTTTGCCATTGCTCCTTCTCCAGGAACTTGCTGCAAAGTTCCTTCACCGCCTTCCTGTCAGTTTTATTCGTGCGGCGCTTAATAAAACTGTACAGGCTGCTAGCCAACGAAATCAAGAGACCCGATTTGAAAGTCTCGAGCTATCGATCTACTATCATAATTGCACATAATTGCAGGAATTACCCTATTATATTTGTTTTCATCCCTTACCCTTAATGTTTAGATATAAACGATACTATCGCAATATTATCGATATTTTCTCCTCAAACATCAAAACTATCGATGGTGCTACCATCGATGTTTTTGCAGCTCTATGTTGTAAATCATGCCTTTTATACACACTATTTTTCCTTTATATCCCTGCTCACGGCGAACAAGTTTTTGCAGGCTGTTCACATAGGCCGTCGCTGTTGCAAATGCATCTAATTTCGAAGAAGAACAACAACTACAGTGTGTCCTTTAAAAAGCAAATCTTTAATCCAGCGGTCTGCAGCGACTCCGCGGGCATATAGAATAGCTTTTTTCTTTCTTTTAAATGGCCCATGTTTATAGTTTTTACAATTACATGCAATAGTTTTTACATCATGATTAGTAGTCTTGTGCGTTCAGCAGAACTATCGTAAAAATTCCATCAGTGATCAGGTATCATGTTGTTCTGCAGAACGCGTCCGGTATGTTATTTAAATCCAACTAGGTTTTTACATGGACTCATATCTGTAGATTTGGAATTTTCATTTTCTGGAACTATCGATAGAGAGTCGATGGACCAATAAATCCCATCTCTCGCTCTTTTTGTTGTTGCGGCTGAGAACGCGTGCTGCGCATTTTCCCAGGGTTTCCTGATCGCCGACCGCCATGAGTCAGAAAGCCCAGAAAATGGCGCAGTTCCATGAACTGGAGCTGGATCAGCGCATCCTAAAGGTGAGTTCCTTCAATCCCAGCCGATAGCTCTAGTACTGAAGACTCTGTGCTCCCTTTACTTTTCAGGCGGTGGCCCACCTGGGTTGGCAGCAGCCCACGCTCATCCAATCCACGGCGATTCCGCTGCTTCTGGAAGGTAAGGATGTGGTGGTACGTGCGCGTACCGGATCCGGAAAGACGGCCACATACGCGCTGCCATTGATCCAGAAGATCCTTAACTCCAAACTAAATGCCAGTGAGCAGTGCGTCAGCGCCGTGGTCCTGGCACCCACTAAGGAGCTTTGCCGCCAGTCGCGGACGGTGATCGAGCAGCTGGTCGAGTCCTGCGGCAAAGTCGTTCGCGTGGCGGACATTGCTGGCAGTTCCAGCGACGCAGTGACCCAGCGGCACGCCTTGGCCGAAAGACCCGACATCGTGGTGGCCACACCGGCCAAGTTGCTAGCGCACGCTGAGGCCGGAGGAGTGGTGGATCTGAAGCATGTGGAGACCCTTGTGGTGGACGAGGCGGATCTGGTGTTTGCCTTCGGCTACGAGAAAGATTTTAAGCGATTGATCAAGCACCTGCCTCCGATCTACCAGGCTATCTTGGTCTCCGCCACTCTTACCGACGATGTAGTGCGGATGAAGGGTCTGTGCCTGAGCAACCCGGTGACGCTTAAGCTCGAGGAGCCAGAACTGGTGCCTCAGGATCAGTTGACGCACCAGCGCATCCTGGCTGAGGAGAACGACAAGCCGGCTATTTTGTATGCTTTGCTTAAGCTAAGGCTCATACGAGGGAAGACCATTATCTTCGTGAACAGCATCGATCGCTGCTACAAGTGAGTAAACTATGAAATTAATTTTAGAAGTCCTTTAGAGCCAATGAAGATATTCCTAAGAATACCGGGAGTGGGCAGCTGGCAACAGTTGGCGCACGCATGACCAGAAACTAATCTTCTCGCAGATGGCACATCCAGTTAACCTTAAATACCGACATGGCACTTATATATTAGACACTTATTATTCTCCAATTAACCTTTTCAGGATTCGCCTGTTTCTAGAGCAATTCGGCATCCGTGCCTGCGTTTTGAACTCTGAGCTGCCGGCCAACATTCGCATCCACACAATCAGTCAGTTCAACAAGGGCACCTACGACATCATTATAGCCTCCGATGAACATCATCTGGAGCAGCCTGGGGGAAAGTCCTCGGCCAGCCGCAAATCCTCGCGCACTGGCGACATAGAGTCGAGTGCCTCCCGCGGTATTGATTTCCACTGCGTGAACAACGTGATCAACTTTGACTTTCCCAGGGATGTAACGTCTTACATCCATCGGGCTGGCAGGACGGCCAGAGGGAACAACAAGGGCTCCGTCCTATCCTTTGTGAGCATGAAGGAGGCCAAGGTCAACGCCGCCGTAGAGAAGAAACTGTGCGACAGCTTCGCAGCCCTGGAAGGCGAGCAGATCATCAAGTAAGTGGTAAATACTCACATAAAAATGTGATATTGCAAACCAATCCCTTTAGGAATTACCAGTTCAAGATGGATGAGGTAGAATCCTTCCGTTATCGTGCTCAGGATTGCTGGAGAGCCGCGACGCGAGTCGCAGTCCACGATACTCGCATACGGGAGATAAAAACGGAGATCCTAAACTGCGAGAAGCTAAAGGGATTCTTTGAAGAGAACAAGCGTGATCTGCAAGCACTGCGGCACGACAAGCCATTGCGCGCCATCAAGGTTCAGAGTCACCTGTCCGACATGCCCGAGTACATTGTGCCAAAGGCTCTGAAGCGAGTTGTTGGTTCTACTGCATCAACTGCCGGAGCTTCGGAGGCCAAACAGCCACGACAGTCGGCTGCAAAGGCTGCTTTCGAGCGACAGAGCAATGATCCGCTGATGGTTAGCCAAGTGGGCTTCCGCAAAAATCGTCCTGCCCCCCGGCGGAAAAAGAAGGCGTTGTAAGGAAGCAAATGCCTCTGGGGGATCGGTATCCATAATCGCTATAGTCCGTAAGCAAAAATTGATTTCGTTTGTATGATTTAAGAAAAACATAAAAATAGCTTTATACAAGATGTGAACAATTTTATATAACGTTTTAATTTTTGGAAAAAAAACTCCTAGTAGCAAATGGATAAACTAAATTAAAAAAGGGAAAATATAAACTCATAATAACTGCGAGGGCTGGAAGTGTATTGCTGAAAATCTAGACCACTTTCTTTTAGGGGTAACCTAAAGTTTTGCTTGTTGAACATTGAATATTTATTAACAAAAAAATCCCATGTCTGCACTGGACTCAAAACAGTCTCCCTAGCGCTCATAGTCCAACACTTTTTTTCTGTTCCAACCAACTTCTGTCCAGAGTGGTATTTGCCACTATATTAAAACCCAAATAACCTGCGGCTCAACAGAGACCGTTCGGCACTAAATTCAAGCGGAATTTTTAAAGATGTACGTAAGAGTTTCGGTCGAATTCAGGGATCAGCGGTTTAAACACACGATTTGACAAATATATTTTCACCTCTTGAGTTTATGAAAAGAAGTTTGAGTATATGCATACAAATTATACAATTAGATATAAAAATTGGTTTAGGATGTAAAAACAAGGAAGAACGCTATAGTCGAGTACCTCGACTATCAGATACCCGTTACTCAGCTATATGGAGATATGCAAGCAGCAAAGCGAGATTAAAATGCGCCACCTACCGGCGGTATACAGATTTAAGCGTTATGGGCGTTAGAGTGGGCGTGGCAAATTTTTTTTTTGGATCAATCGATAGGTATCGACGAGACCAATACATTTCAGTTAAAATTTTTTATCTAGCATGAAAATTGTGGGCGTCACAAGTTTTCGCGGTTTGTGGGCGTTAAAGTGGTCGTGGCAAACTTTTTTTTGAGTCAATCGATAGGTATTGATGAGAACAATACATTTCAGTTAAAATTTTTATTCTAGCATCAAAACTGTAGGAGCCACAGTTTTGGGCGGTTTGTGGGCGTTAGAGTGGGCGTGGCACTGTGCCGAAACAAACTTGCGCTGCGTAAGAAGCTCAGGAATCTGCACGCCAAATCTCAATAGCCTAGCTCCCATAGTTTCCGAGATCTCAGCGTTCATCCGGACGGACAGACAGACGGACAGACGGACATGGCTAGATCGACTCGGCTAGTGATCCTGATCAAGAATATATATACTTTGTGGGGTCGGAAACGCTTCCTTCTGCCTGTTACATACTTTCCGACGAATCTAGTATACCCTTTTACTCTACGAGTAACGGGTATAATAAAACTATAAAAGCTAGAAAGTTGGGATTAAGCATACAGATTCTAAGGGATTTCACGCAGCGTAAGTTTGTTTTAGGGAAGAGCCACGCTAACGCCCACAAGCAACTATAACTCTAATGTCTGTCTGGCGCCCACATTTTAATTATGTAAGTGAAAATGACATTTTAAGTGAAAATACCCTAAGTTAATTTAGAAACAAGGAAAATAAACGCCCTTTACCTAATATTACACATCAGGAAGCCTAAAACCGTATTGCTTGTGTTGTCGTTGAGTAGCTAATAAACCAGCCAGACGGAGAAGGCACTAAATCATGCCCACTTTCTCTAACTGAACAGCGACAGAAAACGAATTTACGGGCACATTATACAAATTACCGGTAGATCATAGTAAATCGCAGCAATGATTGCCCAGCAGCTGGAGACCAGTTGAGCTCGTCATACCTAACATCCCGGGAACAATAGATCACCATTAGCGGAGATTCGGATAATTTACCCAGCTGTGTGCAGCTGCAGTTAGATTAAGTTTAAGCGACTCAGGGTATTCGTTTTTAACATTTTATTATTGTCATTGAAATAGTTAACATTCATACAATTATTTATTCATTTATTTATAGCGTTTATGCAATACAATAATAATAATAATGAGGATAGTAATAAAAAAAATATTCGGTTCGGTCTGCGCTCCTTAGTATATGGCCAAGTCTGTCTTCTGTCTATATAGTTGTCTGAGCAATCGAAACGGGGAACGGATATGAAAACGGAAAAATCAGGGGGATAGAAGCCGGTTGCGGTTGCGGTTTCTCATCCATCGACTATCGGTAGTAATGACTTTTATAATATCGCTTCTTTAAGTGCTAAATTAAACATATACATTTAAGTTAATTTAGCATAATCGTAATAAAACTTGCTAGGTTTAGGTATAGGTATGCGCGGTTCCCTGGTTCCTATGGACAGTATTATTTGACTATTTCGGATGGGATGGCCACAATCATGAGGAACAAATGCCCTGGACTCTTCCTTGCTATTGATCTATATAAATATATAGTTTATGGTAGTAACTTAGGGTAACCAAAGTATGAAATCACATCGCAAATTAAGAATGGATATCTACTGATACTGATAATGAGGAAGAGGCACAAACACAAAGTTAATGAATCTAGACTAAAATGCAGCCATACACATACATGTATCTATGTAGATATAGATCGGTACATATCTCTATAAACGTTTTGCTCTCATTATATTGTATATAATATGTATATACCATATCGTTTTATGCTTTATTTTTTACGATGCTAAAAAAATGTCGCTTTAATTCAATCCCCTTTTAATATCCTCCATGTGGAACTTCCACATTCGTTCCCTTTCCTCACATTTTTTTACGTTTTTTAGTTTGGTTTTTTCATTTTTTTTGTTTTCTTTGTAACACACATACAGAACTCGTTTAGATTATTGTTGCAACAAGACGTAAAAATATACATTATTTCATCAAAAAATGACCACTGCTCAGTGCTACCGTCTCTAATTGAAGTTTTTTGTGGATGAAGAAGATCCTGCGTATTTGCAAGAGGTCACAGTGATTTAGAACTTTCTCGCTCCTTGGTATATACACAAGTCTTCATATATATACTGTAGATATACGCAAATTTCGTAAGAGTAGTAAGAACGACAAAAAAAAACATTAAAATATTCCCGAAGCGATAGAAGTCCTGGCTATATCCTCAGCCGGATATAAACGCCAACAGGTCTGCCACCTCGGGGGTGTGTGTTCGGGTGAGAAAGTGATTTCATCCATCCAGGCCAGCTTAGATGGGCACATAGTTGCCCTTGGGCTTGTAGAACAGCTGGCCGCGCAGTAAACGGCGCCGAATTTCGGAGAACAGCAGTCGCTTCTCCTTCTTGATCTTCTTAAGCACACCCTTGTTCTCCTGGGCACGGCGCGACAAGTAAGGCAGCACCTCCTCCACAGGACCATACGGGATATACTTGTACGCCGAGTAGCCCGCCTGGCCTGTAGTTGGTTAAATAACAAAGATTAAATATTAATAGATGGCAACGTGGGTTTAATGTATAGAAACGCACCCAGTGGGAAGGTGATGTAGTCGCACATGCCCAGCAGCTGACCAAAGCAGATCACCTTGTCCTCCGGCGAAATGCCAATTTCCTTCATCTGCTGGATGGCAAAGCGCACGGTGTCTTCGTTGTGCGAGGCCACCATAATGCCAATCTTTCTGGCATCGTCATCACAGTCCTTCATCAGCTGTGATTATTAAGAGATTCACGGTTTAAACATATAGTAACTGAAGACCGAGAATTCCATTAGTTCACCTTAATGCGTCGCAAGCACTCGGATAAAGTCTTGTGATACATCTCCGTGGTTGCCTCGAATGTGGGATTCACCGGATCCGGATATCCCAGCGACTTGGCACGGTCCCGCTCCTGGTCCATATAGGCACCGCGCACCAGCTTGGCGCCAAAGTAGAAGTTCTGACGCTTGGCCTGCTCCAGATCGGTGTTTACCTCACGGAACGTTTCGCGCAGGTAACACTGATACGTGTTAAAGACAATGGCCTTGTCCTTGTTGTACTTGCGCATCATTTCCAGGGTGATGCGTGAAATGGCCGGCTGGAAGTAGGTCTGCTCCGCATCTATCATGATGCGCACATCCAGATCGGCAGCAGCCTGGTTTTTACAAAACGCATATATGTATTAGATGTACTATTTTCTAATTGGGGGCTCATCTCACCTTTACAATCGTGTTGAGGCGACGGATCATGTTCCTGAACATCTCCTCCTCTTTGGGCGGTATTTGTGAGATCAGTCGACGCATCTGGCCGGTTTGGGGGTCGGGAACACGGAACGTGTCGCTTAGCTGCGAGTCCTCGTCTACGATTCCCGACCAGGGGAACAGATGCAAGATTCTAAATGTGGCAACACAGATTGAGATCGGGAGGAGGCCTACGGGTACACATGGACTCACCCCTCCTTATCGGACGTCACATTGTTCAAGAACTCCTTCACATCCTTATTGTCGCCCAGCGTGGCGTAATACTTCTCGAGATCCTTGATAGTCTTATGGTGGGTCAGCACATTGCCCTGACCGCCCACCATGTCCTCCATGTACTTGCGTGTGCGCATAATAACCTCGGACAGTTGTAACTGGAAAGAAGGAGGAGAAATTGGTATATCTTATTACTTTTACATTACATTTAAATTTCTTCTTTACTAGGAAATCATAAACTGGGAGACTACAAAAATCGCGTAGCGCTAAAATGGCGCGGAATTCTGACCAACATCAATATAAAATCTAACTGAATTCGGTGCAAAGCGATTTCTGTGGCCCCCGATAAGCTATATTAGACTGCGTGAATTTGTGTTGTCGAAAATAACCCGTATTATTCTTTTGCAAATGCGTGACTTTAAACTCAGTTTCTCTGGCCACAACGCGATTATTATCCATAGCTATGGTGGTCTCCTGGTTTAAAGGGCTTCCAAATCGTTCCATTCTAGTATTCTATATTCGAGTGCCCCGACTACCATACATCTATTACTTATCTATCAGTATTAACATATGTACTAAGAGTACTAATAGAAAAAATGTCATTGTATTCCGTGGCGACCACTGATTTAAACCAATTAATTATGTTCGATTTACTATTTATTAACATTGACCCCTGTTCTCCGTATAACTTAAGTTTCCCATTTGGGTCTTAAGAAGATTACATTGTGGAAACTTACCAGCAATTGTGGACGACCCAAGGCGGTGAGTTTAATGGCGGTGATGCCGGTTCCGAAAGTGGCGCCTGCAGGTCGATATTCCGATCAATCGATGATTGGTTGTTTGAAATAAAAAGCGTTTGGAAAAAGAGCAGAGCAATCGGTGAATGCGATGCGGTGGCAAAGGTAAAGAACGAAAAGCGGATTCTATAGGTATACAACATGTATCTCTAACTACGACGACACTTTACAAACTTCAAGTGATACGGATACGGGAAACGAGTACAGATAGAGGTACAGTACAGATACGGCTATAACAACGGCTACGGTTAGCCAAATACATTACAACAACCAGCTAAAACTAAGTGCACACGAAATCGTCAAAAAGTTAAACTAGTTTACTTTGCTCAGTCGATCTACGGATTTGGCCATCAATGGTTTACTGTTTTGGCTGTTTTGAATATTTGTTGTTTAGTTTTTAAGTTACTTGTCGGTATTTTTGGGGAGAGTGTTTTTAATTTCTCGGCTTACCCGTGGCCACTGCCCGGGGCGCCTTTCGATCATCATCTTTTCAATTTTGGATTTTGCAACGATTATTTTGGTTTGGGGATTTTTGATTAATGTGGGGTATTCGATAAACGATAGGTTGGTACCATTTTCAGGATATTTGCGGGGCAAAAGAAAGAATTTATTAATAATCAATTAAAAGTTGCGTTAACTAGATAGATTTAAAAAGTGAAAAATAGCGAATGGGAGTAGGTCCAGCAGGATACAGCTTAAAGCCCCAAAAGCATTGAACTCTTCGTGCTTCTCGAATCACAGGTTGGGACAAATGCTTATAATTGGGGAAAACCTATCTAATATAAAAATCCTACTGGTCTTAAACCATATGAAATCCAAAATTTTGAATATAAAAAAATTTTTTTTCAGCCGAAGTTCTAAGTAGTTTTAGGTTTAACTTGTTAAGCAAAGCTTAAAATGAAAATATTTTCGTGGTCTAGGAATTGATACATCGTGTTCTTCATTTAGTCCATAGGAAATCAAACAAAAAATTAAACAGCATGCTTAACTGTTAGCAATGGTGGCTTATGCTGCACGCGATCTAAAAATGGGTTGCTGTACAGAAGGAAATTAAGGATCGTGAGGTGAAACTCAAGGAACTTGCATGCCGTACGACAACTCCACGTAAGGAGCCAGGAGTCGGCTAAACCGAATCGGCCAGGGACAACTGGCCAAGAACATACCTGAAACGGCCTCCAGACACTTTATGAAGATCTCCATGTTCCGCTCGCAGGTGGCCTCGTTTAGGTAGAAGTAGGTTCGAGCACTGCTCACTTTGTAGCGGCGGTCGGCGAACGACTTGTCCACATGGTACTGCGGCATGCTGCCCTCCTCCTTTTGTTCTCCTGCACTGGAAACGGAAGACCTGGAAGGGAAATAAACAGTTCGATTAATAAGAGTTAGAGAATTAATCCAAAACCTGTAAAAAGTAGACCATTCCAAACTAATGAAAAACTTGCAATTTGAAAACATCTTAGAATATGTTGGGTTTGTTTAGTCAGCTTCTTATTCATTTTCATAACGCACCTTCAACGTACAAAATTTCTAATATCATATTTGTGACGAAAAATGATTATACATTCGACTAAATAAATACACTTTTTATTGTGTTTTTAGTCGGCACGCTGAAAGGGAAGAAACTTAAAATAAGCTCATATATTTATAGCAGTTTTTAGTAGGACAATTGCCTTCCTATTGTTTGTATTCTTACCCTAACAGGAAATGTTAGTATAAACTTTTACAGGTCGACAACTTTTTAACGCGAGTTTTCCTATATGTCAAAAGTTGAGGAATCTCAAGGCCGCTATCTATAGGCGTGTATTCAAACGTATATGTCGTTTTGATCATTTTTGAAAAAAATGCACAAAAGTTTGACGCAAGAAAATTTTAAGCCATAAATACTTTGTTTGTTTCAATTATGGTAGATATCGTAATTAGCATTTTAAAATACTTTTTTAACGACATATAGCGCGTATCTGTATCTATGCTGTATATTATGCTGCTTTATACGAAACAAGAAACAAGGATCCTAAAACATAATATAATTATGTCTCAATTTAAAATAGCCCTAAAATCTTTAAAAATCCATAACATTTAATTGGATTAACCGATTGGAATATCTTTGGTAACGTTCGATACGTATTTAACTAATGAGTATACATTGTCCATTTTTAAAGATATTTGAGAAGCTTAAAGACTAGAAACGTGAAACTTTACAAATCGAATTATTATTAGAACGAAAAATTTGGACGATCGGTCGACTATGCCCTATAGCTACCATGGGAGCCACAGGATGAAATAGGTACAAATTTTATGTTTTTGTAAATATATTTGCCTATATTTTTTTGTTAAATGATTAATATTTGTTATTCATCTTATTTTAGTCACACTTTAATGTATAAGATTAGCAAGGGTATTAAATCTTTGGCTTGAAAAGTTAGCTTCCATTATAGTTATAACCGTTACTCGTAAAGTAAAAGGTACAATGTGTTTGAGTATTCGGGAAAAAGTATTAACAGGTAGAAGTAAACATTTCCGACCCTATAAAGTATATACATTTTTCCGTCTGTCTGTGTGAAGGCTGTGAACATAGAAACTATAAGAGCTGTGCGGGTTGGGACTCGTTTGATTCCTTAGCTTTTGATTCATTTGTTATTATTTGTAATGTGCTATAACGCCCACAAACCGCCCAAAACTGTGGGCGGTTAAAAACTGAATTCGTCAATACCTATCGATTAAAATAAAAAAAGTTTTCCCCGCCCATAAAAAGCCGCTTTTTTTAATAAATCGTGGTGTCTTTTATTTTTGAGCTAATTTTGAGCTGAACGCCGTGCGTCTTTAGACTCTAAACATGGTGATAACGCAGTGTAAACGTTATTTTATAGTAATCTGGTAAATAACTAACTCGATAGAAAACTCGGCAGTCGAGTGCCCCGACTAACAGACACTCCGTTTTCTATGAATTTCAAAATAAAGGCGAAATCTGGAAAAGGCGACCTCCTGTGTCAATTTGTTAAACTTGTGCTGCCACTAACGTCTTTGTACTTTAAATATGTTCGGTATGTCGATAGGTATTACCTACTCGAAAAACGTTTCCTTCTACCAGTAACATAATTTCTAACAAATACGACATTTGCAATTTACTGGGTTAATGGTTCCGATTTCCATGATAAGAACACAAAATTAATAATAAACAAATATTGAGCACAATCCCTAATCCAAAAATAAATGTTATTAAATAGTAAAATGCCTAGGTAATCTTTAAAACGTTGAATTACCATTCTACCAAATAAATGTCTAATAAATATATGCATTCTTGCAATTATGGTTGAATATTTAAAAAAAATGGAAAAACTTACTCAACTTCTCGTTTCTCGGCCTCCTCCTGGCTGATATCCTCCTCAACTGAATAGTCGAGAATCGGCTTAACACCGAACGATCGTAGTCTGAAATTGTTGAAACTTATCAGCTTAAGCTTTCGGTAATCTTCTTAAAGACAAATGATTAAAATAAAATAATTTATTATGAATTGGTTAGCGTTTCGAGGAGAAAAATTAATGTGCATAATTTATAGAAATTTTTAAATTCTTGTTAAAAAGGGTGCGAGTTCAGATTGGGGTTCATTCAATGGTTCGAGTTGGTCTTTCATGCAGATTAACCTTGAATTGGCTCTTAGATAATTTTGTTTGCTGATTGGACGGGAACTTGCATCATTAGTAGCCACATGTGTGCGTATATATTAATTGTGTATATGGATATACAGATATGGTCAAAGTAATAGCACTTTTTATGAAGCATACATTTCTGAATTTACCAGAGCTAATATCATAAATTCTGGTTTTTATATAATTTTTTCGGATAAAGATTTCATATTAAATTTATATTTTCGTAGGCCAATAAATCGAGTTTAAAGTGTTATTTTTTTGACTAAAACCATGTACATTAGATTGGGTCGATTTGTAAGGACGCAAGAAAACGATAAATCGTAGGGGAGGCGGAACATAATCTAGGGCCAATTCTAGCAATATTTCTAAAAAAAAATTGTGCCTTCAAAACCACCTTGACCCTCCGCAGTATTTTTGAACAATTTCTCATTAACCTTAAATTTGATACCTTGGTATGGTCGCAAAAAACGTTATATTGCAAAAAAAAAACTATATGCCTAATAGTATATAGTTTACTTGACAATATGACCTAGAATTGTCCCAAGATTGTGTTCTCCGAAGCGCTTTATAACAATTTCCACGTCCATACCAAAAATTCCAAATTCTAGGCTACTGAGATATTTTTCATCATACGCCCAGTATTTTGCTCTTGCATATGCGGGCGGCCAAGCGTGGTTTTAGCCATATAGTTTCTTTAGCCATGTTGCTTGGAATTGTCCCTAGAATATGTTCCCCCCTACGATTTGAAGAGCCCCAAAGGGACCCACCCTAATATACACATATGCGGGATATTAGGATGCATGGTGTGCAGAGGGGGAGGAGTTTAACCTCTCTAGGGATGGCACGATCGTGTGCCGATTCTCGCCTGCCACAAAGTGTCCGTAGAAGCTGGACTTCATCAGCAGGACGAAGAGCTTCTGGCCGAGCAGGTTGCGTGCTAGTTTCAGCAGCTGTTTTTCGGCGTAATCGGTGTTTTTCGATGGTTATCGGGAGTATGTTTTGTTTGTTTTTTAAAGATTCCATTGCAATACAAGTGTGGGCATTTAAGCGGGTTTCGCATAACCGTTTCGCAGCCCGATTCGCGGGCAAAATAATAACATGAAGTAAACACAAAACCATAGGGGCGGCAGAAAGCAATATAGAAACGGAAAAAAAAGAAAAGAAAAGAAAAGAAAAGGGCGATAAGTGAGTGGGAGTGTCGTGGTTGGCAATTACCTTTCCAATGTGGGTATGATCTTGATCTGATCCTCGCCGGCGACAAAGTGGCCATAGAAGGTCGCCTTCATCAATGCTGTAAATAACCGTTGACCCAATACGTTCTTTGACCATTTCATAAGCTGCGAATTTTCGTTTGTTTTGATCGGTTTTATGCGGTATATTTAGTAAGTTTTTCGGTTATCGTTTTTCGGTATTTTGTTATGTTGTGTGCGGTAGCAAAAATTGAATTTGATACAGTTTTAATTTTCTTTTTGAGATAATAATATTGTGGTTTAACAAGGACAATGAGTTCTTGGAAGATAAAAAGAAACTATATACAATCGCTGCTAGCTGAGATCTCTCCTGATTTCCGCTCTTCTCTGGTTCGTTTCATTTGTCAGCGACTGGTTCGCACATAAATCATTTGGAATTTGGCCAAAAGGCGAAATAAAAAACGTGAACCAAGTCAAGGCCAACAAAATCTTAGCCAAAGTCCAACAATACGGTGCGGGGAAAGCAAGGAAAAATGCGACAAAAACTGCGGAGGCGGCAATGTGTATTGTTATTAAGAAGCTGTATGCTATTTATTTAAAGGAGTGCCACAACTCAACACGCATATAAACATTCGATTTCCAAATTGAGCTGAGCAGTCAAAGAAAGACGACCCGTCTCGAGTCCATCCATCAAAACAGAATAACAAGCGATAAGAGACCCCTCCTGTTTATTATTTTTTAAATTTCCCATATTTCAAAAAATGTAACGATAACAATAATGATATCACTTTGGTTCGCATAAAATCCTTAGCTTATAGTAAAAAAAACATTTCCACTTCATGCTAATATTGCGTTTTACTTGTTAACTTGCATATATAAATTTATATTATGTGTACTTCAATAATAACATGTTTAAACTTAACGGATGGGCACAAACGTCAATTTGTATTCCATTTTTCTTTAGAAAACAAAATATGTTATAAGAACAATTTAATGGCTAAAACGGCCCAAACTATTAAATAAGAGGTATTCAGCTGCGGCAAAAAAAAAATTGCATCAGTGTGAGGCATTTCTTCTTTAGGCTGCAATATTTGTATTCTGTTTGTAAGGGTTAGTAGGGTAGGGTTTACATATCTAGTAACTAAAATAAAAGTGGTTACGCCCACAATGCGGAAGGTTTTTAAAACTCGATACATTTATCAAAAACATTGCATAGTTATGCGGCACCATTTAAAGAAAAGGCTTAAAAACTTAAAAATAATCGCTTTGAAAAATTGTTGTTCTGCAACAACAACAAAAGGATTTGACGTCCCTAGACTCCAGAATTTTTCCTTGGGGCTATTGTTGTGTGGCTCTTTCAAATTAGCTCAAGGGCAGTTTTTTTTTCTTCGGATTGCATTTAAAACATAGTTTTTTAACATTTCTGCAAAGATTTTCGATGTGTTTTAGTTCTGAGGCCTTAAAGGACCCCATTATACCATTTAGCTCAAGGGTTTTGAAACTTGGGACGACTCTCTATTTGATTTGTTTTGGTTTTTAAAATCGTGGTAAGGCTGCCAAAATAAATGCGTTTTGTATTACGCACAAAATAGCATTATAATTTCTGAGCTCTCAAAGTGGACACGTTCATCCTGTATAGGTTTACGTTAGTGATATGGTCACTAAAAATCTTTAATTTAAAGAATTCGACGATTCTGAACAAATGAAGTTTTAAACCGAAGAAATGTTTCTTAGTTGCAAAAACCGTTCGCATTGTGGGCGTAACCACACTTTTATTAGTTACTAGATACATATGTAACCCTACTTACTCTTAAAAACAGATTAAAAATATTGCAAAAAATTGACATTTTATAGCACAAAGAAGAACTGCCTACATTGGTGCTATTTTTTTTTGCCGCAACTGAAAGTCCGAAAATTTTGTAATTCAACTACATATTTACATTTTATTTATATAATCATAAATGTATCTGTTAAAGAAATCGTGATACTAGACATTAAACAATAATAACTTTTTCAAAATTCTTTTTTTTTATATCGGGTGTTATGATTTCACTCAGAATTTTGCAACGCATTGAGGGTGACATTTCCGACCCTATTATGTTTAAACTATCTTGAACTAGTGGAAGAAATATTCTTTTCTAACTTCGGGTATAGCTTTTTTAAGATTTCTGTATTACTGAATTGTAAAAATCGAGGACTATATCATATATCTGCTTTAGGAAAAATCTGAGAAATAATGGACAACTTTATTTTGTGTTAACTCCGTGCTAAATTTAAGAAAATTAAAAGCAAAGCATGTAGAAATACACCAGGCTATGAACTGTCACAAGAATCTCACTTGGCAACCCAGGAACTTGGAGTTCACAAAGTACAATGAAAAAGCGGGAAAACTGAAAAAGAAGATCATTGGCCTTTGATAAATGTTTCCTGGGCACGTGTGTGATCCGATTGATGCGGGATCCATCAAGAGAAGAGAGCAGCCAGGAGTCATTCTCCGTCTGGGAAGAACCGGTTTGGTTGACAGCACTGAAGTAATTAATTGAGTACAACTCTTGGCGAAAATAACAGTCAGCCGACAATATAAATACAATCAACCAAAACTGGTTACATAAAAAAATTCTTGCTTCGTATTCTATTCTCGATTTTTGGTTGTTTTTTCTTTGGCAAACAATTTGAAAAGAGGACAGGTGTTTGCCGTTGAGCTTTGGCCCCCAAGAAAAAAACCCACAGCTAACACCACCCTCGGTCACCTGTCAGTGTCCCTCCTACTTTCACCCCGTTTTTTACCCATCAATACATATTCTCACACATCACGAGACCCACACCGCTCGGTCGCCAAAAGCAATCGAGGTGATACAGTATATAGAAATAGAGAAAAAATAAGTACACTCTAAAAAACATTTTTAAATAAACGCCAAAAATCTGTATCTCAAATAACTATTTGGCTTCCAAAATGTGGACGCCAGACAAACTGTTTCACAAACTGCACGCTAGGAATTAATGGTTAATAAATGGGTTTTAGTGGGTAATTTTAATGGGTTTTGATAAACAAATGCAAATCCCATCCATTTACACTTTTACAAAAACTTCAAAAATGTGCACTCTAGACAGTCACACAGAGTTACACATTGGGATAATAAATTTGCAATATAGAAGAGTCAAAACTGCAAGTCACACCTCAACTCTCTAGTCCTTACAGTCCTTTATACGACCGAACGGTTAGACTAAAGAGGAACATTGCTAGACCGACTCGGCTAGTAATTCTAATCAAGAGTATAAATACATTAAACGATTCGTCGAAGGCTGAATAATGCTATGTGATATCTTCAATTGCAGGGAGTTGTCCGAATGTTCTTTTAATGCGAATTGCATCGAGCAGAAAAAGGATAAATAAATTAAATTCCTTACGATGCATGCATGAGTAATCGATAAGCAATCAATCGATCGCTATGGGAAAAAAATTGCCAACCTAATTATATAGAAACATGCAAGCCAAAGCAGGGGACGTACAAGAGGAATTTCCCAACGATTCTTATTGGCGCTCATTCGGGGGCCTGACTATATCATAGCCTATATTATTCAGTCTATAAAATCCATAAGTGTCGCAAAGCAAATACGCACGAGGTAAGAGCAAACAACGAGCGAGGCAAGGTCACCACCGCATCGCCAACACACCCCTTTGTAATTTGCATGGCAAAGTTTTTCCTTCCTGCCGTCAATCAGGCACTCATTCAATTTTTCTATGCGACTGCAGACCCTGCCAAAAAGTGGCATCAGGTGCAACAAGCAATTAGCCATGAATTCATCAAAACGAGTGGGGAAGGGAAAGCTCTCAGGCGGTCAAGTGAATTGAAAAGCGAAAGGAATTCCGAAAATTAGAAGGATGGGAGCCAGCACCTGACACAAGTTCGGGTAGCCAGGAAAATCAAAATTCAGTGAATGGGAGCAGCAGCTGGAAGTTTCTTAGCCTATAGGAACCATCAAAATTACACTGCCTACTGCATTAAGTGGTGAGTAGAAGAAAATCGTTCGCCTGTTTGAAATGGAAAAAAGGAGAACTTTTTGAAAGAATCTTTTTAGTTTAATTTTAGCCAAATTTCCACCCATACAATTCAGAGCTTAAGAGCCTTAAATGATTTGTAATTCATTTATCAGGTGTGGAAAATGAGGTAGGTTTTAAGGCTGGAACATAATATTCACATATGATTTTGCCATTATTAATAGTTCGAAAATCACTATATCTTTTAGAAATATTTCCAATTATTAAGCATGGGTTGAGTATCCGCAGACCCCTTGACGATATATCCCCTTGATTTTTCAGCAAACGGAACCAGAGAGAAAGCTCAGCTAGGCGACAAATTGGACCAATAAGTGGGTCAAAGGACGCAGGACTCGGCAGAAGGAGGAACTCGGGGGACACCGGCCAACTCACCGTCATGTTGTGCTCAACCAGTTTCTCGCTGGAACAGATCATGTAGACCAAATAGGCGCGCATCAGCTCGCCGGTTGTCTTGCTCTTAAAGGCTGCAATCGGATCATTGAAGGTCACGTCCAGGGGATCCCTCTGTGGCGAGCCGCCCACTGGCTCCTGGGACGAGCTCTGCTTCGCGGACCGCTTCACCGCCTCGCCAGCCACCAGGTCCGGTTGGACCAGAGTCGAGGCCTGCGACGGCCGGTTGCCGGAGTGCAGGTAGCGCGCCCCATTGACCCCGCTTGTGGACTCCGATGCTGCTTCTCCGCAGGCTGTAGAGCTCCTATTGCCGCGCTGATGGTAACTCCGGCAGGCGGCAACGGCCACCGAGTTGCTCGACTTGCTGCTATTACGGCCGTAGACCAAACTGAGGGCTGTTCGTTGGGAGCTCAGCGAACGAAGTAGAGCCATTACAAGGGATTCTGCGGCTTATTTGGGCTATCTGCTCTCCGGGTTCTGAGAAAAAAATTAAAACTTACTCCGATCTCTGCTGTTGCTGTAAAGAAAGGAAAATTCAGAGCTAATATCACTATAATCTCTACGAATTACATTAAACCTGAGGAAGGTCAGTGGCGTGTTCTAGATTTTGTTAAAGGGGGCTAAGAAGGTTCTTAATTAAATAAAAAAGTAGAGCGGACACCTTTTTCACTTTTAACTGTAAAATTACTTTAGAATAAAATTTACTTTCATTGAAACTTGGCAAGATTTATTTAAATCTTTATGAAAACTTATAAACAATTAAAGTAATTTGCGAAAGGACATTTTAAAAATCATTTTTATAAAAAATGTATTTAAAAAAGGAAGAACTAAATGTTTGTAAGTCTTTTATTTTTACATTCTAGCGATGATAATTCAACATTATCCAACACGAAAATTCTCCGATGAGTCTTTTTTTCTAACTTATATTTAACACATCATTTTTTTAGAACAAAACAAAAATAATTTTCTGCCCCTGCCAGCGCCACTGTTCACAGCTGATTTTGACTGATTTGGGGAGAGCTTTTCGCTCTGGGTCGCTCTCTTCCTCTCACGCTCGCTCTGAATGTTATACAACAACTGCGAAAGCATGGGGCGTAGAGGGAGAGAGCGGAAGAACGGGAAAAAGAAGCCGAAAAAACAGCGCACAACACAAACACACGTACGCGAGTACACCTCAAAATGTTCAATTAAAAAAATTGAATTTCTTGCCCGAGATCTATGTATCTTTTGCTTTCATGTGTATTTTTCACTTTTTTCTTACTTCACGTTTATTATTTACTCTATTACGCTTTGAGCGTTGTACACGCCGCAAAAGCACGAAACCAAATGCGACGAAGACGCCAGAAAAAGGGGCGAATTGAGAGCCGACATTCGGCGAATTCAACGAAGCGAAACGAAGGATACGAGGAAAATCCTTTTCGCCGCCTCGCTCTCGTTTATGTAACTGTGAATGTACATAACTGAGATTCTGTGACCATGTGACGTCACAGGCATGCGAGCCCCTTTGCTTTTATTAGGCATTTGTTTGGATTTAATTGAAATGCGCCGCGAACACACACTAATTGGTGTAAATTGCAGCTCTCCTTGATTCTCCCCCACTTATCCTCCTATTTTCCTCTTACTAACCCCCTTTTCTTGTTTTATTTATTAATTAGCGGCCCGCTAAATAATCACCAGACGAGAAGCTGCAATCAAATCGAAAAAAACTTGGCGGGTTTCATTGCACAGATTTCATTACACTTCATTATGGTCAATCGAAATCCCTTTACCGCTCTCACCGCCTTGGTTAGAGGGAGAGGCAGAGCTAGCAAACTTAAATTGCGAATTCATCAGAATTGTTTTTTACTGTTTCTTTTTTGTTGCTATGCGGCGAATTGTACCTATTATATAACACTGCTTACTTTTCTCTCCCTCTCTCCGTAGAGATCCTTTAATGATACCGTACCACTTACACACACGTCTGTATGTACATTGTACACTGCAAATTTCTCTTCGCTTTCCCTGCCTTATTTTCCTATATTCCCTGCTTTGCGGTTTCTGCTCTTTTTTTTAATTTAAATTTTGCTCTTTTCATCTGCCACTTCAAAAAACGAGCTAAGATACATAACTAGAAACAAACCATACAACAAAACAGGATAACAACTAGGGAAATTTTGTGAATTTGTTTCTCGAAAATTTAGTACAATCGCCAAACAATTTTAAAGAAAAACTTGTGTGTTTGACAAACATTTCACAGAAGCCTGCGACTTGTCAACATTTTTCTTCAAGTGCATACTCTCACCTCACAAAAGACACACAAGTACTATAATATTATTTTGGATTTTTTAGTCTAGGTTGTTCTTTCAAGGGTTTTTGGTTTTTTGTTGCTGCTGCGCGGGAGAGAGCGTGAGCACGCGCGAGAGGGAGAGAGAACGACTGCAAGGGTCTGAATTCGCGAACAAACTGAAACAAATGAAGCAAAATTAAGGCCAACAACGGCGAAAGCTCGTCCAAAAAAGCTTGCGAGAAAGGGTCAAAACGAGTGCTGAGCACGATGAGTTGTGAGGGGGCAGAGGGGATGAAAGCAGAGTTAGAAAATTGTAGCAACAGAAGGGAGAGGGGGCGTGGCGCGCCAGCAGCTGTTTGCTTTGCACGTGAGCGGAAAAAAGAAATCGGATCGAACATTAATCGCCATCTTGTCCCCCTGGTTCTCCAATTAAAAGCGAGCCGCTTATCTACGCCCCTGGTGGTTGGCCAGGAATCGTTCTTGCTCTTATCTTATCAGTGAACTCCCCTCTACCCCTCTACCGACACCCATTGACAACCGCTCGCGCAATCTTTTCCCCGCCCACTCATTTTCAGCCGGTTAAAGCCCGAGCTTTGGTGGTGTCTGGCAACGCTGGCAGATAAGCAGGGTTGCTTTGTTGTCGCGAAAATGATTACCCAAAAGCCCGATTCTTGAAGAGCTAGCAAAATACAGTCTATTTTTTTATTATTTTCTAAATTAAGATCATTACAAAAAAATGGAATGTAAACCAAGGTTGTAGATCTAGTCGAAACATGTTGTTTAAAGTTTGTATTTTATGACAAAAATTAAAAACGTTTGCCATCTACGTAATTTAAATATGAGCGCTTAAGTTATTGGCATCACCGAACTTTTACCGATATTTCATAAAATCATCGCGCTATCGCTCGTCGAATGAACTTCTGTTTTTTATAGCCACTTTCCACAGAATCATCATTACAACGAAAAAAAAAACCACTCGGGAAAACTCGAGCCTTAGCCAATAGTTTTAACACCTACAACAAGTCTGCGTACGGGTGCGAAAGCATCTCTCAAGTTGGGATGTCGAAAATATATCAAAATATCGATACATCGATGATTTTTTTGAAAAATATATTAAAGTGAAATATTTTTGGGCCGAAATATCGAAAATCGATGTTATTTGTAAATGATATTTTGGTCCTAATGGTCTAATGGTTTTCGGGTTTTGGGTGAACTTCCGTTTAGCTCCAACACCCGATATCGTCCAAACTTTCAATATCCACGTTAGTTTGGGTCCTGATTACGGGAAAAATAGTCAAAGTTGGCGCAAATAACGGGATCGTGGAAAACAACGGTAAGACCTGTTTTTCGTAAATATCTTCGAATATATTAATATAAAAAAAAATTTTTCCGGGAAGAAATGAAAGCTATTAAGGAAATTAATAATTTATATTTTAAACATTTCTTCTGTAAAACTAATAGTTTTCGTTAAAAACGCTAAATAAGATTACATTTTCACAAGGTTTGAAAATAAGAAACCGTTGGAGCACACTTGCGTCATTTTGCTCGATATATCGCACGAAAGCTTGTTGTTATATCGGCGTGTTGATATTGATGTCACTCGTTGTTTTATTGATGGTACGACCAAAACACGAGAACGGCATTAAAATTTTTAAGAACACGAAATTAAAATAGTAAAGTCTAAATGAAAAGTATAAGCAAAATATAAGTGTTGGAAAGAGCATTTCAGTTGTCGTAGTTAAAAATAAAGGTAAGAAAACAAAATAATTTTCAAATTACAAAACGAAAAAAAAATGTGTTAACAAAAATTATATAAAAAGCATTTCTAAATGTCACAAGAAATATTTTTTTTTCTTAAATCGCGGCGAGCTTTGGAAATAATGATTATAACAAAAAAGATCCGTTATATATATTTCTTTTGTTTTTGTTTAAAATTTTTTTGATGTTCCTTATATTTTTGGAAAAAACAGCAAAAAACCCAAAACGTTACGGCTTTTACCGTTATTTTTCAAGATCCCGTTATTTGCGCCATTTTTTACCATTTTTTCCTTAATCAGGACCCAAAAACACGTCGATATGGAAAGTTAAAACAAAATCAGGCGTTGGAGCTAAACGGAAGTTTATCCCGGGTTTTTTTGAAACTCTATAAATTAAAAAAAAACCCGAAAACACAATTTTTTGATTCTCAAAAGGACATTTTTTAAATTCCTTTTCTTGCAGACCGGTTTCATCGTCACCGATAGCTCTTATCGATTAACAATAAAAATATTGATCTTTAGGATATAGTTGTCCGATCCGGCTCGTTCCGACTTATATACTACCTGCAATGAAAGTACGACTTTTGGGAAAGTTTCGTCCCGATAGCTTTAAAACTGAGAGACTAGTTTGCGTAGAAACGGACAGACGGATATGACTAGATCGACAAGTAATGCTGATCAAGAATATATATACTTTATGGGGTCGAAAACGTCTTCTTCACTTCGTTGCAAACTTCTGACTGAAATCATAATGCTCTCTGCAAAGGTTTAAATATAAGGGTATAATATACGAAATCGCTAATGTAAGTTAAACGGAAGTTCTTGCGTAATCCCTATCAAGATCTTTTATAAACTTTTGTGACGAAAGTGTTTATACGATCGACTAAATAAAGAAATAAATGTAACCATTTGTTACCCCCCGCCCTAATAAACATTGTCGAGTGTATGGTATAGTGACGATACTTTTTTTTTAATGTCACTTTTCCAAAAGTCAATATTTAATGTAAAAAAGGTTAAAAGCAGAAAAGTTGCTGAAATCTATTTCTGTAAAAGTTTGATAGTAAAAAAGATAAAACTCTATGCAGATGTGAAAATTATTTATTTTTTCTTAAAAGAATCCATTTATATAATGTATATTTAACTTTACACTTTAAAAAAGTCTTGTTTACCTCTGAGATTATCTAGTTTAAAAACATCAACAAAAAATAATAGCTTTTCTATATACAGGATATATTGACTGTGGAAATGAAAATCCAACGATATAATGCCAAAAAATAGCGAAACGAAACCAATTGGCCGAGGGGAATTTTTTATTTAAAATGTTTATTTTAGGGAGAAAAAAAACAACAGTTTATAAAGTTATCTGGTAGTATTATTGCTTCTTTGAACAAAAACAATTAAAATTCTTTAAAAACAATTTGTCAAAAATTGAATTTTTAAAGGTTGTTCTTATTTATGTTATTAATAGTTAGGAAGGAAGCCTTACTTCCTTCTCGTGTCATGGATGCTTCGCCATTTTCCCCGCGCCATCTGCAGTCCAGTTCCGATTCGCAATATGCCAACATGGCATTTGAGGGAGTGGGAGCCTGATTGGGAGCCTGGTTGTTCCGCTGATGCTGTAGGAAGTCACTCATCATACTGGTAATGGTTGGTAATGGCTCCTCCAGCTGTCCCTTAGCGGGCACGTCCTCCAGCTCGTATTACTAGTGGTTCTGCGAAAAATATACTTATATTGGTACAACGTAACCCAATTCTTTTGGCTAGAGCTTAGTTTCCTTCTCAAAGGGCTTCTTGGTTGCATTATCTTCAGCACTTCCACTATTCTGCGGATTTGCCGTGTTATGGTATTGTTTCCTGTGGGTCAAGTCCCACAATCATTGGCAACAGCTTGGTTTAGGCGTCCTTTTTTATATGCACTGACTTCCTACAGGGTGTTTTTAACCCCCGCTTCTGCACTAACACACCGAAAGTTAAAAATTTTTATTCTTTGCGCCGCTGCTAACGCCGTTCATCGGAATTCACTGACGAAATCAGGTATTTTTTATGGTATTTCCTTAGCACATCTGAGTATCGCGCTGAAAAACAGACCCGATGAAAAGCGTTAGCCGCCTGTTTGACTCTCGCTTACTTCAATGATTAGCTCGCGGTTTTCGTCGATGTGAGTACTAGGCTAAAGGCGCAAAGGAAAAATGCAAAGTACCACGAAGTGTTGCTAAATTTCTTATTAATACTTATATACATTAAACTGATTTGGGTTTCCCACAAATCTTTACTGGCACTGCTGAAACACTTATAAATTAAAGTTTTTTAATTTTTGTTCCACCTTTTTAGTCAAAAGTATCTTATAAAAAGGTTATATTAATATTAATATTATAATAAATATCAATATTACTATTTATTTTAATATTAATATTAGTGTAAATACTTACATTATCGACACGATAAAAGAATCCGACGTGACGTCACATGTAAGATTTGAAGAATTCGTATTTTTTTTAGTATTTCATTGTACTAAAGATTGTTGTACTTTTTAACAGTTTGGCTTTTAAAGGCAGAGTACCACCCATTTACAACAATAACCGCTACGTAAATAAGGGAGCTATATATCACACATATAAGTTAAATATCCTTTTTTCCACTTTAAAATGAATATATATTTTTTTGCACATTGTTTGCGTTTTGACAAATATAGCAATAAATTACGACTACATATTAGAAATAATAATAATTAACATTTAATGAGCGTTCAGATGTTGTTTTTGCGGCTTATGCGAACGCGGCCCGATAAAAAGAGAAACTTAACAAGAAAAAAAACAGAACAAGTTATCTAAATACCAAATATATGGATATATGCGTGTGAAACTGACGCGGGGTTTATCCTGCCGCCATCATAACAAACAATACATAATTCGCTACCTCCGCGACTCTCTTTCGGATTACCTTTAGCTTTTCTGTTTTTACATAATATTATTGACTAAATTGTAGATCAACGAATGTCTGTTTTCCATCTCCATGTGGCACCACCAGCAAAAAGCTTAAAGCATTGTAAGTATCGAGGGTGCAAGAGTGCAGAGTTTGCAATTGACATTTTTTTTCATTAAAGAGAATATTCCATTCAAAATTGTTAAAGAGAAAATGCATCAAAAAATTATAAAATAATCCACGTTTAACGGGTTTAGAAATTAAATATTTGGAATATGCTTATAATGTTAGCCCGAAAATCATTTAAAAATGTAAATATATAGTTTACAATTGTTAAAAAGAAATAAGTTTTGGGCTTTCCTGCTTTAACAGTTGATATGATTAGCTTTTAAGGTACGCACTTTTCTTCTTCCAAGGTTTAAAAATGAGATATTTCGAACATTTTAACAGAATTTAAAGGAGGATGAGATATTTGTGAATATATGTTTTTCAACTTCGACATTCTTGCAGTTTGCTATTTGGATTGGGGCTAACTATTTGGTCATGCTGGCCAGCAAGTGGTGCTGGTGGTGATGGTGATGCGGCTGGCGCTAGTTGGACTTGGTGAATTCAGTGCGGTTGGCGGCCACTTCGGCCAGAATGAGTAGATCTGAGGTAGAGGAGGTCACGTCAAAGGCCGGCTGCGAGGATAGTGACGAGGATGACGACGAGGAGTTCGAAGACAGTGGTGGCGAGGTCGACGACGAGGTTACAGAGGCATTCACCGCCTTTGGGGCACCACTCTGGTTAAAGTAGTAGCTGCCGTTGATGGTCAATGGCAGAATGGAGGCCACTTCCTGCTCGATGGCGCTGACATCGCGGCGCGTGATGCTTTCTTTGCGCGCCTTGCGCCGCTGGCTGCCCACAGCCTGCAGTTGCTGTTGCTGCTGTTTAATCCTTACCATATGCTCGCTGGCTGCAGTGATAGCTCCTTTTGCCGCAGCAGGTGCTGAATTGGACACCACTGATCCGCAACTGTTGCTGTTTGAATTCCTCTGTTTCTTACTGCCGCTAAATTTCTTCTTCTTTTTGGTGCTACGCTTGCGCTGCAGGTACGCATCCAAGCTGAGGGCCGGCAGCTCCTTGATCTTCTCCTCGAGATCGAAAAAACCACTGTTGCTAGACTCGGAAAGGCTCCGCGGATGCTTCTGAATGGAATCAGGACTTCTGTTTTGGCGTTCTGGCGGTGAAACGGGCGGTGTATTTGGCCCCGCATCTAGGGGAAGGTCTACAAAGTTTCCACCCAAATGTCCTGCGGGCGGTGAACGGGCCTTGCTCTTCTTAGCTATGGCGGCGAGTTGTCCAGAGTTGACTAGCTCCTGGTATATCTTGCCTTTGCAGGAGCGTGATGATTTGGCCTTCTTGGTGGGAGAGCCACCGCTGACCGCCTCCTCCTCGCTGGAATTGCTCGAGTTGCTGTCCGGCAAGGAGCGCTTATTGCCATTCCCATTCGGATTGCCTCCTGGCATGTGGGCGGATAGAAACTGACTGGTCTCGCTGAGCACCTGCTGCAGGGCGTAGTCTTTCTCCTGTACTTGGACTTGTAATAGGGAGCTCAGCTCGCCCATCTGCGTTTCATCCGCCAGCTTAAAGTAGTTGCGACGCAGCAGAGCACGTGGCATCTCGCTTCGCTCTGCCCACTGCAGTTGCAGTGCGGTCCGCACCTGCTGCTGTGTCTGATCCTCGCTGGGTATAAACAAACCAGTAGCCACATTGCTGGGACGGGTTGCCAACGTTCGCAGAGGCGGAGCGGGCAGTTTGTACCACTTGAAGTTAGGATTGGCATTAAAGAAGGCGTCCTTGTTCTGCAAAAGGCGAAAACATCTCTTAGAAAACTCTTAGGGCTCAGGGAAAAAGGTGTGTTAAATAAATCTAAAGTTTTGGAACAGGTGAACATTGTGATCCCCACCTGTTGCGCCAGATCCGTGAAGCAGTGTTTTTCTTGCTCGTCAAGTGCGGCCCACCAGTCGCCCAGTATCTTAGTGATGGCACTAAAATTATGAATAGCAATTTAAGTAATTTTTCCGAAGACCAACTTTTTTGCAGCAAAAACCTACCGGTTCTCGAGGGTCTTGTACCGCTCCTTGACAATGCCGCGATGTCGCTTGCAGAAGATGAGGAATGCGTTCATGGGGCGGCGGGCATGGTGCTCCGGTCGGATGTTGTCTGCCGGCTGATCCTCCTGGAGCTGCTGCGGCTGTACTTGATGGCGATCCTGATCCAGCTGCGGCACTGTTACAACATCCACGTCCACATGCTCTTCGTCGGCCTCGCGACGAATGCGTGTTATTTCCTGCTGCACCGGTAACTCAACCTGGATCTCCTGCTCTTCCTCCTCGTCCTCCCCTTCTTCATCGAGCTCCTCATCGTCGTCCTCCTCCTCCTCGGTGTCGCTACTGTAGTCCTGCAGCTTGGCATAGTTGTGCACATCCTCGATGCGTCGAAAGGCATTTTCTTGGTCCTCTGTGCGCTGCGGCTGAGGGTTGACTAAGGCACTTTTGGCGGCTTCACCGGGTGATCCAGGTGCTTCTGCTCCTCTGTCTAAAGCTTTAATTTCCGTTCCTCCAGCATTTGATTGGTTTTCCTTGGGCCTGGGCATGGGCAACCAGCGGAGTCCGCTGGCTCCTATTTGGGAAACCTTTCTTACAGCAGCAACACCACTGGGAGCTCCTGCAGAACAGATTGAATTTGCTGGTCGTTTGCGGACACTCATGGCTGGATCAGCTACTTTGTAAACTGCTCTTAAAGCCCCAGAACCAATGGGAACTCCAAGCAAGGGAGACACAGAAGCTGAATTCTTGAACAATTGAGAAATACTAGTTCCAGGAGCAACTACTTGGCAGTTCATAAAAGTGCCAGATCCTTGGGCAATGCCAGATGTACCCTCTCCGGCAGCTCCTGCTATCAACCCGGGAGAAAGTTCTGTGGGACTTGCAGAGTCCTTAGCACGGCACGGCCCTCGGCTGATGACAGTTATCCGTGGTTCGCCTGATGCCACTGAACTTCCAGATGCGGGTGAAAGTCCTATGGCGTAGCCTATAGAACCCCCTGTGCCTTGGATGAGCCCAGCTGCCAGAGATGTATCCGACCCTGCATAAGATCCTGCTGCAGCGGAAAGTCCCGAAAAGCTCCCTAGTTCTTGTATACCACCTGTTGGCACAATCGCTTCACTTTTTTCCCGGATCTTAATCATTTTCAGCACTTCGCCCGTCTTTTTGTTGTTGTTGTTGTTGTTCATATTTTGCTCCACTGTTTTAAGGCCACTGTAGATGTTTTTGTTGTTGGTGGTGCTGCTGCTGCCGTTGATGTTGCTGTTGTTGTAGGCAAAGTGCAACTTAATTGCAGCACCTGTTGGCGTCACCTGTGCTACCTGCTGACCACCGCCAATGCTCAGGCCGTTGATCATTGAGAACATGATTTTCCTCCTTTTCGTCTAGTCCCGCTCCTCGAACATAATCCGCTGAAATTATTGAAAAAGTTATGTACTTTTTAGAGAGTGAATTCCACAAATGCAAGAAAACGGCGATGCCAATGTGGCTGGAAAAAAAAACTAATTGGCAGCTCTGGATTTTGCGATATTGAGTTGTTTACAAATTTCCAGAGAGAAAGAGATAGCGAGAGAGATCAGCTGTGCTTGTGTGTGTGCGTGCTGTGACGCCTTCTTTCGCTTCTTCTCTTTCTTTCCCATACAAAACTTTCTTAAACAAAAATAAAAACTTATCACACAATAACAAAGCAATTTTTCATTATGAAATTCAAGCTATATTCGAACAAAAAAACTGTCAGCATAAGGATATTTGCAAAATAAATAAACAAAATAACAACAAAGGCTAATGCACTTACAAAAATTATATTTATTTTTGATTTCCAATAATTTACAACACTACGGCCTACAATAGCAACTGCAGATTAAGAACATTTATTGGTTTAGATATTGTAATATGTACAAATACGGGTATGTTGATATAAAAACGCATTCGCCTTTGTTACTGTTAGGTCAATGACAACAAAGATTATTAATGCGCTAATAAAAAAAACACAAGTTAAAATTTTCTGTGTAACAAAAGTACCTGCTGAACTCAACAATAGTTTTTAATATTGATATATAATTATTTGCTTCGTATTGCTATTGCACAATTATGTGACAAACAAAACACACAAATAAAGAAATGGAAAAGAAAAAACAGCAACAAAAACAAATAAAACGAAAACAGGCTACGTGTACAGCTGAGCGTAAGCTTGTGTGTGTGCGCGAGAGTGAGACCGCTAGAAGAGAGTGTACGAGTGCGTTGCCTTCCCTCTTTTTCGCTCAGTTCGCTTTGAACTTGATTAAGTCAATTGTGGTTGCTGTTATTGTTGCTTTGTTATTCTACCTAATTGTTTGTGCGAGCAACGCACTGCCTTTGTTGTTATTGTAAATTTTTCGGCGGGGCAAGAAAGGGGAGAGGATCGCCGTGCCAGTGTTGCCACCTGGCCTCATAACTAAAGTGCAGCTGTCAGCTGTTGGTTACCGTTGGCCGTCTCTCTCCATCTCTTTCGCTCTTACAAATACAGATGCACACGGTCAAGGCCAAGTTTTGAAAGGGCGGTGGGTGGTAGGAAGAGGGGCTATTCTGTTCATAACCTTCAAACGTATAATTCTGGTTTCTAGGTTAGCTTTTTAACTGACTTTTAAATGCAACCACTTGATTTCAACTTTAAAGTCAACTGGAAACACACATTCAAGCACACTAATGTTTCTCATATATTTAGCTCACACAAACACAAACAAAGAACAGCTGATGACGTTTGTTATTTTGTGCGCGTCGCTTATTTTAGACTTTTTTCGCACAAAACAAAAATCTTAAATGAAAACTATTTTTTACGGCCTTAGCATAAATAAAGGTTTGTTTTAATCGCAATTTACTTGAATGAAATTATTGCCTCGAATCGAAGAGTCTGCTCTCGTTTAATTAAATTTCAATGTTGATGATGTCAAATGAGAATGAAAACTGACTGTGTTTTCTGTTTTTGTGCGGCCGCCAGAGGCAGCGACGTCGGCAGCGAAGACGACGATGTGGAGACGTCGCGTCGCACTATGGGCCAGATCACACAATATTTATATTTAAAAATGTACAACAATTTTGAGGGGCAGATCTGCTATAATCTGATCCGAAGATGTTTGAAATTTTGGTTGAAAATGGGTTCTTTTTCGAAAACCTATTTGAAGCAACTTCCGTACATATGCATATTCTAAAAAAAATAGCATTTCGAAATAAAAACATTTAAAGTTTTTTAGTATCTTATGTCGTTAGGCAAAGCGATCAAACTTTTACATTTCTCGTGCTCTGTGAAGACCGGAAGTTAAAATGTGTACACAACATAGATTATTACACGATATACAATTTTTATAGAAAATGTTGTGCTTCGGCTTAGTTCTAGTAAATTTGAAATATGTATAATGTACAACAAATATTGAAAACTTTAGCCAAAAAACTTAAATTTTTCATGAAGCTTTATGCGTAGATATGTAAACCTTACACATTATGCACTTAATTTAAAAAAAAATCGTCATAGAAAGATAGAAAAGGTAAAAAATCTCTATATGCAGTACAAAACGTAGTTCTCGAGAGAGTGAACACGAATCTGCACCACAGCACAGTGGCATCGCTGCTGACGCTTAATTACGCGCAACAACAACAAAACCACAGCGAAATTTATTTTATTTTGCTTTTTCTTTCTGCAGGCGCTACTTGTATATGTGAGGTTCCCATATCCGCAACGCATCCATTTTCACACAAATCTTTAGTCTCTCTCCAAAAACAATAACAATGTAACCGTTTGCCGAATGGGAGAGACGAGTGCGGCTATCTCTGTTGCACTTTCTGCGCTGGCTCAGCTGTTTTCGATTTCTTAGTTACGGGAGAATCGCACTCAGTCAGTTTGTTTTGAAAAGGGGATTTCCAAAAATTGTATCTTAGGTATATTTTGTTAAGCTACATTATTTAAAAAAAAATTTGTGCTAAAATTGACATTTCCTAGAGAAAAGCTTTTACCAAACATTTAAAATGATACCAATTTATTATCCAAAAAAAAGATAAATTGTTTTAAAAAAAAAGAAGCGGAAAGTAAAGTAAAAGAAAGAAAAGTTAAATTTAAAATTAGGTCATATCGAAAATAATTGAAAATGTTAAACTAAGTGAAATGTTCTCCTTTTGCAACAAGTTGGTGAATTGCAATATAACAGTGTGTGTGTGTGTGTGTGTGTGTGTAAATGGGTACTACTACATATGTATATGCACTTTATTTACCCTGCAGTACCATTCAGCGCTTATTGAGCACTCAATCACTGCAAAAAGCTCATCACTCAGCGCTCAATGAGCGCACAATTTGTATGGAGCTATGTGCTGAAATTAACATAGGCATGTCCTAGGGTTCATCAGTGCTCAAAAAATAGCACTCATTGAGCGCTTTTTTGAGCACCCTCCTGAGCGCTCGATTGAGCAGCTGAAAAAGCACACGTTCAGCACATGTTGAGCGCTCGATTGAGCAGCTGAAAAAGCGCACGTTCAGCACATGTTGAGCGCTCGATTGAGCCGCGATAAAAGCACACATTCAGCACACGTTGAGCGCTCATTCAAGCAGCGAAAAAGCGCACTTTCAGCGCACGTTGAGCGCTTAGCAGCAAAAAAAATTTCAGTTGTAATTTTTATTTTTATTTGTTTATTTTAAAAATTGAGCTCGGGGGTTTCCGGTGTTATCGGGGTCGCTGGCACCTCCTCCTCAGCATCTGGTTTTTAACGCACCGCATTGCCTTCTGCAGCGCCTTTTCGGGAGGCTCCGAGGGATCGACCATGGCGATTGCATCTAGTATTAGAAAAAAATTAGTTTTAAAAATAAAACAAGACGAGAATAAAAACGAGTGACCGAAAGTAATCGTTATTTGTAAGATTTATTTATAATAAAAGAAATGTTATCTTTGGCATTCAATGTAAAAATCCCAGAAGTCTTTTAAAAATTAAACTTACAAACAATAGTTACTTTCAGCCTCAATAAAAACTTACTTAATAAGTAAGTTGTGGGACAGAACAAGTTCCTCGGATAATATGCTTAAGATGGAACGATTTAGCCTTCCATTTTTTTATAGATTTACCTTCAGCCTTGTCTAAAAATATAAGAAAATGCAAAAAATATCGAGAAGAAATTAGCAAACTTTTGTTTTCGGTCACTTGATTTATTTTATTTTGTTGTAAACAATTTTTACGAAAAATAAACCACACATTATTTATGTATTTTATATTATTTATTAAAACATTTATTTATTTTGCAGTTGCGGAAAAAAATAACACTTTTCCAGGAACTGAAAATTGGAGATGTTTGAGATTTTTATTTAAATACGTACACAAAAGTAAGAATTGTTGTTAAATGTTATTAATATTCATTTTTATCGAATTTTAACCACAAATATAAGTTTTAAAAACAAACATCTCTTATTTTTTGTCCCTAGAAACTTTGCACTCAATAAGATTTTTAAATTCTTTCACAGATTTGTTTATTATATGCACCATTTGTTGCTTTTCACGTCAAAAATTAATATTTTTCACAGCTATTTTTTTCCGCCACGTGTTATTTTGGGAATCTTGTATTTCCCTTATTTTTAATATAGATTATCTTGTTTTTTACTCTCACTGTTTTCAATATTATTAGTCTGCGACAGACTTACCTGGGAATCGTTTCTTTTTCACTTTTAAGGCACTAATTTAATTTAATTTAGTAAATTGCTGGTATGTTTGCTTCAACTTCTAACTCCTTCACTAAAGTAAACGCAAGTGAAAAGACGAAAAAAGGCGCGTGCCTTCCAGAAAAACAACAAGCAACAACAACAACGGTTCCGCTAAGCCGTTGTTGTTTTTTTTGCATGTCCCGTTTGGTCTATGCATCTTGCACATAAAAGCAGGGTATTTATAGACATATTCGACTATGCAAATCGGTTTATAAAAATATATTTTTAAAACTTTACATATTATTAAATTATATTAATAAACATATAAATTTGTTTAAGAAATACAAATATTTTAAAACAGAAACCTATTATTTTAAATCGTTGTTTTATCATTTACGAACAAATGTCGCACTATTCAAAAGGCAAGGGTGCACAAAAGTCTATATATTTTAGTTGCTGGGCCTCCTTCCCATCACACGCACTTTTCCGTCTGAGACATGGAGAGAGAGGGAGAGCCCAAAATTACTTTTTGTGCGTTCTCTTTGCGGACCCGACTGAGAGCGCGTCGCTTTGCGCTCAGCTCTGCCGGCGTCGCTGGCTTCTCTGCCGACGTCGCAGTCGGCTTCGTGATGATTGGGCGCTTAACTCAATTGTGGAACTGCAGGGTATGTACATTCACACCACCCTCCAAACTGTGCTTTTTTATTGCATAACCACACTTAACAGTTTTGCTCGAACGGTTGCCGATTCAGTTTGTTTGCAATTTGCATTTTTTCCCAACCCAGGAGCAACAACAATGTTATTGTTTTTCAAGGTCATACACACATGCAAAGCGAGATGAACGGCAAAACAACCCACCCACCCACCGCCACCCCCTGCAATTCACCACACACCCCCCAACGGTTCAGGTTTGGAGGTTCACTTCAGTTCAGTTCTCCTCTCTCTTTTTGGTTGAGAGAGCGACACAAGCGACCCAAACTGGCTATCTCGTCTCACACAGACAATCTCAAAACCATTCTCGCAGTAGAGTGAACCAACTTAAATGCGAATTAGCAAATCGTATCTTTCGGGTTTAGTCCCAGAAATATCTGTGGGCGGAATGTTGTCGATATTTGTATTGATGTTTTTCAGAATTCCGTCTTTCGCGCGAAGGGATTTCTGTGCTACCCCCGACAAAGAGAATCAATGAGCTATACGAAAATACATGGCTTTTATAAAAAAAATATTCACTAAGAAATATATATATTCCTCTTCAGGAAATTTCTTCGCGCTGAAAATGTAAGACATAATCGGTGTGTCATAGGTGTTTCTTCCCTACAGCCTTAAACTGGCGTGATGACTCAATTACTTAACGAAAGCTAACTAAACGGCAGGTTCGCTATATTGGGCGTGCACTGTATTTACGTATGTTTTCGGGGCGGCTGGGATACCGTTATGCACTGTATCTAGCTCTCTTTCTACACTTGTCTCTATCGCCTGTATGTGTATGTGTATGTGTATGATTGCATGTTGCTTGGTGGCAGTTTTCAGGGTCAGGGAAATTCGATTTTTGTGTCTGTCTCTGCTTCTTCTTCCTTGTTGCTTTCCTTCACTATCAACACAATACTGTCAAGGCCAAAATTAAATGAAGTTAAAAACCAATTTAATATTGAAACCTTGATACTCTCCCTTATTGTTTGGTAAAAATAAAAGTTTATAGTTTTTAATAGTTTGATAACAATATATTTTATGTATGTTAGGGTGTATCGACTTGGGTGTCTTCAAATCGTAGGGGAATTGGCTTGACAAAGAGTATGAATTGCATACAAATTTATACTGACAGACTATTTTTATATAATTATTAAAATGTCGTTATGCTTACTCAAAGACATGGCTGGAAACTTTGTGGTAAGTCACATCTGCCCAGACCTTTCATAAATGAGATTATTTTGAAGAATCTAAACACCTTTGCTTAAAATAAAATTCAAAGCAACATTTCCTAATTTAAATCCAATGTGTGCTATTTATGTGCACAGTTCATTTTACAAATATGAGCCTAAAAATTTGATTTTCTTCAGAACCATGGCTCCAACTGCTAGAAATGTTATTTTTATTAAAAACAAATGTTAATCGAACACAACTGGAAACAAATTACTCACAAATAGAGAAAGCTTACTTTTTGTGCTATTTATATGATCGTGGCTGTATGTATCTCAGTGTCCTTAAATTTGGAACATGGTATGGACGAAAAAGTTGTTAGAAAACGCTTGGGGAACACAGTCTAGTGACAAGTCTAAGCCATATTACTTAAAAAAAAAGAGCAATTACTTAAGAAAAACAGTGGGTTTTCGCTTTATTTTTGAGAAAAATATCTAGTCTCCAATACAAAAATAAACGATTTTTAAAAAGAGTTATAAAAAGACAACACTTAAATTAAATTTATAAAGCTGAAAAGGAAACTTCTTAATTATACGTCGGAAAGTATGTAACAGGTAGAAGGAAGTGTTTCCGACCCTTTAAAGTATTTATATTCTTGATCATGATCACTAGCCGAAACGGTCTAGTCATGTCCGTCTGTCCGTCCGTCCGTATGAACGCTGATATCTCGGAAACGATAAAAGCTAGAAAGTTGGGGTTGGGCATGTAGATTCTTGACTTTCTTGCGCAGCGCAAGCTTAATTCAGCAGGGTGTCACGTCCACTCTAACGCCCATAACGCTAAAACCCGTTTAGCACCCACTTTTTGTTTAATATTAACATCTGAATAAGATTTTCTTTTAATTATCAAAAACGTTTCAAATCGGGTCATTTATTAAAAGTTATAACCAAATAAAGTGTGCAATCTTGGGAAAATAAGCTTTGCTACTTGTATATCTACATTTATCTCCCTCGCACTCCCTGAGTGCTCCCAGTACACTTAGCTGAGTAACGGGTATCCTGATAGTCGATGGCATCGACAACAGCGTTCTCTCTTGTTTTTTCTAAAATGTCTTTTTTGTTAAAGTTGGGCCACATCCGTTATAGATATTCGCTTTCACCCCTATACACCAAAAAATTAAATTCTGCTGGGTTGGTCCGATCATAAAAATGAAGACGCCAAAATTAAATGTTTAATTAAATGTCAAGGCTTTTGGAACAGATAGGAATCAATATTTGTTAGTATTTTTTGCGAAAAATTAGCGTTGAATTCGGTTAGAAACCATTGTTCAGTTAAAAATTATTTTACAAACAAGATTTTAGAGTTGATATAAAAACCCCCAAAAGTTAATCACACTTGTTACAATAGCAAGCTTCCTAGCTATACACCTTCATATTCTTTAACGTTTGGAAATTATTGAGCGATAATATCTGCACTTTGTTTCAGTTCGGTGTAATAAGTACAAATTCCTAGAAAATATCTTGAGAATTCCAGAGAATTATATTTGCCTTTAAACTTTAAATTTTACAGTGCGCCGTTTAAAAAATTTCTTAAAATTTGAGGAATCTTGAGTCCCAAATTGTCGTAAACCAGAAAGTATATTTAGCTTATTGGGAAGAATTGAGTAAACCGCCAAGAGGTGTTAAAAAAAAACTATTTTGTCACTTCTGCGTTATTTCCAGCGGCACTTTTTGAGTCAAAAATGAATTGAGAATTTATAAAAGACTGTGTGAAAAAAAAGTGAGCAAAAAAAACACTGAACAAGAGAGCAAAATTAATAAGTTTTACTATTAAATCAATTTTTTTACTAGTGGTTTTCGTTTAGTCTTGATGTTAATGAACTTTGAAAAAAGGGGCGTTCCACGACCAAGACCAATTTTCCGAATACATACATAAATATAAGACGGAATTATTCTATTTTCAGCCAAGAGTCAAACAATGATAAGACTTATCGCACAAACCACGGAAACTGAAGAGAAAAATGGGGGCGGGTGAAAAGACCACAACGATAAGCGACAGCCAACCCACGAGATATTTTTTTTAGACGATACTCTATAAGTATCTATACACCATAAGTATGGTTATACGCAAATATTATTTTGTACGTACACGTAGTGACGAAGCGTACAAGAGTTTGCATAGGCGACTACTATCGCTGTGGACAGCAGGAGTATATCACTGTGTAGAGTATCCACGTAGTGACGAAGCGCTCCAGGAGAGTGTGCGAGGGCTACTACAATATATACACGAAAATGAAAATCTTCTGAGATAGTCCGATCGCAACGAGTGATACATCAATCGAAAGGTATTATGGGTCTTCTCAAAATTGAAATTTAAGTTTGTCAGTTTGTCTCAAAACGTTATTTTAGGGTCCTGTAAATTGAAGATGATGTTAAACAGCTTAACATAAGAAACTTTAGTTCTACTTCTTTTGGAAAAACTCGCTAGTTTGGCGGGAAAACAGGTATAAATAGCTACATTTCGTACGCCCGTATCTTGTAAATTTCAAAAGCTACATGCTTGTGCTATGTGTCGTTAGAAAGGTGTATTAAAGTACTGTGTACGCCTTCTTAACATGAGTTGTCTAAATAACATTGTTTAAAAATTATGGCCTTTTTAATTTTTATTTTTTAGCCTTTTTTTTCTTAAAAACGATTTTGGTTAAAACGTTAAACTATGTAGCCCTTGAAACCCCTCAACTTTAAACAACATTGAAATTTGTATGTGTGTATCCAAAAGCTATTTTAGGGCAATGTTATAAACAGTTCCATATAAGAAACTTAAATTCTACGGCTTTTGTGAAATTTTATGTATTCTATGATTGATGTTTTAAACAAAACATTCTGAAATAAAAGAAAAACACCTCTTAAGAGGGTACAAATCAAGTGACGATCGCACCTTCGACAAACAAAAGTTCTGAGATCAAATTTTGTGACGAAAATATATCATATATCATACCATACGATCAAAAAAAATGTTTTTTTTTTTTTTAAATATTACAATCACTTACCTAAATTGATCCCAAACAGGTTAGAAATGGGATATTCTGGTCGGGATTGATCCTACCGCTTGAGCACATTGATGAAGGTCTCGTGCGGCACGCGTATGTTGGCGAACATGCGCATCTTTTTCTTGCCCTCGGCCTGCTGTTTGAGTAACTTCATCCGCCGGGTAACATCTCCTCCGTAGAGCTTTGCTGTCACATCCTTCCGATAGGCCTTAATGGTTTCCCGGGCGAGAACCTTGCTGCCCACACAAGCCTGGATTGCGATCTGAACCATCTGCTTTGGAATAAGTTCGCGCAGCTTTAGCACCATCTGCCGGGCCACGGCCGTGGCCTTGGACACATGCACGATGCGGCACAACTCCTCCACGGGCTTGCCGTTTAGGTGAATGTCCAAACGCACCAAATTTGACGGATGATATCCGTGATCCTCGTAGCTGAAACTAGCATAACCTGAACTCAACGACTTTAGCCGATCGTGAAAGTCCAGTATGATCTCGCTCAGCGGCAAGACGTACTTCATTAAAACGCGCGTCTCGTCGATGTTCACCGAGCTCTGCTGCAATCCCCGTCGCTCAACACACAGCCCGATCACTTGGCCCACATAGTCCGTGGGCGTGATTATCGTACCCAAAACTAAGGGTTCGAAGTACTCCTTAATGCTGTGCGGTTCCGGAAAGAGAGCTGCATTGGAAATGTCCATAGTGTCGCGTCCTTGCTGCCGAATCATCTTTGGGTTGCTCAACACCAAACGGTATGTGACAGAGGGCGCTGTGATTATTGGCTCGGCACCATGCTCCTGCTCTAGACGTTGACAAAAGACCTCCATGTGCAGAAGTCCGAGGAAGCCCAAACGCCAGCCTTGACCCAAAGCCGGACTGGAATCAACTTTTACAGTGACCGCCGAGTCATTAAGAATCATCTTATCGATGGCGCTTCTCAGAGCCACATGTTTTGACTGATCTGCGGGGAAAACTCCAGCAAAAACAAGCGGCTGTTGCGGACGATAGCTTCCCGCGGCGCTGGTCGCGTGGTTCTTCAGGTGAAGGGTATCGCCAACAATGGACTCCTTACTGTTCCGCATATTGCAGGCAATCAAACCCACTTGACCAGCAGATAGTTCCGGAACTGGACATTCTGCTGGTCTCAAAACAGAGATGCTTTTCACGGGATACACCTTCTTAGTGGTCAACGATTGGATATCTTGGTTCTGCTCTAGCTTGCCGTTGAGCACATAAATAAGGTTAAGAGCTCCGCGGTATTTGTCGAACCAGCTGTCAAAGATTAAGGCCCGAAAATCGCTGTCCCGCTCAACTTGTGGGGGTGGTACGCTTTCTATAACCCGTTCTAACACCTCTGACACGCCAGTGCCCAGCTTGGCGGACACACGCAACACCTGGGCGGGATCTATGCCGAACAGCAGCTTTATATCCTGGCAAACTTGATCGGGATTAGCATGCTTGATGTCGATCTTATTGAGCACAGGTACTACGGCCAGTTGACGCTGCTTGGCCAGGTGGTAATTGGCTACAGTCTGGGCTTGGACACCGTGACAGGCGTCCACCAGGAGGACCACTCCATCGCAGGCGGCTAGCGAGCGCGAGACCTTGGGGAAGGACACAAAAGATTAGCATGAATGTCGATTTGAGGCATGAAACATACCTCATTGGAGAAATCCACGTGACCGGGAGTATCTATGAGGTTAAGTAAATACAGCTGCCCCTTGTGGCGGTGGAAGATCGAAGCGGTCTGGGCCTTGACCGTTATCCCACGCTCCCGCTCCACTTGAAGGCTATCTAACACCTGGGACTGTCCCCCATTGCGGGCAATGGCGCCAGTGAGCTCCAGCAGCCGGTCAGCCAGCGTGCTTTTGCCATGATCGACGTGTGCAATGATGCTGAAGTTCCGGATGCGCTGCACCGGCATACGAGCGAATTCCCGCAGAAGCTCCGCCTGTGAGGGTTCTTCCACTTTGGTCAAGTGCTCCTCAGATTCGGCCTTGACCTGATTCGTGGTGCTCAGGCTGCGGGCGGTGCCATCCCTGGACCTGGTCACCAGCCATGCGGAGTTCGAGTTGGGCCCCGCTCGTTGCACCAGCCAGCGGGTGGAAATCTTCCGAAACATATCGAAATTACATATTTTACCGGCCCGGCAAAAAAAAATGTTACGCCATGTGCGCGGTGTGACCGTGCGATGGGAAAATACCAATACCCAAATATATATACTAAACCAGGAAAATCATGTCCGTGTTTCAGGGGCGCATTCAGGGTATTTTTGGGTACAGAATAACAGAGTTTGATTGAGTACACATTGTACACATTATTACCATTCTTGATTAGAGCTGCAAAAGCATAGATGGTAGCACCATCAATAGTTTTGATAGATTGAGGAGTAAATATCTATACTATCGCGATAGTATCGCTTATATCAAAATAAATGTGCTTGCCTCCGTATTCCTTTGCATTCAAGTGGTGGGAATAATCGTGATAGTCTAGAACCATCGATGGCGGTAACCGGGGCCCAACCATCGATATTATCTATAGTACCATCGATTATTTGCAGCTCTATTCTTGATCAGCATCACTAGACGAGTCGATAATATCATTTGCGTCCGCCCGTCTATCTAAGCGAACTAGCCTCTGAGATTTTCAACTATCGGGATCGGAAATTATTAGGAACAAAATTATAGCTTCGTTGATTTTGGTTGTTTTCTCTTGTCTCTGGAAAATATTTTTTAACATTTCAAAATTCCAAGTTTTAATTTTTTTAAAAATCGGATATCATATAACTACCATAGGAAGAATCGAAAAGCGAAAGTCAAAATAATAAAAAAAAACCGTTATATTTCGTTTTGGGTTAAGAAAATAGGTTAAATAAAAAGTAACATTTATAATATATCTGTGATAATTTTTTAATTTTCCTAAAATCAGAAAGCTCTTTATATAAATTTCGACTTGCCGATGCCAGTTCCTTTTATGTTTTTACTATTTTCAAAATTGTTCACGACTTTAATAATTAACGCTTGCATATAACACCGAATCGTGCGATGTAAATCATTCGTAAGCAAAGAGTATATGTATATTGCAGAATCTATACAGAGCTTATTTATGCGGCAGCATTGTTTAATATGATTTTAATTTTCTTTTTAATATATTTTCTTTTTATTATATATTAATATTATATTAATATATTAAAATTTCATGTACCTGCAATAGAAAAAAGGCTTTTGGGTATGTTTCATCCCGAAAGCTTTAAAACTAAGAGACTAGTTTGCGTAGAAATGTACATTCGGACATGGTTATATCTATTCGTCTAGTAATGCTGATCAAGAAAATAGGGTCGGAAATGTCTCCTTCACTGCCTTGAAAGCGTTGTATATAATTTATATAACAAAATGGTTAAAAAATGACGAGATCAAATGATTTAAATATTATTAAGCTTTATGACTAAACTCGCAAGCCCGCTGCTATACCAAAAAATAAAAGGCATGGTTTAAAAATTGTATAAAAAGCATATATATATATATATACATATATATATTCATAGGGGATTATATTGGGTTGAAAAAGTTCTCATATACATAATAAAAGAGATTTCACATTTTGGTTTTTAACGAACAGCCTGCAAAACCGAGTTTGCTACAAACCGCCATAGGATCCCGGGACCGCCTAGGAAAGGATCACTGCTTGTTTAATCAAATCGTGCTTAGGAATCGGGCGGAGCTGGAGGATAACGACCGATGGCCTTCGAGTAAAATCGGAAGTAAAGGCTGATACGCACATATAGTATAATCTAAATAAATCGCTCGTTTTGAGACTACACAGAAGATAAACAGACAAAAATGAATTAACATACAATATAAATCGGATTGGATTCGCTTAGACTAAATGCAGAGTACAATAATAATCCATTGTTTATCGCGTCTAAATACATAGTAGGAATACATTTGTTTTTGTGTGTTTCGCTTGATAGGACTGATATGAAGTGAGTTCGCTGATGGTTGGTTTTTTTTTGATGGAGCAATTGCATTGCAGACGTTTTGCATACGAGACAGGTGTATGTTGGTTGTGTATATAAATGTATATGGTGTGTATACCTAAATACTACGAATAAATGGAAAATGCGAAATTAATACAGAATATTTAGCGCCCGTCGTTTCACAATTGAGAGTAGAATTAAAGCGCGATCGCAACCAAAATCAGCATACAAAATATGTGTTGTGTATATGTATGTATACGACTTGTGTGTATAACTATGTATAGATTGCCGCCTCCGCTCAGCACGTATATATAAAATATACCCGCTGCTCATTGCTGGGCCTGCATACGCGCCTGCATTTGGGCAAGCATTTCCTGCATGCGCCGCAGCTCGGCCTCCTTTTCCTGCAGTATGCGGTCCTTTTCGCCGAGCACGCTGTTGGCCACCACCTGCGAGGTGCTGTCCCGGTCCCGCTCAGACTTCACGCCGTTCTCCTTTCCTTTAATGCCCTTGGCCAATCGGTCGGAGCGGTAGTTCTCGTAGTGCACCTCCTGCGTCACCTCCTGCAGGTCCTGCATGTGGGTACTATTGGAAATATGGATAAATTAAGACGATACATATGTAAGTCCAACATTTACTACACTTACATCAGCATCGTGCGCAGCTTGATAAAGTCGCAGTGGTCCGGATTCTCCACCTCGACCACACCCCATGGATATAGGCGACCACGAACCTTCTTTCCCTTGACCTCGAGCAGAGTATTGGCGCCGCAGACGGCGAAAGGCACAGCTTCCTTCAATTGCTTCACCTGTTCCTTGTAGTCCTCATCCTCGTCGGAATCACAGTCTGGCAGTGGGTAGATCTTAATGCCGTGGCTCTCGATCTCCTGCATAATGCGGCACTTTAAGCGCAGAATCTCCTTTTTTGTGAGGCAATCGGCCTTGGCGATCACGGGCACAATGTTAACCTTTGAGTGCAGCTTCTTCATAAACTCCACGTCAAGGGGTTTTAGTCTGCAATATACAAAAAGAAAGCATGCATATAAAGTTATTAATAAGAAAATAATAATAGCAGAGAAAAAAAGGAAGATTGAAATGAATTTTGCTTGGCCACTTTGCACAGATAAGTAAAACTTGTTTACAAACTAATATCGTGAAAATGGCTCAATAAGGATGATGGTAGTTCCTGGTAGAGTTGGATCCCTCGATCACAAAAACGAATAATGGATACATTTTTGTTTTTTAAGAATACTTTTTTGTTTTGATCTACTTAGTGTAAACTAATTAAATTTTCAGTTTCCATATGTATATTTGTACTGACAGCATAATTTTCTTAAGGTGAGTCACTTTCCGAGTTCAAAACACAATGCAGGCACTATTGAAATAGGCACAATATATTTTGTAAAACTTCTTATTTATAATTATTATTATATCTGCCATTATTTTTTAAACCATTTTTAAAGGGGTACTCACCCATGCCCAAACGGCGATATAAAGTAGAAACAGCAATGAATGCGATTATCCACAATGTTGCGTCTATTGAGGCCACTTTCGTCGCGAAGGAAGCGCTCGTATTGCTCATCGATGTACTCAAGTATTGCACCAAAGCTGTTGGAGTTGTCAATGGCATCGCCGAATCCGGGTGTGTCCACCACCGTCAGACGCAGCTTGACCCCGCGTTCCTCGATCTCCACCGTCGACGCTTCCAGCTTTACCGTCTGCTTTTGTTTCTCTGTAAAATGGGAATTGTTGGTCATGTAAGTATTCAAAAACAGAGGCTGAACAAAGGTCGTGCCCACCTATAGCATCCGGAATGATGCGCTCGGGGTAGAGATCCGTGAGGAAGAGACTGTTGACCAGTGTGGACTTGCCCAGCCCTGATTCGCCAACTACCATCAGTGTAAACTCGAAGCCCTTTTTCACGGACTTGCGATGAACCTGGTTGGGCAAGTTGGCAAAGCCGACGTAGCCGGGGGTCTCGATGCTGGAAAACTTTTGGATAAGGAAATCGTTAACTTTTGTTTACAAGTCGAAGACAACAGATTGCAACTCTTAAAAACTCTAATGTGTATTACGATAAGAAGTATGATTCAGGATTTTAATGCAGAAGAACAAATATTTATGTAAATGCAGTGTTTGTATATAGAAAAAAAACTAGCTAGTCGAAGTTTATATACCCTTGCAGCTTAAACCAAATCATGCGATTAAAATCATACGTTTATTACAGAAGTCCTGCTTTCGGAAGATTTTTATGTAAATATACCGAGAGTTCCTATGACAGCTATATGATATATACGTCCGATATTTGCATTAAAAAACAAGTCTGAAATCCTAAAACATTGCTATATCCCACAGTAAAACAGAATATGATAAAAGACAACGAAGCTATAAGAACCTGTATCCCAACGAAGCTAGATTTTTTCGATTTTAGATTCTTTTTGATCATTCCTATGTGAGCTATAGCAAAGATAATAGAATATTATATATAGATTATGTTGGTCCTTGGCTATGGGATATAGTTGTCCGAACAGGTTCGTTTCGACTTATACTACTACTTGCAACAGAAAAAACCTTGGCGATAGTTTAATTTCGATAGCCTTTCAATTTACAAAGAAGTTTGCGTAGACACGGACTTTGGCTAGATAATACCCTCTGCAAGGGTATACAAATAATGTGTATAGAAATACAGATAATACAACTTTTGCAATTTTACTTTTACACTGAATCAATCATCTCGGATTTACATACATTGCAAAAATGGAACGTATAAAGAATGGGTTAAAAAGCTGCAACTAGAACAGCCGATGCTGACCTTATTAAACTATTTTATTGGGGATTAAATGTTGCTCATTAATTAATTACATGGTGACATTAACAATGAATATTGTTTCAAGAAATATGCATAACTGTTCAGCTAAGTTGTGCATATTTAGATCGGAATAATTCTATCTTTTTAAACGGAGGTTAAGATCTGGTGATGGAAATTGCCCTTAATACTTGTTAAAGGTTTAATAATAATTAAAATTTGGCAAGGTGAGGCTTTGGTAACAATTACTTTTGGGGTTAACATTAAACATTTTTGGTTTTCTGTAATATGTTTTTTAGGCTAGTCTGGTAGTTAATGTTTTTTGGGTCTTAGAAAGCGAATGCTTGGGCATATTTGCATGCCTATCACGCGCGGTGGAAATTTCTCTTAGGCCCCCATTTCTCCGGAGTAAAAGGCGATATTATGTGGGTCACAGGCGACCGAGACGGAGAGGAAGAGATCCCGAACACAAAGGAAGAATGCCGACGCCACCGGCATGTTGTGAATCACTTGACTCCCATTTTTATTTCCAGCCGAGTGGACGAACGGCGTGAGAGGGGGAGCGGCCGATAATCGGACGGGGGAGGAGTGGCAAACACATCAACAGTAGCGGCGGAATTGGCATCGTCTGCATCCAAGGCAAATTTAAACCGGAGTGCAGTCTATATACATTTGTATGTACACTGGTGGCACACCCACTCTCCGCCGGATTGCAATCGTCACTTGAACAAATAAATAGCGGCTACTCACGCCCTTTGTATCGGCCATTTTAACAAAAAAACACGAAACGAACGAAGAAATCAACGTAATGACAAAATAGCAGCGGAATCAGTGTGACCGCAGTACGAAACTGGTATAACCTGCCGTTAGGGGACCAGCTTGGCGTTAAACAAAAATACCAGCGATCCAACTAACTTAACATCTTACTCAATTTTATTTCAAACGGAGTATTCAATATAAGTAGTTATGCATAACGTCAGATTCCTTGCTATTAGTGCTGGGCAAGCTAAAAAGTATGCGATTGCAGTTACGACGAAATCTTTTTCATATATTTTTAGCAAGGAAATTGCAAGGAAACTGACGTTATGCATAACAACTTGCACCAAATTCTTACGTTCCCCAACACTAAAAATTTAAAATATTGTTTAACGGCCGCTGCTCCCGAACACTGAACTTGGGTATATACGTTTAAAAATCTGTAAGAAATCGATTTACCAACGCATTGTCGTGATCAATGGCTCATATTCTCCGTCAGCCTTTAAGAAAACAACATAAAACTAATTCCGGGTTTTAGGCGAGAATTTTTTAAAGAAGCCAATTATGCCAGCGTTTTTGCATTTTTTTTTCAACTTTGACGAAGTTTAGTTTCTAAACTAATGAACGGAACTCAATGCTCTGTATAACAAAGTAAAAGGGCATTCTATTATCTGTAAAATATTGACGGAATTAGGTTTATCAGAACTCGAGTTATAAAATAAAAAAGTGCGAAAAAGTTTTTTGCACTTTAAAAAAAATTGGTACCATAGAAAAAATTTTAAGTGCCCTTTTCTTAATCAGGGAGATGTACCTTACCGGAAAACCAAGGTCGCCTTCAAGGCGTATTTCGCCTATTACACCAGTTTACAAAAGAAAATTGATGAAATACGCCTCTCAGGAAACCTTTGTTTTCCGGTAAGATACATCTCCCTGATTAAGAAAAGGGCACTTAAAATTTTTTCTATGGTACCAATTTTTTTTAAAGTGTAAAAAACGTTTTTAGCACTTTTTTATTTTCTAACTCGAGTTGCGATAAACCGAATTCGGTCATTAAGGACTCATTTTACAGGTAATAGAATGCCCTTTAACTTTCTTATACACATCATTAAGTTCCATTCATTAGTTCAAAAGCTACACTTCGTCAAAGTTGAAAAATTTGGAAAAAAATCAAAAACGCTGGCATAAATGGCTTCATTAAAAATACACGCGTAAAAACCGAAATTAGTTTTATGTTGTTTTCTTGATGGCTGAACCATAACGGAGAATATGCGCCATAGATCACGACAATCCGTTGGTAAATCGATTTTTAACAGATTTTTAAACGTATATACCCAAGTTCATTATTCGGGAGCAGCGGCCGTTAAACGTTATTTTAAATTTTCAGTGTTGGGGAACGTAAGAATTTGGTGCAAGTTGTTATGCATAACGTCAGTTTCTTTGCTATAGCGCTGGGCAAGCTAAAGAGTATGCGATTGCAGTTACGAGGAAATCATTTTCATATATTTTTAGCAAGGAAACTGACGTTATGCATAACAACTTGCACCAAATTCTTACGTTCCCCAACACTGAAAATTTAAAATAACGTTTAACGGCCGCTGCTCCCGAATAATGAACTTGGGTATATACGTTTAAAAATCTGTTAAAAATCGATTTACCAACGGATTGTCGTGATCTATGGCGCATATTCTCCGTTATGGTTCAGCCATCAAGAAAACAACATAAAACTAATTTCGGTTTTTACGCGTGTATTTTTAATGAAGCCATTTATGCCAGCGTTTTTGATTTTTTTCCAAATTTTTCAACTTTGACGAAGTGTAGCTTTTGAACTAATGAATGGAACTTAATGATGTGTATAAGAAAGTTAAAGGGCATTCTATTACCTGTAAAATGAGTCCTTAATGACCGAATTCGGTTTATCGCAACTCGAGTTAGAAAATAAAAAAGTGCTAAAAACGTTTTTTACACTTTAAAAAAAATTGGTACCATAGAAAAAATGTTAAGTGCCCTTTTCTTAATCAGGGAGATGTATCTTACCGGAAAACAAAGGTTTCCTGAGAGGCGTATTTCATCAATTTTCTTTTGTAAACTGGTGTAGTTTAAGGCTTTCTTCTCGAGTCGCGGATGCTTTGCCATCTCTTCGCAACATCTGCAGTCCAGTCCATTGATTCCTGTGGAAGCAACTTGAATAAGGCTTGGATTAGAAGTCCTTTTTCATCTGCACTGACCTCCTACAGGCCTTTTTCGTTTTGCCTTTCATTTTTAATTTTTTCGTTTCCACACCGCTTTTGCACGAACACCGCCTAAGATTACATTTATTATTCTTTGGGTCGCGGCTAAAGGCGTTCATCGAAAATTCACTCGCGAAATCTGGTATTTTGTCTGGTATTTCCTTAGCTCATCTGAGTACCGCGCTCAAAAACAGACCCGACGAAAACCTTTAGCCGCCTGTTTGCCTCTCGCTCACTCCTATGGTTAGCTCGCGGTTTTCGTCGATGTGAATACTAGGCTTAAGCAAAAAAGGATCCGATTGCATGATCGCCTGAGAATAATGATCTTTAATGCCCTAACCGGGTGTCGGTTGGGGCTCATCAGCTGGGGCTTAATATTTTCCCAAATGCACATAAAAATAAATTAACTCTTTTGTTGAAAACTGCGTAAGGAATTCGAATTTTAAATCTAAATTTCGCGATCTTTAAGAGGTCCTGGAAGTCGTTTGGAGCCGAATTTCACAAAATCCTTTCTTAATGCACCCCTCCTCTATAGCACGATTCAACCCCAATTTTTTTCATAATTTTAGCTCTAATGGATTGGGCTGGGGGACCATGACGAAAATCGACTTTAACTATTCTAAAGTAGTTAGGACTTACATTTATCCTCTGGGCCACCATTGTAGAATCGTTCTTACTTGAAATAATTTTAGTCGCCATCTTCTTTTTTGATCTCTTTTTCGACTTCGGAGAGTTCGGATATTGCTTTTTCGCTCTTACCAGAAGTAATTTTAGGCGCTATCTTTCTCTTTTTCGATTTGAGAGTATTTTCAAAGATCGAAAATCGAAAAAATAACATTTTAGTATCAATATTACATTATTCCATTGTAAAAATGATACGTAAATAAAGACACAAATTTTCAATGCGCACATCAAAGAGATCATTACGTGGTTATCATTCTGTATTTCCTTACAGTATATTGTAAAAGTGGTTTTATGAAACCGACGATGTTTTCTGTTAAGGCGTTCCTTCGTTTGGTGTGGATGGTGGTTTTGGGCCTACCACCTACTTATTAACATTGTGCATTTGGTTGTTGAAGAGATTACCTCAAGGCTTTGGGTGAATTGCAACACAGGGGATAGCCCGATGGTCTCTAATGCGTATATGTACATAAGTAGATAAACAGATACACCTGCTTTTCCAATGGCTGTTGTTGGAGTGATTGCTGGAAAAGCGATAAGGTGATACCCCTGCTTCCTTTAGATAAATGAAAAATCTAAATGTGTTTATGTTTTTTTCTTCTGTTTTGTTTTTTTTTTTATTTGAGTGTTTTTTTTTTTAATTTTTTCCATTTTATTTTCATTTTTTTAAAATGTGTTCATTTTACGTTCTCCTTTGCTGTGTATATTTTAATTTTCCTCATTCATTTTTTGTTATTTTCTTTTAATATAGTAGATATATTGCATATTAAATTAGTTAATAATAATACGCTGCTCTAACCCTTTTTCCTCTCGCTCCGTCACTAACTCTGTGTGCTGTTTTCGGACCATTTGAAAATTATTGAAATTCGAAAAAAAAATTCTTCAATTTCTTTACATGTTTAAAAATCATTAATATACACTAAATTTTGGTTTATATTCTGTTCATATATAATTTAGTTCATTAATGGTCATTTTGTTTATTTTATTGTTGTATGTTTGAATATATAAAATAAGCTTTTTTAATTTCCATTCATATTATTCGTTCTGCTCGTCTTTTCGTAATTTAATTATTTATGTATAATTAGTAATTTTTATTTTGTTTTCTGTTTTACAATTTGTTGCTATACTTTAGAGAAGATTTTGTTTTTACTTTCGCTTTTCATTAATTTTTTATTAGCTTGATTTTGGCAGAGTTTCTGTTTTGTGTTTTGTATGTTTGTAAAAAGTTTTTATTTTTACTTAAGAGAACTGTATTTATTTAATTTTGTGTATGTTTTCGAGTTTGATTAAAGCACTTAGCATTGCAGTGTTGTGTTGTGCTGTTGGTGTCGTGAGTGTGGCAATGAATTAAAGCTTTGCGTTGTTGTGGTGTTGGTTTTCGGCTAGTGTTGGGTAACACGGTTCACCTCAGTGAACATGATCCAGTTGCTCACACACATGTTTAGATGTTCAATCGATTGCTCATTTGTTCGTACATTCACTTTCTAATTCGAGTTATGTTCCTTGATCTGTTGTTTAATCAGGTTTCCCCCTTAATATATATTATTGTAAAGAAAGAAGCTAACTAAAAGCCAAAAAATGTGAACGATTAATAACCTAGTGAGAAAGAAACTTTTGATCTCGTAGGGGGAAGCCACTGAACGAAATGAATGACATGTGAGCAATTGAACACACAATAACAATAGTTTTTAATGTGATTAGTTAAATTATTGAGGTTAACCACTCTTTTTCTTCACTCACTCATGAACTCATGAGCTACCCAACACTAGTTTCCGGAGACGTGGCTGGAGGCTGCGACCAAATATTGGAGACAGTTTGAAATAAAGAAACTAAAAAAAAAATCCGCCAGTGAAGTGTATTACGTTTTTGCTTGATATTTACAGCGATTGGTAAAGAAATTCTTTTCCTTTTGTAAAATTAGTTGTTCAATTAAAAATTTCTCGTCCTCAATGGGTTCTATTCAAGCTTTAAACTTGCCGCTGCATCTCTGTGTATAAATATTTTCTGTTGCTTACTTTAATTTCCTATTTTCCGCCTTTCGTATTTATTTTTATTTACTTTCTTGTTAAAAAGAACACTTTTGTAGCGTTTCTACGATTGTTTTTTTGGTTTAATTTTTTATTTCCGATGTCGAATAAAACGCTAAAATACGCAATGTAAATAAGTATTGTATATATATATTTATATGTATGTATATATATATTTTTGTATATATTATTTTTTGCATGTTTCTGTAGGCGTATATATAAATAACGTCGCTTCATTGTATATATATATGTCTATATATATATGCGTGTGTATGTATGTATATATTATATGTTAAACTTTGCGCGTTCTCCATTCGTTTGTTTAAACTTTTTTAGCAAGCAATTTATATTGGTATATATTTATTATTTTAGTTTTTACAGTGCAAAAATGTACAAAGAGTCACGAGCAAAGAAAAGAGCCAATAAACGAGGCCAGAAACTGGGATTCCCCTGGATGGAAGCCAGGACATTTCTACCGAGAATCCTTCCTTCCTGTCCCCTATTTTACTCCACTCTTGCTCATTTCCCTCTCTCACAACAAGAAAATCATATCTAGTTTTTGTTTCATAAATGATAGAATTTCATAAAGCCTAAGATCGATTGCTACAAAAAAATGCCCTATATTTATGGTGTATATTGTATATAATCTATATATTTTCGAGTGTTCTACATGTAACTGTCTTCATAAGTTTTTAAAGTATGAGGTAATGTTTTATTTCCGACTTAAGATTAAATATTAATTTATGTTCGCGTCAATTTTAATATGTATCTGTAAATATATAAGAGGTGTCTATATATGTAGTGCAGATTCGAACGGGTAGCTGATTTGCAGGTTGATAAAGCCGCACCAAAGGCTGAACAGGTGCTATACAAGGGTATACAGTCCTTATATTATCTTTGGCCGCACCATCCCAATCCTGGTTCAGCTCCTGATTTCATTTCGTGTCCTTATTGATGTTATTGGATGTTATTGTGTAGGCTATATACACGCCTGTGTGCGAAGATATTATTTGCGTTTGTGTGGGGTATTTCAAATCCAACGACCATATATGTACCGTCAAACGAAAAAAAACTGAATCAAACACGATTTACTTTGGTGAAACGCGGTGGAAGAATAGAAAAAATAAAATAGCAAGGAAGGACGTGGATGAATATTATTTTAAGTATAGGAATTTTCAAAACTATAATATAGTTATAATAAAAAAAAAAATTCAAGTAGTTGAATTAATGAAATGATGGTGTAGGTGGTGAGATCTGGATACGTGTATTTTGGATTTATGGAGTTTTTAAGTTTAGTTTGGAAATTGGTTCACTACGCTTGTGTAAAATATGCGCTATATGTGATCTAAAGGCTAATCGGCTACGTTAACATTATGTTCGCATTTATTATTATTTTAAATCGTTTGTTATTGGTTTGTTCGTTTTACTTTTCAGTTATTGTTATTGAGTGGTTCAAGTCAATGGGTTAATGGTCTTCATCTGTCTATCATTTGCATGCCTATACTTGTAATTTTCACAATTCGTTCTTCGATCGGTTTTCTTACTGGGAGTATTGATATTTTACAAATATTAATGGTGAACAAAGCGAGAAGTCGTCCGCCATTATTTCTTAATTTGTTTTTTTTTCACGGAAAGTCAACTATAATGTAATTTAAAAACATGTTAAATTTAATTTACAGATTGCGTTCGTTTACTATAGAAATAGATTAAGTTATTTTCTTTGCTATTTCCTTTGTATAAAATACTGCCTACTAAAATTTTACAAATTATGCGATTGCTTTCATAACTCGAATCCGAATCGATCTGGACTCAATGTAATTTCATATACGCATCGGAATCAGTTGTCGGTTTCTATACTCGTAATAATACAAAAACACAAAGAAGTTACAATACTTATATAAGACATCATCCATATTTACAACCTTTAAGCGGGGACTGAGGCGTTCCAATCCACGGATCCTAAGTCCTTAGAAGCTCAGACCGTCTGCACTCATGGAATTTGCAGGTGCTTGCAATCGTGTATACCTATTTATTTATAATATTTATGTAACATTACTGAATCCTCAAGAAAGTGGCAGTTTTCATTTATGTTTTGAATTTAGGATAGAGTGCGGACGCGTTGGATTGGAATTATTGGGTTGGGTTGCATAGCCGCAAAGAATAATGAAAACAAGGAAAACACTAAGAAAATACAAATTAAAATATGTGAATAAAAGAAAGGCTCACTTCGGAAAAAAGGTTGATCTGAAAAAGAAACCAACAAAAATAAAACCAACAGATTATTTAGTGTGTTTTGTTCCGTTTTTTTTTTCTCTTTTCGCTGCGTTTTGAAATAAATCCAAAAAACCATATTTATTCAAAACAGCATTAATTGTATATAATAAAAAAAATTATTGTTCATCTTTTTTTTTCGTTTTTTTTCTTACTTTTGTGTATAAATATAAAGAATTTAATGGTTTAAAATATATGTATGTTTTGTATACGTTGATATACAAAGCATAAAAAAAAAGTTAAAAGGTTTTAAAGTATAAACAAAATTTGTAAAGCAAAAAATATTTTTTTCATTTGTTTTTGTTTTTTTAATTGTAAAAATAGAAACTCCTCTGAAACTAAAATTGTTTGCTTCACCAACAAAAACCATTTCTTCAATATTTAAAAATATAAAAAAGTGTGTGAACATAATGATTTGCGATATCTAAAAATCTGTTCGATTTGTTGTCTTTGCTCTGTTGTTATCATGGGGTAAGACGGAGACAGACAAGTGTATTTCCACGTCAGTCGAAACTGAAGAAATTCTGGCAGTTTGTCTTAAATATTTTCTATCTATAGTTTAGTTGTATAGACCTAGATGTATATTCCTCATATGCAGCTGTATGTGGGTGGTTGTCGTGAACCTTAGTATGACCAAGTAAAATCGTTTTAAAATCTAGATGTTAGTCATTTTTAAAGCGATTTTTAAGTCATTCCATTTTTACTTTGCCCACGTTTTTTGAACGAGTTTTCATCATCAGCATTTTATACACAATTAAAAATTAGTACTTTTTTTGAGATCTTTTGCTAGGTAAATATTAAAAACAAACTGCTCGCTGAGAACTTCTACTGCGTCGATTATGCCCGCGTGTGTTGGATATTGTTGGTCAAATAAATTTGAAAATCCTAAAAAATTGCTTAACCACAGGTATTAAATATGTATAAGGGTGTACATAGGTATAGAAATCGTTCATTCTTTTTTACTTAAGACTATAAAATATATATATAAACAATGAATAAAATGTCGTTAGCCTAAACTAGAGAAGGTTGGTGTTTTTACGTTTTGCGAAGCTGGTGTTATATGAAAGAAGGTCGAATTACTTTAAATTATATATAGAGATATGGTTAAGGATTGTAAGCATATATGTATAAGTCCGAGTTTATATAACTGTAGGTGTAAAAAACTATTTGATAGATCGTCTATAAATACGTTAGTTTAACTGAACACATTTCTGAAAAATCAAACAGAGTTTTTCCATCTCCTATGGTTATTGGTTTTGGTATGCGTGGGTGTGTGCGCGTGTGTGGGCGTCGGTTGTTGTTGTTGGCAGATATCTCAGTCTAAAAGTACACACTCACATACGCACACACCACGCATGAGAAGTGGCCCTTTAATGTATATATATACCTTGATTAATTACGAAAAAAAAACCTAAAGAAAACTCAAGTTTAAAAATAAAAACTATGTTTAACATGAACTAAGTGCGGTGGTTCTCGGGATGGGAATGGCTGTGCATATGATTAGAGGAGCATCAGCAGCAGCAGCGGTACTACCGTGATCAGCAGCAGCACCAGCAGCCAAATCCAAACCCAAGTGCTGATGGAATTCTCGTCGGCAGGCACAACTGCTGCTGCTTGCTGCTGCAGCTGATCCTCCTCCACTTTTTTCGACGCAGCTGCCGCCTTGTTCTTGCAGCCACCAAAGCGACCACGCTGCATCAGGAGCAGCAGGCGCACCAGCCGCTGAAGACCCGTGCCCGTAGGCAGTGCCAGCGTCACGTTGTTAAAGTTGCTGATGGTAGTGGCTTAGCGATTGCAGCTGGTACTGATGAGGATGTGGATGCGGATGCGGATGGGGATGCGGTTGGGGTTGCTGGTGCGGATGCGGCTGCCCTTGTGGTGGTGGGTGCGCATGACCCCGGGCATGGCTATGCATGTGCAACTGCCGCGTGCTGGGATAGTAGTTCGGCATCAGCGAGTGATAAGCGATCGCTGCTGCCGATCGGCCGTTATTGTTGCTGATGTTGAGCGGCGGTGGGGCTCCCAGTAGTGGTGGCCTGCGCTCCATGCGCTCCGATCGCTCGTAGCCGGGCGTCGCTGCTGCTGTAGCTGAAGTAATTAATGCTGCTGGTGTGTTGTCACCAGGTGTTGCGGCCACTGTGATTGGTGCTCCTGTTCCTGCTGCTGCCGCTGCTAGTCCCGCAGAGCTGCTGGCCGGCGTTTCAAGCAAATGATGATGCCTGTGGTGATGGTGGTGATGATGATGGTTGTGCCCGTCGTTAATGCCAATGTTGATGTTGCCGCCGTTGCCGTTGTTGGCGGCGCTGCTGGTGCTGCTGATGTTACTGTGATTACCAGCGCTGTTGTTGGCGCTGCTGCCGCCAGCCGGCGTTGTTGCCTTGCATTCTGCTGTGACCGTTGTCGTTGCAGCCGCCGCCGTCGCCAATGTTGCTGTTGCCACTGCCGTCATCAGATTGCAAGAGTCAAGTCTTTGTCATTTGGAGTTGCTTTGTAGAGCCGCATTGATCTGGGTCCACAGCTCTTTCTTGCACGATTTTGATCTGGGAGAAAACAATTAGTCAGTTTCAAAACGTCCGCGAATGCCTGGAATCCAGGCTTTGCAATTTATATAGCATTCTTGCTTACCGCTTGATAGACTGCAGCCAGTCCTTGAATTGGGCGCTACCCTCGGGTGTGATTTGGAAGGCGGCGCGGGCTGCAACAACGATACTGGCAAACTCCTCATAGTCGCCCTGAGTCAGATGGTACAGCTTCTGATGGATGCACTGAATATACCTGAAGCAATGGAAACACCCCACCCACATTACATGAAGATCATAATTTTTTGAAGATCACCTTGAATACTTACATCTGCTGGCACTTCTGGACGAGAGGTGTGAGCGCAGAGCGCAGGTGCTGCATCACCAGTTGGTGGTTGTTTCTGCCCAGATAATGGGCGGATTCGATGGCCACGTCGTGCAGCACGAACGGACTTACGATCGAGTTGACCGCGCAGATGCAGAACTGGTGCAGATACTGGGTGCCCAACTTCTTGCTGATGCGCAGCAGCCATTTTACATCCTCGCCGTACGGCGGGTTTCGGGCGTACTTTGCTTGCGGCCGGTCATCGTGAACACGTCTCGCTAGCGTTTCCATAGCCAGCATGCCCACGTTGTAGGCGGCCAGCAGATACCGCAGCTGGGTGGGTCTACAAAAAAAAAGGAACCATTGATTAAATAAACACTTTAAGTAGTCTTCAAGCGAGGAATATTTGTACTCACGTGAATTGATGAGGTTGTCGCTGTCGCACAGGTGGCTGTGAGGGCGGCGGTTGTTGCTGTTGTTGCGGTTGCGGCGGCGCCTGCTGCATGAAGGGGTACACGGGATGCTGGTGCTGATGCTGGCGCATTGGCATTACGCTCACGCCCACCCCGGGCGGTCCGTTTGGAGGCGGAGGCGGCGGTGGGCCATAATAGCCCTGTGGCGGTCCCATCGGCGGGCCCGGAGGACCTGCCTGCATCGCCTGGTAGGCCTGCGGTGGCAGCGCCTGGAATGCTCCCGGCAGCGGTGGTTGCTGGAAGCCAGAAGGCGGCTGGCCCGGGTGACCCTGCTGACCGGGATGGCCCGGTGGAGCCTGGCCCGCCATCTGAACCTGTTGCTGCTGCTGTTGCACCACCTGCTGCTGCTGTTGCACTTGTTGTTGCACAACCTGCTGCTGTTGCTGCGGATTGGGCGGCTGCTGGGGCGGCGCTTGTTGGTAACCACCATAGGCCTGCGGAGGCGGCGGGGGTCCCGCCGAGATGTACATTTGCATCTGTCCGGGCGGATAACTTAGGTTGTGGTGATGAGCGTACAACCCCTGACAAAAACTGTACGGTGGATACGGCGCCAGTCCGAGGGGAGCCAGCGAGGCGACGCCTACGGGCTGGAACTGGGCCTGCGGATTCTGCACAGAGCCAACTACGGGCGGGGGCACGGCGACAGGGAGACCAGGCCCAGGACCAACTCCTCCTGGCACCCCAGAATTGGGCATACCGAGCTGCTGTTGCTGCTGTACCACCTGCTGTTGTTGCTGCACCGCCTGCTGTTGCTGCTGCACCGCCTGTTGCTGTTGCACTGCCTGCTGCTGCTGTTGGAGCTCATGCTGCTGCTGGGACTCGATCAGGGCGCTCAGACTCACGGCCGAATGGTCCATGGTGTCGTCGTGCGGCTCGTGCTCGCTGTTATTCGGCGTGTTTCGCATGTACAATTCGTACCAATAGCGAGCCACCTGGAACAGCACCTCCGGATAGACACCGCCGCCTTTAGCAGCTGTCTCCACGGTAAGACAAGCCCGCTCCAGCATCAGATCGCTCTGCTCCTTGCACTGCAGGATCGCACGCTGGATCTCGTTCGGATTGAGGGCAGCTGCATGAGGCAGAACAGATAGGGCCAGCTCCGCCGCCGGGTAAACCATGTTGCTGTCCCATCCACGAGACGCGCGATCCGCCATACCAGCCGCTTCGGGAGGCGTGAGGTGCGCCTCCCAAGTGTCAATTAGAAAACTAATTGCCGGCGCTCCGATCTCCATCGCTTGCCCCAGGATCCACGAGACGTGCGACGAGTAGGTCCTGGACAACCAATTGGGACTGACGCAGTTGTGCAGACCCAGAGCATACAAACCCAACTGGAAGGCGCACATGTGGAGAGCACGATGAGGTCCATGGTGATTCTGGCTGGTGCTCGCCTGAGTGAACAGGGATGTGGAACTATTGCCGCCGGCCTTCGTCAGCACATTTTTGGCCAGCTCGAACATGAAGTGGGCACTGGCCTCCGATGGCTGGTTGGGTATCGAAGGGTATGCCCTCTTTCCTTTGTAGCGGCTTTCCTTGCTTCGGCTGCTGCTGGAGCTTCCACCACCACCACCGCCTCCTCCACCGTTGCCACCACCACCGCCACCGTTTCCTCCTCCACTACCACCACTGGGATTTCCGTTGGGATTTTGACTCCCACTGGCCGTAGTGCTGCTCGAACTAGGTGTCCCCGTGGTTCCTGCGGCATTCGGTGTGGGAACTATACCTTGTCCTCCTCCCGACTGGCTGCCACTGCTGGCCATGCTTAAAGCGCACATACTCAGCTCCAGTTCGGCGCTCGTGGAGCTGTGTGGTCGACTGTTTCCTCCTACGCTGCCGTAATCCGTTGGCAGAAGCTCACATAGATTGGCTACCGGATTACAGTTGGAAGAGGCGCATCCAGAGCCACCCCCATAATCGTGCTCCTCCCGCCGCGTTGGCTGATTACTTGGTGTCCTCACTGGCGGATTACTCGAATAGTATGCGGGCAGGAGCGGGGCATTTAGAAGCGTGTGTATGTCCCTGTCCAGCAACTTCTCCATGATCTTGGCTATTTTGCGGGGCTCATCCTTGTAGTGGGAAAGCAATGTGAGAGCGAGATCCCCACGTTGTCGGCGGGTTCCTTCACACAGCAACGGATGCTCTGCTTCCGAGACATTGGCTTTTAATCCCAGAGCTGCCACTGCAGCATCGAATCCAAGACTCTCATCGCTGTTATGCTTGTACAGCAGTAAACGGGCACCCGTGCTGACAATGGATTTACTTGCCGCACTACCTCCACCGCTTGAAGAAGCCACCCCAGGGCCAATCGTAGAGCCCCCTGCAGGGCTGAGGGTAACCAGAGCATCGAAGATAAAAGTGGCCAGGTTAATCGGCAGCAAAGCCTCCCCTCGCGTCTTAAAGGTTCCACTGCGCAGCTGCTCCGCTCGCTCTCGGATTACCTGAAGCTCCGCGGATCCCAGCGGCAGACGCTTTAGGAGAGCCAGTATGTCCGCCTCCTGGTTGGCCAACTTCACCTCAAGGGGTTTGGTGCTGGCTGGTGGTCGTGGCATCTCCAATGCGAACAGACATATTCGAAAACCAATATGGTAGTGTTCCGAATTCTCCGAGAGCACTGTGCATAGAAAAGCGCACTTGGACAGTGTAGCGGAGGCCACGACTGTCAGCTGATGTGAAATGGGATTTACGTTCTGCTTCTTGCCTTTTCTCTTAGGTGCGGGTGGCAGTTCCAGCAGAAGATTGGGAGGATTGGCCAGCATCTGCTCTGCCAGACGTACTGCCAGGATGCAAGCCTCCCCGCCGTGACCGTGAGCATGCAGTCCTTCAGCTCTGGCCAACAGTATATCCCAAGCGTCCTCTGTGGGTCGGACATTGGAGAAGACATGCGGTTTGTCGCTGGAGGCCGCTACTGCTGCTGCCAGAGTTCGGGATGTGTGCGCGGATGAGGTGCAAGGCTGGTCCACTGAAGCACCCAGTCCCAGAGCTCCCATCCCTCCTGCAGCGCTGGTTACAAGATGAGGTGAAGTGGGCAGTACAGGCACTGAGGAGCTGGCGGCCAAGGCGGCTCTAGCTGCTGCCGAAGTGCTGGGCACTGGCGTGAGGTCTCCACCGGCAGTTGCTCCCGCTCCTCCCTGTACTGGTTCCCCTACAGCTGATCCGTTTCCACCGGCTCCACCCACTCCACCTGCTGATCCACCCACTGTTCCTTGGTTAAACTCGTCGCTACTGCTACTAAAGGATTCATCCTTGCTCAATCGACGAGGTGTCTGCTGCACTGTGTCTCCAGCTCCAACAGTAGCCTCCTGCCCAGCCATCAGCATAGAGGAAGTGGAACTGTTTGAGCTCCCCGAAGCTGTCGAGGCCGATGAAGATGCCGAGGAAGCAGACGAAGTGTCCGATGTGGAGAGGACTTGTTCTACGCCCACTGTGACACCCACTCCCCCTACTGGTACCTCATCCTTGCTCTGCTGCGACACTGCATCAAAGCTGCTCTGCGAGTCCGACTCCGTGAGGGCCGATTTTTGGCCGGGCACAACCGCTTGTCCAGGTGGGCAGTAATTGTGACTGCTGCTAGTGTCGCCGCCGAAATCATCGTTTTCACAGAATCCCTCGCTGCTGGCACTCGAACGATTACCATCAGCTGCTACCACTACCTTGACATTTGCCACAGAGGCACTGACTCCTGCGGAGCCACTTGGGAGCTGCTGCTGTACAGGATTCACTTCGGCGGTCGCTGCTCCAATAGAGTTGTTTACTCCTCCGCTTATTTGACCAACACCTGCGACAGCTCCACCCACCCCAACAGAACCCAATCCCGTGGAAAATCTGCCAGTTCCTCCGCCAGGCAATGCTGCTGAGCCCTCCAGATCGGTCGGATTTGTATAGAATCGTGACTCCCGAAAGGGTCTGTCCAATCTCTGCTTAAAGGCTCCCGCGTGCATGCCGTGATCGCTGGAGGCACTAAAGTAATTATAGTGCTTGTTGTTCGTCATCAGCGCTTGGGTAGCATTCAGCTGGCCGGGATTGTTGGTCTCGCCCTTCAGGTCTGTATGCTTGAAGCAGGTGAAGGGCGAGTAGTAGATGGGATTCGTGTCGTGGGTGTGCGTCACCCCGGGAATTGGGTAACCCTCCCAGTCCAAGTAACATGCCTCGATGGCCGGTTTAAAGCCAATGAACAGTTCCGTCTCGGACCGCGAGTTCTGCTGGTGCTTGTTGGTGTACGACGACGGCATCATTCGGCTCTTGACCACCCGATCGAGTATCTTCAAGTGCCAGGCCGTGAACTGCGCGTGCAGCATATCCCGCTCATCCGGCGCCAGGCCGGGATTAAGCGCTGCCAATCGCCACAAGGCCACTATCTCGTCGCACAGCGAACTGCAAGCATGCTGCAGGGCCGTGGAATTGGAGTGTGTGTTCGAGTGCTTACCGCCCGAATGGCCGTGTGAGCCCATCATTAGCGCCAACTTCGTCTGGAACCACCAGATCAGTATTTGGTCGCAATACAAGCACTCCTCCGTAATGATCTCCAGCAGACGCACTGCGTTCCGGTCGCAGCGCCTGTACATCTCACGTACGATCGAGAGCAGATTCCACATGCCCTCCGGCTCACGACCGCGCAGCGGTCTCAGCAAAGAACTCCACTCGGCCGCTGCCGGGGGAGCCGAGTTTGTCAGATAGTTAACATCGCTTCGGATGAAATTTACAAAACTATATATTAGTAATCAAAAGGCGGGAGAAGAAATTCACTAGCTCTCACCTAAACACAATCGGGGCGGGCAAACAGAACTTGATGAGGATCCGTTTAATGTTGTTATGCAGCGTCTTTTCGTCCAGATACCAGCTGGTCTGGTCGTTGATTGAGGCGCCAGCCGTCGGATCGGGTGCACCGCACACGGTGTTGATCGCCGTCGGTTGGGCGCTGAGCAGCTCGTCTAGGAGCCGCTGGGCTGTCGGAAGGATCTGCTGAGGCAGCTCGCTGATCAGATACTGGGCGAACTTTTGCAGCTGGTCGCGTTGCAGGCGGGTCAGCGACTCGGAAACTGGAGCCCGCAAACAGACTTCCTGTGGCTGCAAGGCGACAGGGAAATTATAAAATTGATTATTTGAACAAAGTTTCTTAGATCCCTATAATCTTTTTGGCCCTGCCATACTTACACAATGTATGCGATGCAGACAAACGGCGACTACGTGGGAGCACCAGTAGGCCGATGAGGTGCAGGTGCAATTGCATGAGGAGATGCGTCGACGGTCAAAGGTGACGGCCACATTGAAATACGCACGCGGCGTCTGACTGACGCTGGCCGACAAATGAAAGCCTGTATCGGATTTGTTAGCATCATTATTTTCGATAAGAGGCATACAAACTCACCTATTTGCAGCGGATCCTTGACGGCTCGCACCCGAAACAACGAGTCCCCGCGATTGAACTCGTCCGCAGAGCTGTTGGCCAGGCAAGAATACAACCGGATGTCCTCTTCGTTGTCCGGAAAGCTCCAGAACGCAATGCGCAGCTGCAGCTGCTCTGGCACCGGCGGATACACATGCTCCACGAGCTCAAACGGTATGTAGGAGGCCACACAGCGGGCTGCCAGTTCGGCCAATGTGGAAACTTCTGGAAGAAGGTAAACAACATATATAGAACATCTGAACTACGTGCATTGCATAAGTGCTACTGGTTGAAATTCTTTTAAGGGATATTCCCGTGCATCAGCTCTAAAAACGTTAATTTGTAACCCTTTTATGGTAAGCATGTTTTTGTTTCAATCCAATCCAATCAACTCTTGATTTCAGCGACATCTGATGGAATACTTCAATGCTTTTTTTTTTAGAATGATCTCCAGCAAGATCACTATGAAATAGATTCGGATTGGCTCAAAATTGTCAACAGGGTTTTCTTTCCGTTTCGTTAAGTGGTTTTCTTTGCCCTTAGACACAAATTGACACAGATTCCCTCTACGTAAATAGTTTAACATGCGCTGGAAGCCCAAGAATCTGCATGCCTATTCCCAACATTCTAGCTCTTTTAATTTCCGAGATCTCCGCGTTCATACGGACAGACGGACGTAGCTAGTTCGACTCGGCTAGTGATCCTGATCCAGATATATACTTTATGGGGTCGAAAACGCTCTTCTACCTGTTTCATACTTTCCGAGAAATCTAGTATACCCTTTTAACCTACGAATAACGGGTATACAAATACCAAGAAAAGTTCCGAAGAAAGGTTCTGATATTAAACTTAATCAAATCATATACAAATTGCGTTGGTTAGTTGGAAATTCATCTACTTAGAAACTTATGAAATATGCGATGATGAAATTGCTACTCAGTATAGGTATATTATTACACAAAGAAAATTTCTGCAACATTTAATACCTTAAAAATTGTCCTTTTTAACTCCTGTCCATTGTTTATTATAATTTGTACAGCCAAAGTTGAAGGTTAGAAATAAGTCCAATAACCAGTCGAAACTTCAACAAGGGGAAGCCAATGTCAATATTGATTAATTATAAAAGATGCCAATATTTGTAAATTATTAATTAATTAGAAATTAGAAGATGCCAACGACTTATTCCATATTTTTACTACCATATTTGAAGACAAACAATGCGAGGAAAAGTCACATGCACGCACACAGACGCAAAATACGCATGCCAGGCATTTTATTAATTAAACCACTTTTTCTAAAGCGGGACGGCCAACGACCAACGAAGGAGAGGTCAGCATCGGGGTTTTTGTAAGGGTCATAAAACAATTAGCACGATTTTTACACTTTACATTTTCATTTGCTGGCTGTGACGTCTCTGTCCATGTTCTTGCTATATACGAGCATAAGGTCATGACTTATTATCTAATGATGCGATTGGAAAATCTTTTTGATAGGTACTTTCAAACGAAATAAAATAAGATTAACTCTAAAACAAAATCTTCTACAAAATCTTTGTGGGCGGGGCACAGTGTTGAAATAAACTTGCGCTACACAAAAGTCTCCAGAATCTACATGGGTATTCCCAAATTTCATGTCTTAAGAGTTTCCGAGATCTCATCGTTGAACAGACGGACGGATTTGGCTAGAACGACTCATCTCAGGGTCGGACACGAGTCCTTGTATATCTCACATACTTTTCGTACATAAAAGGGTCATCCCTTTAGATGCCATTCAATTTATATCCTACAAGCCTAGCAAAATATTCTCAATAATATTAAAGTTCGACGAAAATTATCAAAGAAAACAAGAAATGAAGCTAGCTTTGGCATGCCGAAGTTTGTATACCCCTGCAGGTCGTTCCCGTGGGAGCATTGTTTGCACAGAGCTTTTCGATTTGTAGAAAACTAAAAACTAATTCAAAAAATTTTAATATAATGTTCTATTTTAATTTACTGCCGTGTATGTTTACCGAAAACGAAATATAAAGATCTATGTATTATTTTGATATTAATTAAATATTCCTATAGCAGCTATATAATGAAATCGTTCGATTTGATTTAAATTTTATTTGAAATTCTGGAATATTAAAAGCATGATATTTTCAATAGTAGAAGTTTATATGTCAAAAACACCGAATTTATAATTTTTTTACAATAGAAATAAGACTTTTGGGAAAGTTTCGTCCCGATAGCTTTAAAACTGAGAGACTTGTTTGCGTAGAAACTTGTCGACTTGTCTAGTGATGCTGATCAAGAATATATATACTTTATGTGGTCTGTAACTTCTCCTTCATTGCGTTGCAAACTTATGACTGAAATCAATTTACGCTCTCCAAGGCTATAAAAATTGTATTAAATATAAAATTATGAAAACAATTTTTTTAATTTTACGAAGGATCGGTGGTTTTTATTGAAACAAAAAGCCTTTTTACCCTCTATCGAGTTATCCACTAATCCTATAAATCCAAAATAGCGTTTATAAAAATGGCCATGGTTACATGGCGTGAGTTTCAAAATTGGCGAAAAAATTCGATATTTTGGTTCTGTGGTACTAAGCTCAAAATGAATTTACAAAATCAATTTAATACAAAAAAATAATTTTTATGTACCAAATCCCATCTTTTGCTATTTTAACGGTCAAGTTCTACGAAATTAACCGAAAAAAATAAAAGACTCCACTATTCCCTACAGAACTAAAAAAAGAGTTAATCCCATGACGTCTTAGTTTTAACAGGGTCTTAACCTTCAAATCTTACATCCTCGCCTCAAATTTAGTAAATAAATTATCTCTCTTCTTGTCGTGAGATAAATATATGAGTCTTAGCCGCGCAATTTTCCCCTGCGTAAACCAATGTCATTATCTTTGCAACGCAATTGAGTTGTGAATAAACAGTAATCCACTGAATTGGCATGCAAATAAACAAATGGCAATGGAAAAGGGGACCTGCATTTTAAAGGTCTTATTCTCACTGCCTTTAACGCCCAGAACACAGAAGTCAAACAAACAAAAAAAACCCCAAAGCATTACAAAGAATATCGGGCTTTGTTATTGTATGGTATTTATAATGTTGCTGATGATGCAGCCACCAGAGTTCAAGTTCGCCCACACAAATTAAATATTCGAGCAGGAGCATAACCAGATTTCATATAATTCACTTTCATTTCGAATCGTTCAACCTGGACATGAGGAGTAACATATTTCACTTTCAATTATAATCGACCAATCAAATAAACGAATTCGGTTTTTGGTCTAAGACTACATAATTTCAACTGAATTACAAGTTAATAACAATAACTTTGAATAACTGTGTTATAGGCAAGACGCTGGATTTCTATTGGTTTCACGATTCCAAAATCAAAAATGTAAAAAGGTTGGATTAATTTACTGACTGGTCGCTGAACGAAAGAATTTTTATGTGGAGCAAAGAAATTGAAAGCTCTAGTTTCAAAATTTTTAAATAAACTGAAAAATATTACTTTTTGTGTTAGTATTCTTAGTATACTAAAAACAAAATACAAAAATAAGCAATTTTCGAATAGCTAGAATAGAGCCAAATTTCCAGCACTGGATACAAGAACTCATTGTTTTGTTTGTTTGTTTGTTTTCTTTCGCTCGTTCGTCGGTTCGTTTGCCCGCTCCCGTTCTTCGTGCTTTCCCCTCACCCCCCCCCCCCCCTGCCCTGTCATCGCTTAATTTTCAGACACTTTGGCACCATTTTATTCAGAGTCATTTTCCGCAAGCGCTAACCTATTGCTCATGCCAGTTATTTTTGAGCATACAGCGATAGAGGCGTTTTATTGAAACTACCAAGATGTAATATAACATTTTTAGTAAGTAATTATGATGATTTACCGTGTTGATCTTAAACGTCTCGATTATCTTTTGATTTTCAAACTTTCTTTATCCATAATTTGCGTTAATTAAAACAAAAATTAATTTGTCGTTACAGTTTCTCAAAAGTTGTTGGAGGTTCAAGCTTACTTTAAAGATGCATTGGGTTGAACCATGAGTTCTGCTTTTATGTTGATGTTTTAAGTCCACTTGCTTTACCTTTTTATTTAGAAATCTTTTTAATTTTAAATATTTTCTTTCCTTTTGACTGACAGGGACGAGAAAGGCTGATAAAAAACAATTAAACGCATTCGTCAGATGAGAAATCGGATAAGTCTTCAGGTAAGGGGCTTAGCTGAATCAGAATGACCACATGAGTCAGATTGATTTGATTGAAGAAGTTTTAATATCTGATCCGTGTATATGTATATGTGTTCTTTTTTAGCTGATTCAAGGCTCCTGCTTCCCCAAACTGGTTTCCTCTGTGCTTGCTCTTGCATTTCTTTAACTTTAATTTGTTTTACATTCCCATATGGGGCACTAGCAAAATATGAAACAATGAAAAGGAGAATATAAAACACAAAGCATCATGCTCCAGTTATTTGGGTTATTGCCGAACGACTCGTCAAAGTTGAGCAAGATGTGCTGAAGTGCCGAGCTACAGCAAATGCATTCGGCACACCGGTTACTACTGCTTACTAGCCCAAAACTGCGATTGGAGTTTTCCATATGGCCAAACGTATACCCATTTTATGAAAATAATATTTTTGCTGACTTTATGGGCAACACATCCACATAGCCCCATAGTTTTCTTTCTTTACTTTACAGCTCAAAAATGAACTATTATAATTGAGTAAGGTATAAGATATTATCCAAATTAATTGGATGGACTAATGATAAGTCTATTTTATAAATCAATACATCATCATATCGAAAAGAAACATGATATGCCATTTTTGCTGTGCCCTCATATTTTTGGCTTTGTTCGCTGTGTTTTAGGCAAATTTAGATTCTTCGACACAAAAAGCTCGCTGAAAACCAAATAAACTGGCGCAAAAGAGGGGTCAAAGTTCCAACAAGCATTTTTGCACGTGTGTGCTGCATTTGTTGGTGCAGTTGATTTGGCTGCGGAAGTGCATGAAACTGATATATGTACATATATGGCGAGGAGTGAAAAACAAAATTCAGAGCCCGTGGCTTCTGGCTCAGCTGGTCGCTGTTTCAGTTTCCGTTCGAAATTGACACCGAGTGAGCCTCGACCCACTAATTAGATGATGACATGTGGCAACGCCGACCACTCGAGGCACGCACACACGGCCGCACACCTCTCACGGACACGGAGTTGCATTGTCAGCACTGCAGCGTGACCATTCCACGGTTTCGGTTTAATTGGGGTCATTGCATCGCATCGACGACGTTCTACGTTTATGCGGGGCCCCTCTGCGAATCCACTTGATCTGGGATGTTACTGCCTTCGCATAAGAGAAGATAAGACTAAATTTAATGGATCGGGGTACTACGGTAAAAATAAAGATTTTTGGTTACCCGATTAACAAAATTTGACAGCTAAGCAATATGGATTTAAGTTTATTATAAAAGGTTCTGGGCCACTAACCCCTTTATTCAGCGCATCATAACATTGCAAAATACATTCGGATCGTGGAATGTTAAAATATTTCACTGGAGAGTTAGTATTCAGGGTGTTTATTTTCCAAAGATATTTCTTAAACATCAGAAACTCAAAGTTCTTGAAAAGTCTTTAAGCCTCGAATTACCTGCACCAAAGTATACAACTCTAAATCAAATCAGTGGGTTTTCGCCCAAATATAAGAACAACTTATTATTATATCTAAAGATCCGAGGAGCTGCATGGTGTAAGGGAACTATGGACTCTGGTCCGTGTCGTCTTCTTCATTTTTATTACATCCCCTCGGGCAGGTTGTGATGGTATCCTTGAAAAGGTTCTTTGACACAACAAAGCAAGGCTCTAGAGTCTAGACGCCTCAGATCGACGTCGATGTCGGCGTCGGCTGCGGCAGCGGTATCGTTTTGTGGCTATATTGTTTTTGTTGCGGTTATTATGTCTTTCGAGCATGAAAATGCAGCTGGCTTTGCCTTTACATACACACCCAGCCGCAGGGTTGCCACTTTAGCTTTTTCTCGGCCAAAATGTCCCAGAACTATACTAGCTAAACACTATATAAGTATATTATAAATTATAACATCCTGAATCATTAATACAATCAATCATTAAGACTAATTTCTAAAACACCACTACCAGGATGCATACATCAATTGATAAAATTCCCAATGTTGGTTAAAATTATTGAAAGACCAGCCTGGGTAAATAGATATAAAGGAAACGCAAAAAAGACAACTAGATGGATATGGATTTTTGTGTAGTCCTTCTTTTGCTCACTGAAGTAATGCTAGACGAAATAAAACGAATGTAGTGGAATGCGCAAATGACGAAGACGAATGGAGGGAGAATAGCGACGAGGACGAACTGCGCAGGCGCAGCCAGATATATCCATTTATTACATAATATGCTGCGACTGCGCACAGGATACCGAAAACATGTAAAAAACGTTTTTCAGCAGGCCCAAAAACAATGTCCGTCCTACGTACACAAACGCAATAAGCCACAAAAAGACAAAGGAGGTGCAACAACAATGTAAAAGGAACAACGAATGAAGATGAAACGTTGCCAGCTAAAGTCGTGATTTTGACTTTAGCGATAAGAAGAGGACTTCGAGGAAAGGTGAGGATACGAAGTATAGAATTGCAGACATACCAACAACAATTACAGCGCGCTTGTTGTTGCGCTTAAGCCAATTTTACAGAATTTACCAACAGCAAAACGGTCACGCGTATAATTGCAGAAGAAACAGTGTGGCAAGGTCTTCTTTTGCTTACTAAATTTAAACAGAGTGATTTGTAGGCGTTAGACGTCTCAACCTTTACCTTGGGCTTTACAATTTCTTTTAAAATTTCAGTTTTAAGCAGAATTATTTGATTTGTGGATGTTAGAGTGGTCGTGGCAAACTTATTATATAACTTGGTAGTTATTGACAAAAAAGGCATTCAAATTATTTTCAGTTCAAGCATAAAACTGCGAGTTCCACAAACTTTCCAATTTGTGGGCGCTAGAGGCGTGGAGTCTGAAGGCATTACAAGGATCTGCATGTAAAATTAAGACATTAAAATATCGTTTTGGAACAAAATGACAACAACCCGACAAAAAGCTCTATTTTGAAGTCACCAAAAAACTTGTTTTTGGGTTAACTCTGGAGCGAAGCATTTAATAAATAAGGTGTAATTTTTAGCAATAATACAACCAAGCTATTAAAAACGTGGAAATTGATTCCCACAGTTCAAGTTTCTGGAATTTTACTTTTATTTATTTATCCATACAAGAGTTGACAACCAAAAGTTTGTGTCCTAATAACGTACTAATTAAGGGTTTCACAGAAACCGTCGTCGGTTGTGCAATCAAATATTTACGAAGGATAATAAAGTGCATTTGATCCCTTTTCTCAGACAGGTGGAAAGTACATAAGAACATGTAAGGACTTAAATTTGCCTCTGAAACTGCCATACATAAATGTTGTTATAATTAATAGATTTGGTACAATTACCGGCTGGATAAGCAATCTTTTATTATGGCCTTTCATTTGATCGAAGAGCAAATTCAGATATCTTTAATCTTGTCACTGCTCTGCGATTTCTGGCAGTTGTGTAATTTAAAAGAGTACTAGGAAAATACTCGAACTTGACCATTTCTAGGTTCAAGAGAATTTGATTCCTTTGCCAGGTCCTCCCAATAAGTGACCACAAGAACGCGGTTACCCCAAGTAAATCCTGTAGCAATGTCGGCATTCTCTCGAATAAAACGCAAGAATGTACCCTCTGTGTGATTTCTTCTCAGCTGACTCGACCATATTTCATCACACCGTGCTGCTACCTTTCTACAAAGTCGGCATGTTTTTATTAATTTATAAGTATACTGCATACCGTAACACAACATTTAGATAACTTTGCCGAAATGTAATAATTTCTAGCTTGAGCAAGATGGTACCACTGTCAGGTTGGTTGGTTTTGTGGATGGGTTTTTACAAAAAGGTTTATAAAATGCTTAGTTTCAAAAATATCCCGACGTAAATGTACAAATTGTAGTATGCAGATATATATATATATATATTTCATTTGTGCCTGTAATCATGTTTTATTGTTGGTAGCATTAGTAAGTGGGTTTATTTTATCAAAACCCCTGTCAAAAGACTCCTGTAACACCGAGAGCTGCTTTTGGGGGAAATAGGTGTCATATGGGCAAACAAATACATTGATGTCGACGACTATTACAGAACCACATTTTAAGTTACTCACTTTATTACGCTGACAAAAGTCTTCATACGATCAACCATTTTTCGATTCAGTTTTTAGCTATTTTATTTAAGACAACCGGAAAAAAAATGTAAATGAGAAGTATACGGGACCCAAATTTGATTCAGAATACAATTTTCAATACTTCCTAACACTTAGTTCCTTAAAAACATAGTCTGGGTATTCCCTTAACTGTTGAATTGCTAGATTGTTGAAAATTCAACAAAAAATGTCAGCACTTGAGGAAACGACCCTAAATAGCTTCCAGTGAATTTTCAAAAAGCTGTGACCAGTTCGTTAATTTTTTTAAAGTACAAATGTGTAATTTTTTTTTTTATTATAATTTATTGCCTAAAAATAATAATACAGAAAAAAGAACCAACAATAATTTTTTTTTTATCGATTTTAACGAAACTAATTCTTAATAGTGATGCTAAAATGTTACAGAGTTGACATGGCTTTTTAATGAAATAAGGTGGCAACTCTGGTGTTCAGCAATTCAGCAGCCTCGTGGTTGTGGAATTGCTGCAGTTTTTAAAAATTGAGTTTGTATGGACCAGCTGATAAACAGCTGACAAATTTTCAACAATCAAACAGTTTTAGGGAATACCCTAAATAACAAAATGTGGATGCAAACATAATACCTCAAATAGGTCTTAGATCTTAGATATCGCATGTTCCTAATTCTAGACATTTAAAAACCTTTAAGGAATACAAAGTATTTTGAACGTGTAATGCCTTGCGACCTGATTCTACCAGCTCCCATTATTCACCAAAGCACGGGCCTAGAAGGTCTTTAAGGGAGGGTACTCACCATAATATCTGCCGCAGGTGGATGTGTTGGCCATGGCCGCTCCACTGCCGCCCGGCGTGCACGAACTGGAGGCACCTGCTCCGAACGCCATCGCCATGCTACCCATACCGCTCAGACCGCCACTGCCTGCACCGCTGCCCGCAGCGGGCTTCTTCCAACCGCGCCAGTTGTTGCACAGCGATTCCGGTTCGGAGCTCCAGCTGCACAGAGAGTCCTCCTCGAAGCGGATGGAGTCGTCGGAGCTGAAGCGGTCCATTTCCTCCGGATTCCATTCGTTGGCCGCTGCACCCGCTCCGTCTCGGCCCGCTCCTCCGCCTCCTGCTCCTTCGGCGCCAGCGCCGACTGCAGCCGCTCCTCCGCCTCCTCCATTGTTGTTGTTACCGCCACCGTTGTTGTTGTTGTTGCGGGCAGCGGCAGCCACAGCTGCCCCGCCTCCAGCGTCACCGCCTCCTCCTCTGTTGTTGTTGCTGCCGTTGCGATTCGCCAGCGTGAGGCTGAGATTGTGTGTGTTTACAGTTGCTCCTTTTTCAGCTGCTCCTGCTCCCCGATTATTTGTTTTTGCTCCGCTCTGTTCGTCTCTCTCGCTTTTCCTCCTCTCTTTTGGATGGATGTATAATGGATCTCTGCCAAACCGAACGCTCAATTTAAAATCGTGTAAAAGGCGAATTTCTTTGAGCGTTCTCCTCTCTCTCTTTGTCTCTCCGCTTCTCACCTCTTTCTGCGTCGCTCTCTATATGCTTGATTTGCTTGCTGTTTAATTAACTTATTTACTGTAGATTTATGCTTAGGGCTTTAGTTTTAACTTTAGATTTGGGAGATTAAAAACAATTTTTGTTTATATGTACAAAATACGTTCAGTGCGCCGCGGCCTCTGTCGCTGCCTCTGCCCGCGTCGACTGGGACTGCTATTGTTTGTTGTCGTTGTTGTTGCATGTGAACTTTTTCGTATCCCCCACCGAAAGAGAGAGCGAGATGGGGCTGTACGACTGCCAAAATGAGAGGACCAATTTGTAGTTGTGTTGTAGGGGTCTTCTAGTCGTTGTTATTGTTGTTGCTGCTCCTCTTGTATACGCTCCGCTCTTTCCACTCTCTTCGCCGTTAATTATTTTTCACTGCTTTGCTTTGTGGCTCATCTTCGCTTTATCCTTCGCGCTCCCTCCCTCTCCCGCACTTCTGCCACTCACTCACTCTCACTCACACAGCAGTAGCAGTAACAACAACGGTGCACACAACATCAATATATTGGATATATATCAACACTTTTTCGCCTGCGTATTCGTCTGTGTGTGCATGCGTGCGCTTGTCGATTTTCACTGCCTTCTTTTCTTTGTGTGTATATGCGCTGCGCGATGTGTTTGTCTGCGACTGTGCGTGTGTGTGTGTGAGGGAACGAACTGCGTTTAAGGCGAACGTTTATTTAAAATCCTTAATGGTTTGCTGGGTTCTGCGACCACCGACAATTAAAACGGCCATGCACGCGTCCTCCAAAACGGCCGCTCTCGAGTTTTCTGGCCGAGTTACGATTTGTTTCAAGCTACGCACGGTTTTCGGACACTTTTACACGGGCTTTGTTTTTAGCCATCGCGATTATGATTCCCTATACCCCGATAGCATTATCGATACACACGTCAGGGTCTATCGGCCAGTGTGGCCGCTGAACTATCGATATATTATACCATTTTTATTTTTCCGAATATACCAAAATGTCAATCGCTGTGTATTCAAAGCTAGCGGAACACACATATCCATGACTTTTGTTGCCGCCAATGGTAAGGCCTAAAACCGACACGCACGATACACCTATTGAAAGGTATCATTATTCTCCTCAAACTGTGATACTAAGTCTTTTCAGAAATGGGCAACATTTTTCAATACAGGTCTCTTGATACATCTGTGAACTTTAAAAACTTAGGACACACTACAAAGAACACGATTTTTCGACTAGTGAAACTCTCAGCCGATCTGAGTACTAATGAAGATCAAAGCAATCTTTAGGTAGTGGTTTTTCACAACACAATTCAACTTTTTTTTTAGATAAGCGGAGTGTGACACGGCTAAGCGAAGACACTGTCCTGGCTTAACCGTTATCGGAATACTGTATTATCGACTTCTGAAAGCACCGATGACATCGACGTGAGCAGCTATGTTTCCCCACTCCCATCTCTAGTCGCTCAGTGTTGGCGCTATACAAGATTTACACAATTTGTTTCCTGGCCTTCCTGATCTGCTAGAGATTTATTTTGGGCCAGGACAAGATGCCCATTAAGGCGCTGTGCATCGAGCTGCGACCCAACTTGCGCAGCGGAGTGGCCTTCCTGCAATTCGATCAACTGATCTCGCGGAGCCACGAGACGCGCGTCGTCATTCGGGATTACAATGTTTACATCAGCGAGAAGACAGAGAAACGGGGGAATGAGAAGGACTCCAGCTCTGATAGCGACTGCGAGGACTCCGCGTTGCTGCTCATCCAGCACGACCAATTCGGCATGGACATAAACTGCTTGTCCACTTTTTTGGTCAGTGGCAGTCACATAAGCTTTCGCTTTAACTACAACCAGATTGATTTGGCCGCCGTGGACGGTGGCGCCGTTGAGGTGCCGCTGGCCCCGCAGCTCCTCTCTTGCCAGGAGAACGAGGCCATTACCATCAACTGTCGCGACTGCCGGGCGGAACTAGTGCCGGCCAGGAGCCATCGCAGGTTGCGAGAGTTTCCCAGCTGCGTGGTGGATCCCAGTGAGTTCTTCTGCCACAACCATGGGCCAGAAGGCAAGTCCCAACCAATAAGTTTGGTGCCCGCCGAAGCAGATCTCTTCTATGGCCTGAACTATGTGGTCATAAGCTTCAGCGAAGAAAATCCAAACATCCTCAATCGCGAGGATCACTTGTACTGCAAGCGTTGTATGCGCTTTTTGGGCCAGACCATGTTCAATGGCGCCGCCGCTCGTCTCTGGGCGGATGCAGTGCGTTGGCTGCCCGCAGGAGCACCAGCTGCTGCCCCAGACCGCCACCTTTTCCAGAGCTCCACGCTGACGCAGCTGTTCAAGCGCTTACTTCAATCGCTGTGGCCACAGCCGCTGCCCCAGCTCTGTCTGAGCACTAGTCGCGCGGTGCTGGTCACCTCGCTGCCCAGCCGAAAGCGACAATACATGTTCCTGCACGTCGTGGAGTCGCAGCTTCGGGTTCTGCGTCGCATCCGCCCAGATTCGAACCGACTGCGCTGCTACCGCGCCTGCAAGCTGTACTACGGCGTTTTCGGAGGCGATCCGCCGCTGCTGGAGAAGTGGCAGGCCCAGCAGACGCTGCCCCAGATGGATATCTCGCCGGACATGTTTCTGGCACTTCAGCAGCGACTCGACTCCAATGGCAATTTGATTCCTCATGCCTGGCGCGTCAACTGCGTGGAGGAGCAGCTTCGGCTTTCGTACTTCTTCTATGAGAATGAGGAGCAGCCCGACGGAGTGGCCGCCACCATAAATGCCTTTCTGGAACAGTTAAGCCAGCTGGACAACAAGCAGCAGGAGGATCAGTACGAGACGGATGCGGGACATGCCAGCGAGAGCGACGACGAGTACTCGGATACGGACACCGCTTCGGAGGAGGCGGCTGTCCACTCGCTCGGGAAGCGGACGCTCCTGAAACGATGTCCCACGCCGCCGCGGCCTTGCGACAACATGTCCACCTCGTCATCGTCCGCCTCCTGGGAGGATAAGTAGTGTCCCATCCCTTCTCATAATTCCCAGCTTAGCTCGTAAGTCGACCAATTCCTCATTTTTTGCTTTCGCTGAAGGATGTACATAACTTGGAGCAAACTTCGTCAACAATGTTGTTCCACTTCCATCTAACCTTTGGGGCACAATATGAGTTCACTTTGTCCAAAATCCTCTGCTAATGTGTAAACCAAGTTTTCCGATCCTTTGCTGTAGTTGTTTGTTGTGCATAGGCGGTAGAATCAATGGTTAACCTGTCTCTAGCAATAGTAAGTAATCAGTGAAGGTTGACCATAAATTCATTTCTTTTAAGTCGGGCATTTTTGTTTTGTGGAGAAACAGTTTATTTAATTACTTGACTCGATCGTTTCATACATTTTATGATATAGTTTAACAAATGTTTTGCAACAAGTATTAGCTTGAAAAACAACTTTAAAGTGGTGGACAATGCTTCCCAAAGTTGGCACAAAGACAACGCTTCTCATGACTGCAAGGCTGAGAGGTAAAAGACCCGTCTTACAGCTGCGAAACGCTCTGCATGAAAAACTTTTTGCCTTTGCTTACACTTTGATTTTCCAAGTAATTTACATTTAAAAAATTTGTAAAAAATTAGAATGCAAGAACAGTAAAATATTCAATGCGAAATGGAAATATTTAATTTTTATATATTTTTAAAGAACTGAAAAAAAAAGTTTTCCAAAATGTGACTTAGCAAAAAAAAACAAATGTTACAAAAAAATATATGAAGAATATATTTGATGTTTTGTATAATTTGAAAAAGAGTTTTGACTATGATTAAACTACGCAAATATTTCAAGAACGCTATTATTGTCAAACATTTGTAATTCAGTTTTTAACTACATAGAACAACGAATAGTCGAAGAATAGTCTGTATTTTTGAAGCTCTGATGTAAACTATAAAAAATCTAATTATATATGTATAAAGTCAACGGAATGAAAGCAAGGAAGAACAGTAAGCGTCGGGACTGTAAGACAGTACTTCAGACCGTCACGACACGCACTGTCTGCACACTCGATAAATGTGATTGAAGACGCTTTGGGTAATCTCAACTTGTGTTTAGTTTTAAGCGAAACTCATGTGTTCATCCAAACAAAGAAGAGGACAGAAGGCTGGCCAGAATCAGGCGACGAAAATCACCTGAAGAGTGAGGGTAAATAAAGTTGGAATCATATATTCATTTCTCGAAGAAAACAATTGTTTTGGTTTCATTTCGGGCTTAGCAATGCAATGGATCGTCACCTGATAACTGCTCCTCCTGAATGGGGCACTTCACTTGGCTAGCCGACGCATCTGCTGCGTCTGCTCACTCATGGCTATCTGGGCATTGTCAGCTTGGTTGATTAATGCATCTAACTTGTCCAGCTGCGAGTCCATACGCTTCTGCTTGGCCGCCTTGGCGGCGCTTACTTCGGCGGCTGTGGGTGGTGGCTTGGCAAGGGGCTGATCCTGGACAGGGGGACGCTCTTCCTGGCTGGCCATCGCTCCCGATCCCCCCATGCCCGCTGAAAGATCCACCGAGCCCGAGCCGGATCTAGAAAATATGTTGGTCAAGCTGCCACAGGCCGTTTGCTTAAAGCGATTAAGCTTTTGCTGCGTGCTGGACAGGATGCTATTAAGCTCGCCCAGCTTGCCACCAACATTGCCCAGCCCTTCGTCTTGTTGCTCCAGTAGCTGAAGAGTGAGATTCAGTGGAGATTCGCATGGCTAAATGGCCGTACATACCACCGCCTCGGCGGCCTCTTGTTCGGCCAACTCGTGCTCCAATCTCGCCTGGCGCTTCCGCTCGAACTCCTCGGGATCCGGCGGCTGGAGACCAAGCAGTTCCGCCCGCTGGCACTCCTGCTCGTAGCTGTTGTTCTCAGGCTGCTCTGACATGCTTCCGACCACTCTGTCACCCAACGACTGGCGATGCCATCGATTTTTTGCTGGTCGTGGCCCAAATCGGCCCACTTGGTCATGGAGTGGGCGCAACGCATGCGCATGTCTGGCTATTATGGGGCACAGCTGACGCTGGGGCTGCAAGCCTTAAGCTTAAATAAATATTTGATAGCTTATACCTTTGACTTTAAATAAATTTACCAGCACTTTGCATCAAACTACTAAAACAAATACACATCTCTCCTTTTTAGAGGCCTCTCATAGTCGCTAAACTCGACTAAAGCATATATTACTTTTGGATCATTCAGTTTGTTAATCGAATTACAGCTAGAAGTAACTACCACTCATGGGGATCACGAGGAGTCTGCACAGCGCTCATAGATTTGAATGTAGGACTCGGTGAGCGTGATCATCTGGGGCAGGATCTCGGTGACATGCAGATCCTGCATCTCGTACCACTGGCCGTTGGCCTTGTGCAGAATGTGGGCGCGATAGGTGCCCTTCTTAGGATCACCGTCGTGCACAATATTGGCCACCAGATTGTACTTCGTGTCCTTAACGTCCTTGTCGCGCTGTCGCATGCCCAGAATGTCGCCAAAGTCTACGTTCCTAAAAATAACCAGAGGTGTAATGAATAACGATGATTCTTGGCATTGAGACACTTACTTGATCGGGAAATTCACTATGGTGGGGTTCTTCTCCAGGAAGAACGTGTTCTTCGTGAAGCGCTTGATGTACAAAATAATGAATTGTGGCAGGCGGGTGATCTCGAATCGCTTCATAAAGTTGTCCTTGTAGGTCTTGTACTCCTTCTCGGCGCTGCCATTAAACTTGCCCAACAGCTGGTAGAGATTCACCTGCGGTATGATATTCTCGCGGAATTCGTCGGTGAACAACGGTGGCGGCGGCAAATCGCAAGTGAGGTAGATGAAATTGGTGTGCTCCACCTGGTCCTTGTACTCCTCGGTAGCCAGGAGTTGCGCCTTTGCCGTATCGTCCAACTCTACTGGTGGTATTTTGCGCGTATAGATCTGCATCTCTCCCAAAAAGATCTTGTAAAGTATGGAGGAGTTGGGCTGTTTGTTGCCCTTGAGTGCGCGGTGCAGGGTATTGAGGAACCACGACAGGAAGTCGATGGGATCGCCCTGCTCGGTGATCTGAAACCGTTTACTGGACCACAGCACTACGGCTTGAAGCATCTCGTGTGGCGACACATGTGCCTTAAAGTTGCGTGGATTCCACATCTTGCGCATTAGCTCCCCGAATCGCTGGACTAGCGTGAACATGGAGTCCCCAGGTGGCCTCTTGACATGCGCATAGCTCTGCTCCCGCAGAAAGTAATCCCTGAGCGGACCAACGTGGGACAGGGCATGCAGCACCACGTTGCAGTAGTCGTTGGCCTTAATATTGTTCAGGCCCACAACTCCGGGTAGATATAGAACTCCGTCAACGGTTCGTGAATGCTTCGGCTGCAGTTGATCCAGTTTACTGATCTCTTGGCGAGTGAACGTTGGATTCAGCACATACTTGATGTCGTCCAGCGAGGAGTCGATAATCTCGTAGTTGTCCGGCAGGCAGTAGAATCGTAGCGTATGCAGGTTGAGAAACACATGATGTGCCTCGCCCACAGAGTGCGTGTAGGCGTGGGTATTGGTACCACGCCCCTGAAAGTACTTCCCGCACACCAGACACGCATAAACATTGATCCTTGTCAGAGAGATGGAGCACAGCTTCTCGAAATCGAAGTCCAGCAGGTTGCGGTTGATGGTGTCCAAATAGGGACACACCCTGTACTTTGGATTGAACACGGATGGCGTGTCTATCGATGGGGAATTATTAAAACCATATTCACATTTAAAAAGCATTTGTCCCCCATTCTTACCATCCTCCTCCACGGGGTTTGCCGGCTTCTTCTCCAGCTTCATGCGCTTGGCTGCTAAAATGTTATTTGAGCCGTAAAGTTATCTGTGTTCATGTGATCAGTCAGAACCTACCTGGGACTTGCGTTTGCGCCATTTATTTTTGCAAAAATACTCAGTAATTCATTTAATTCAAATTAAAATTACATTTGTTTTGTGGATTGGTTGTTTGGCTGTGCGCAGTTATCGATAACTAGACAAATCGATAGATCGATTCATGGCAGAGTTGCCAGATTAAAATTTCGCCATAAAAAATCTGGGAATTTGAAAGAACGAAAATTTGTTTAAGATATTTAAAGTGCCAAAATAAAATATATATTAAAAATATATACCGGCCGAAACTTTTAGCAACTATGGACGATTCCTCCCTGTACCTTAAGTCTTAAACTTTTGGCAACAGAGTACAATAAATAAACAAATAAAAATATATAGTACAATATTGCTCACATTTTCAAAAACTATTCACAAAAGACGTCATGTTTTGGCATCTAGACACAAAAAAATTTGGTTGGTAAAATTTAACGATGCTGATAGTTTTGCAACTATAAAAAATTACACTTTACTATTTAATATGGTTGTGTATGTATTTTATTTAGCTTTGATTACTGTTTAATAGTTAAGCCACTATTAAAATAGTTACAATCACGATATGTGTATATTTTAAAATTACAATAGTAAATAGTTAATTAACTATATAAAATACTTATCCTAACGTAATATTTTCCACACGAAAATATGCAACAATATCTTTACAAGTTGTGGTTCTTGTAATTGCCAACTTTGTCTAGCGTTTGTACTCCTAGAGTCCCAAGCTAAGCTCTGAAAAGTTAAGACATTACTTAAAAGATATATTCCCCAAAGGGCAATTTGAAAATTACACTTTTTTATTTTGCCTATAAATTGACGTATCTATGTATTTAGTTAATAATTTTATAAATTTTATAGGTATATTTATATATTTACTATAAAGAAGTTCACTAACTATATTTTATGGATTGGATAACTATAACTATTTAACTAACTATTTTTATTTAACAATCCATGCGTTGGGTCTGTTCTACCCTTTTTTATAGTTACACAACAATTTTTTTAGTAACCTTACGATTACGGATACGTAAGAGTAACTATTTGATGGGTAATATTGACAATTTTATGGTTGGGGACCGTTTTACTATTATATAGGTCGATTTCCAAAACTTCCCCATTAAATGCTTTACAGGTTGGTGCGCGCATCACGAATACAATATTGATAAGGGGCGTTTCAAGATAAATTTTGTGTGAAATATCATAAAAACAATCATGAAACCTTATCAATGGTTTTATCAGTGTAAAGTCCGGCATCTTAAGCTTATCGGTGGCTCTATTTATAGCCGTTTTTATATCAGTTCAGGGGACCTCTAAGCCGCGGACCACCCCACTGCCAACCCCTGGGGGAGATCTGCTGCAAATCTGCGATCAAGAAACGACCTTAAACGCCCTAGCTCAGAGAGCCAAAGCTTTCTGGTTTCAGATTCTCCGAAGAAAGCTCTGGCCGGCGATGAATGCCTCCGATAAGGTGTAAACATTATTTCCAGTTTAGTTCTGCCAGCTATCCCCTTGCACTCGGGACGGAACTTTCCACGACGCAAAAATATTGACATATAGTAGCAATCAGCATGTGGGCAGATCTCGCGGGCAAGGTAATCTTGGTGACCGGGGCTGGAGCCGGAATTGGCCAGGCTTTGGTGAAGCAGCTGGCCTCCGCAGGAGCAACCGTCGTCGCAGTGGCCAGGAAGGCGGAGCAGCTCGAGGAGTTGGTTGCCTTCGACCCGGTACACATCCAGCCGCTCCAGTTGGACCTCAGCGGGTGGCAGGCAGTGCGCGAGGGCCTGGCGAATGTGCCTCTGCTGGACGGACTGGTCAACAACGCCGGTGTGGCAGTCATTAAGCCATTCGAGGAGCTCACGGAACAAGATTTCGATATGTAAGTGGGATGCATCTCGAGAACCCCGTTCGGTCGACTTATAGGGAGCTAAAAGTAGATTTTGACGTTCTCCCAATTGGAAACCCACTTTTAACTTATGTACGTTGGTTAGGACTAGTCTTATCACTCTTCAGGGGTATTTCATTAAAGGTAGAAATATAAAATAAAACTCTTATTTTTAAAAACGATTACATATATTTTCGTAAAATATCTCGTGATCTGAGGACAAGTAAAATCTAACAAAAACAAACCAGAAAAAAAAAATCATTTTGAATTTATATTGATGTATTTGTTTATAAAAATCGAAATCGAAATTGTTGAGGTTTGATATATACGAATGTACAAAAATTGTAACTTAAAAAAGTAAGTCTTTCAAAAGCCCCATAACTTTGATTTTTGTTGATCATTTATCATTAATCAGAGCTAGCTCTCTCTTATCAAAGAGAAGTTCTCGAAAGATCATGATCACCCAATTAATTTATTATGATATCGAATATAAAGACCAGATTAAGAGAAAGGGTCACTGGAAACTTACTTCATTTAACCTCTAAAAAAGAAACTGACCGTATATACAATACACTTTACCTATATAGCTTCCATCAAAAATACTTTAGAAAATCTTTAAGTTCTCATGGGAAAGTACTCTTTTGAGATCATATGTAGAAGACTGATAAGGGTACCTTGGGGACGACACAACAAACTTTTCTTGGGCCAAACCAAATATAGAAATGTTGGAATATACGTACAATTATAATGCCCCACAGCTGCCACCGTCCCTGCTTGGAGTAGGTTTATGCTTTTCGTACGTATGTTTATAAATTAAGTACATTTTCTTTCAGCCACTTCGATGTGAACATTAAGGCGGTGTTCAATGTCACGCAGTCTCTGCTGCCCCGCCTCAGAGACGGAGCCTCCATCGTCAACGTGTCCTCGATAGCGTCGACCCGATCCTTTGGCGGGCACACTGCCTACAGTGCCACCAAGGCGGCCCTAGACTCGCTTACAAAATCGCTTGCCTTGGAGCTGGGTCCGCGAAAGATCCGCGTCAACTCTGTCAATCCCACAGTGGTGCTGACCAAAATGGGCGCAGACAACTGGTCGGATCCCGCCAAGAGTGGACCGCTGTTGGCCCACATTCCGCTGAATCGGTTTTGCGAGGTCCAGGAGGTTGTGGACGCCACCGGCTATCTGTTGAGCAGCAAGTCCAGCTTCGTTAACGGCCACCACATCCTCCTTGAGGGAGGATACGCAGTTTCTTAAGATTCTTAGATTTTTGAAACTCGATGAAAATAAATACAACACATATACTATAACTGCTTGCGGTTCCTTTGAAGAATGTTGACTCAGACTACTGGGAGCTTAACTTAACCTTTAACTTATTGAACCGGATTTCGATTAGTTTTGCTTTAGAGATGAGTTTGAAAATTAGTTTAGGCCGTAAAATTGTATACAATAACGATTAAAAATAGTGTTTAGATATACATATACATTAGGTCGGATTGATTTGCCAATATATGTATTTTAAAATTCCGGTTAAAAGGTTAAGTTTCTCACGCCGATAAATCCGTTTCCATTTCGAGTATACTCCTTCTAGATTGTATTTATCCAATTTTTCCTAATGTAGAATACAAAAATTCGGGTTTGGTATTTACTAGTACATACATCTTATGAAATGTATTTATACACAAAATCTTAGCTTAAATCTAAAGATTTGCGCTTAAAATTAGAAACGGAAAAAATTCCATAGATTTACAATTTCTACTCTTTATAATCATCCACTTTCAACGATGTTCATTCGTTTTTTCCTGGAGCGTTAAAGTCATTTCTATTTGCACACGTTCTAAGATGGATGTTCTCGATGTTCCATGGAGGTGGATGTGGCTTCCATTCGAGCTAGGCACAGATCTTGCCCTGCTGCTGGCTCTGCATTTGCTGTTGCTTCTTCTCGCGCTCCCTACGACGCAGCTTCTTGCGTCGGCGATCGATGACCGTTAGTTCACCCTTAATGGTGTTGTAGGCCTTGCGCAGATCCTGGATCTGTTTGCGCAGGATCGTGATGCACTCGTCCGAACTAAGCGCAGGATCTGGAGATGTGAGGGGGATGTTAGAAGCACAGAAGGACGAAGAACTACGCGATGTACTCACCGAGCTCTACAAGGAAGTTGTATGGACATGGACGTACTCCCGGCGTATTGCCCGCTTGGATTCCCTGCTGCAGGGACGGCTGCTGTTGTTGCAGGAGTTGCTGTTGCTGCTGTGGCTGAGCATTGCCCTGGGGCAGCATTTGCTGGCGGGCGCTCTGTCGTTGCTGCTGGTGCTGTTGTCCTGCGGTCGGTGCTATGTTATCCGAGTTGTCATCGGTATCGGATCCTGCTGAAAGAGTCAATGGGGCATTCGAACACCGATTAATTAGGCTTAAGCGGTAGGCGTACAATATTTAGTTTATTCATTAATTAATATATTGTCAGCTTCTCTCTTTTTATACCTGTTACTGAATCTAGTAAAAGCGTATACTAGCCGAGTCGATCTAGCCATGTCCGTGTGTCCGTATGAACGCTGAGACCTCGAAAACTATTAGAGCTAGAGTATTGGGATGTGGAATGCAGATTCTTGAGCTTTCTGCGAGTGAGCAGTAGATTGGCTAGATGACTCGGCTAGTGATTCCGACCAATAATGTATTTACTTTATATGGTCTTAAACGCTACCTTTTACTTGTATCATACTCTTCAACGAATACAATAGCCAGACCGATGAATTTCTTACCTGTGGTGGTGGTGGTTTTCTGGCTGCGCATTCCAGACACTTGGCGTCGCCTCTTGCCCAGGGATTGGAGTTGAGCCGCCACGGCGGCCGTCGTCTGGGCGCTCATCGGCATCGGTTTACGTGTTCGCTTGCGCTTGTTGAGTGTCTCTAAGCCGCTTGAGTCCTCGTGTCCGTGCTCGGCACTCTTTTTGGTCTCCTCGCCGCTCTCATCCTGACTAGCCGAGTCCGGCGAACTGTTGGGTGCTGAGGGAATGACCTCTACCGTCTTTGCCACCTGTTGCTGCTGTCCGGTTTGCACTTGTTGTTGCAGCTGTTGCTGGATGGCACCAACAGCTCCGGCTGGCGGTGTATCGGGGGGCAGCGGCGTTATGCCCATAATAGCCAACGCCGAACCCACAGCGGCTGGTAGCTGCTCAGTGCCACCGTAATTGGGGGCCGGACTGCCTGGTATGGTTTCTTCGCAGAGCAAATTTATGGATTCGTTGTGGGGATCGCTGATCAGAGGCGAACTGGCCGCCGGTGCCACAACATTAAACAGTTCCTTACCCACCGCGTGCATTACAAAAGGTCGCGCCACCACTGTGGCACTGCTGTTGGGGGCTTCAGCCATCTCCGCATCTAATATGTAGCTGGCGGGGATCTCCGGTGCCGTTTGAAGGACGCTAGCCGGCTGCTGATGCTGCTGGGAGAAATTTGAAATAACAGTGGGTGTTCCGCCGCCGGCTGCTGCTATTACGCTTCCGGACGAAGGTAATCCACCTGCCGTCACTGCTCCGCCCGCTGCTGTATAGGCCTTTAGCAGCAATCCCCCTGCTTCTTTTGGAGCGGTGAGGAACGGGGATATTAGAACAGGAACTGGCGAGCTCGGTGTGGAGCCTGGACTGTGGCGCATGGCCGCGGAGGCCACTATGAGGGTCGGAGTCGCTACCACCACAGAGGCGGGGATCTCGGGCAGCACAATGGGAATGCCGCAAGAGCTTATGTTTTTGGCCTGACCCACCTCTTCCTGCTGTTGGAGCTTGGCTAGTGGCGGAGGCCGAGTCACCGCAGCAAGTCTCCCAGCAAAGGAGCTGGCCTCCGTGGGCTTCAAGGGAATGGGAGCCTGAATTCCGGGCAGGGCCTTGGCACTCACTTCCAATTTAACGGGAGCAGGAACCGGGGGCGTAGGAGTGCTGCTGCTGGTGCCCTCTGTTTCGATGGTAACCGCCGTCACCATAGTGGTCGTGGTATTCTGACCCTCCTCTTGCCCAGATCCCGGGCTCTTTTGCTCGCCAGTCGTTGTGGTGGTAGTGTGCTCTTCCGCAATTACATCCTCGATGACCAGACGCTGCTCAGAGTCGGTGCTGTCCATGGATTCGTCCGAGAAACCGGCTCCTGCGGTAGCCGTGGAGTTCGGTGTGTGGGCGGCAGGCGGAGTTCCTGCCGTAGAGCTGGCCAGGGACAGAGCTCCACCCACAGGCGTCTTTCGCTGTTGGATGGCACACTCCAGTTTCTGGATTGTCTCGCTCAACTCGCTGTTCTTCGCCGGAAGCGAGGATTCAAGAATGGACTTGGTTTCCGGACTGCTGGTCGCAGGTCCGGGTCTATAAAGTTCACCCAGTAGTGGACCCGTTTGTATTTTGAGTGGTTCGCTCAGCAGCTTAAGAGTATCCAGCTTAATGGCACTGCTGCATAATTCAAGTTTGGCTGCCGGGGGGTGCGCCACTTCCTCACCCCCCGAAGTCTTGGCAGCGGCAATGGGTTCTATTTGGGGCTTGCTCTTGCTGTTCTCTACCTCCTCCTTTTTCTGGCTGATAGCCTTCAGCACCTTGTCCGCTATGGAGCTAGGCTTCTGTTCATAGCTTCCGGCATCCAAATCAAAGGGTCCTGCTGCTCCGGCCAGCAAGATTTTTACGTTCTCCAGTTTCTCCAGCTTGTTATCCTTGGACTCACCGGAACTGTAGCCACTGCCCTCGTTGGATGTGCTTAGCTCGAACACGTTCCTGGTTTCGATGAAGGGACTGCCGACGATATGAGGAGCAGGTGGCTTGCTGGCATTGGTGGCCTGGGGTGGAGTACTCAACTTGGGCGAGGCAAGCACTGCATTAGCTCCTATGGGCGGTGTGCTGGGACAGCTCAAAACTGCTGTGGGCGTTGGAGTTATTACTGGCGTGACTGGGGCTGGTATCGACCCACTTGATGGTAGGGGCGATGGCCCAGGTGTTGTCGGAGGCTGCAGCGCATCCGTTAGCGCTCGAGTGGTTTCCTGGACAGTCTGTGCCAATTCCTCATTCAGGGCGGTGATGTTAAGATTGAAACTGGGCGACTTCCTCAAGGCATCAAAGGGTGTAGCATGATGCGGAGCAAGTTGGCTAGGCGTAGAGGAGGCGGACAGTAGGGCTTGGCCACTCGATGAGGTTGGCGTACTCAAAGAGGATCCTGACACCGCTAGGGCTGCTGTTCCTGGCGGCGTATGCATCTTCACTGGATTGCTAGCTGAAGGAGACACTTGTCCTACAGGCTGTAGCACTTTTAAAGTGGGTGGTGTAAGCTGCTGTGCCTTCTGTTCCCCCGGTTGCTGGACTTGGTCCTTGTCTTGCTTGTACATTTTTGGCTTTTCCAGGCCCAATGCTGGCTCTTTCAGTGGAGAACCCCTCTTCTTTAGCTTAGGCGCTGTTAGTCCGGTTAATGCTGTCGTCATTGCATTGTAACTACGTTCGTGTCCAGCGGGAGGCAACTGGTGCTGCTCCAGACTCTGCAGCATTGCGCTGGTTTTAAGTGCTTGCTTCCTGGCCGCCGAGCTGACCACCACTGCGGCTGAAGTGGAGGCACTTGCTGTTCCGCCAGATCCGGAGACTCCTGTTGTTGGCATCACTGACGTGATTACGGAGGCTCCTGCACCCACCACTGCTCCGACTCCCGTGGCTCCGGCAGCCACAGTTCCGCCCACAGAAGCCATCGGGGAGATGCGCTTTTCGAACTCGAAGGGCTCTGTGTCCTTGAACTCATACACATCCGAGGACAGCAATTTTCGTATGCTGAGTCCCAATCCTGCAGCATTTCCTCCACTGCTGCTGTATTTTGACTCCTTGGCAGCACCTGATGTGCTGGGTGGCGCGGCCTGGCCTGGCTGTGATCCCGCTGGTGTCGCCGTCGGCCCAGGTGTGGTACCACTACTAATCTCCAGCTTGCTCATATCCGGCAGGGAACGAGTGGCAGAACTGGAACTTGCCGCAGATCCGGTGGAACACAAGGAACTGGACGAAGAGGAGGACGACGATGGCGAACAAGCTGCTGGCAGTTCCACTTTTAAGCTTGCCACTGGTTCAGCAAACTTCTTTGACTCCTGACCTGATAGAGAAGAACTAGAGGCAGTTGCAGCTGCTCCACCAGATTGCTTCTTGACCTGATCTAACTTTTTGGGCACATGTTGTTCCGAGGACTTCTTGCCACCAATCGTTAAGTGCTTCTCTACAATCACCGATGTGTATTTGGCCGTTGAAGATCCCGGTACAGTTGAGCTCGGAGCTTGGGGAGCTGATGCGTTCCCGAATCTAGCTGGGGCTATGAGAGCCGTAGGTTTGATGTCCGCACCCGATAAAAAGGGCTTAATCTTAGCTTCCTCCTCCTTGGGCTCCATTTTAGGTTCGATTTTGAGGGGTTCTTCTTTGACAGCCAGCTCCCTTTTGGACACTGGCTCGTGATGTGACTTGGAGGTAGTGGACATTGACTCCTTCTTGCCTGCTCCTGTTCCCTTTGGTTGTTTGCGGTAGTCGGAGGACTGCGAGTCCTCGTCCACATAGGACTCGGTTTCGGAGGAGAGCTCTGTTGAGCTGCTCTTGGCCGAGGACTCCTGCTTGGGCTCTTTCTTGATGTCTTGCAGGGCTGACTCAGCAGAAGACTCTTGCTTTGCGATATCCTTTGGCTCTTCGTTGGTCGCAGGGTTCGTTAGCAATTTCGGCTGGAATCCCTTCAGCTCCGATCGAATCTCGCTGAGATCATAGTCGCGTCCCTTGGCGGAAGCGGCGCCACTGCTCATGGCACGATTGCCTCCAGCCCGGGATCCCCGCACAGAGGCAGCCTGTTGTTGCTGCTGCTTGGAGGGAGCGGCTCTTCCCGCCGCCGGCTCATCATCATCCTCATCCTCTTCGGAGTCATCGCTGGGATGGGGAGCTGGGGCCGTGGAGGAAGCCCGGCTAGCCACCCTCCCTTTTCCGGGCTGCTGTGCCTTCCCCGTTTGGGGTTTCTCTTTGGCACTCTGTCTCTTTGGACGTCGCACTGGCTCATCGGAGTCAGAATCCGATTGGGAAGCCATCGAGGCATCTGAAACGCGACGTGGAGTAGTGGTACCAGGTACAACTCTAGTCGGGCGCTTCTTCATCTGTGGCTGCAGTTGCGTCTGGGAGGCAGCCGGCGACTTAGTGCGAGCGGAATGAGCCGCCACCACCGACGAGGGTGTGGTGGAGCGCGGTGGCATTGAGTCGCTGCGTCCCCGTCCCCGCTTTGCCCCTCCCGTCGTCGGGGTCTTGACTACAGTAGACAGCAGCGAGGGAGTGGAGCTGGCCCCTCCCAGAGATCCAGACTGCGATATAGCTCCAGGTCCAGAGGAATTTCCCGCTGATGGTGGCATTTTGGAGAACCCATCCTTGCCGGTCTGATGCTTGTCCGCTACTCCCGGCGGCAGGGAGCCCTGCACCGAAAGGGAGCCACCTCCTCCTCCTCCACTGCCACTGTTCGCACTGCTGGTGCTTATGGTTCGAGTTTTTTGCTTGGACCCCTTGGTCAGGTTCTCTGCAATCCTCTCTCTCGGCACCCACTCATCGTAGCGATTGTTCCAACCCGTGTAGTGGACCAGGTACATCGGCACTCCGCGTTGGACACTGATTTCGATAACCTTGGCCTCGTAAGTGCTGCCATGCGAGCTGGGCGACTTCTTCTCGTGGTAGTTAACCTTCAACTTGTCTCCGATCCCCACCACAAAGTCGCCGGTATCAATCTTCTCCACGCTAATCTTCTCCTTCTTGCGCTTGCCGCTACCCGGTTGCTTTTCCTCCTTGTCCTTTTCCTTGTCTGCTTGCTTGCTCCGCTGGTGCTTCTCCTTTTTGGTGGACGCCGGTTGGGAGTTGGCAGATGGAGCGGACGTGCCTGCGCCGGCAGGAGCCGGTGCAACGACTGGAAAACAAGAGGAAAATTTATTATTTATTATTAGCTTTGTTTATTGTTATATGATAATTTACATATATTTCAGTTATTTATATATTGCATATTCTTGGTGAACCACATTTAGTTATATGCTTTTTTTATAAAGTTAAATTTCTCGTAATTTTAATGCCAAAATGATGCTGGTAACGTGAACTACCGATTGTGAAGAGGTGTATCTTTAAGATAATGTGGTTTAATTAATTAACGCAGAATAAGCGTTAAACTTTTTTTTTGGTTTTTGGAAAGTTGCTAGTTCATTGAATGAGAAGCAATATTATAGTCAGTTTTATAGCTGAGCTGAATCTAATTTATGAGTTTTAATAGATATATGTATGCATACACTTCTTCACGTCAAATTTTTATAGAACTTAAAATTTAAAATATACAACTGAACTTTATTAAGTATTTTATTCTCGAACCAATCAATTGCAATTTATTTACATTTGAGTATTTCAGCAGTTTTTAGACACCTTTGCTCGAAAATAAGTAATAAAAAGAAAAGGAAATCCCAAGGAAGCATGCCCTAAAAGACAATACATATCTAAGCAACATGAAATAGATATTTTAAAGTTGAAAAGTATGTATTTTATAAAAGCTCCCCCACCTAGAAAGAGAGCGCTTCTTTATCCAGTATCATAACAATCATGTGGGTGTAAAATATCTGTACAAACACCAAGCATCTTTTCTTCTCTATAAACATTATACCTCGAATAAGAAAGAGAAAGAAGATGGTTTTTCTCTTATCAAATATACTATACTCATCAATGAACAACAAAGCAACAAGTGCCTTGTCCGAACAGACATGGGTATTTTTGGCGAACCTGGTTCCTTTACTAAGTTACATTTTTAGTTAATTACTCTTCGTCAACTGCTTTTGTTAATATCGATACTTGTATCGATACTTTTATGTTTTATTGTTGTGTGGAAGTACTTCGTGCGTGATAAATATAAATACACGAGTTAAAGTCGTAGTTCAAATACTCTTACTACTCCTCTTTATAACTAGTTTAATATATTTTGGAATCTTGCATAATTATTTGCTTTCAAATCAGTATCTTAGTATTTGTAAGGTTTTTGGAATGATTTGTATTAAATTTTGGATAAGATCAAGTCAAAATCGGAATATTTTAAAATCTCTTAATTTCAAGTAATTTTGGACAAGTAAGGTTTAAGTAAATATATAAAGAAGTGGTAAATAAAGAACTGAGTTCCATTTAGCTGGAAAGTAAAGCTGGAAAAATATTTTATGACTATAACTTTTTAGATGTTTTTTAACACATTTATTAAAGTGTTTCCGAATAGTTGTTTCAAATTCGATTTGGTTTGGTTTGGTTTGAAAGTGTCTTCTCTTGAATGTGTTAGTTACAAGTGTTAAATTATACAAAAGTGGTTTAAAAACTACTAGATATGTATGGTACCCCCCGCAAGGGTATTAAAACCAACCGAACCAGGGTTGTCAAATATGCAAAATATCGTTTGGGGAGTGTAGTGTGTTCCGTTGTCAACAAGCGTTTGGTAAAGACCCGAATTAGCGCTTTTTAAGATTGCTTATCAAATAAACCCTCACAGATTTGGGGGCAGAGGCTGCCGGGGCCAATGACGCCACTGGACAAATACGAGACATACCACCAGGAGGCCACATAAATCAATAACAAAACCGATTTACCGGAGCGGCAAGAAGCAGATCGGAGAAGCTTGAGATTGGATTGGGTTTCTTTCAAAACACCGAGTGTTTTCCCGGTTCTTGGTTACATAATCATGCGCTGGCTGAGGCGCAGCTGGGCGGGATTGCTCCAACAGAGACACCAGCAGCATCACCGGCGGCTTCTGTTGACCACCAATCGGGCGAGCGATGGAGAAAGGGAGCAGCAGCAGGACTTCAAGTGGAGTTCTCCGGGCAGCAGAGCAGAGCAAGTGCTCTATGCCGGCTTCTGGGCAGGTGGCTTGACCCTGGGCTACTACTGGCTGACCCACAGGAACAACAAAGTGCTGCTCGTGGAGCAGGTTTCAGACGAGGACAAACAGGAGGCACTGGCTCGACTCTGGCACGTGACCCCAAGAAAAGAGCTGCCCACCTACAAGGCCGACCAAGTGGAGCAGCACAACTGTCCTGAGAAAGGTATTTGGGTGACCTACGGCCTGGGCGTTTATGATGTCACAGACTTTGCCGAGAATCATCCGGGGGGCGATAAAATCTTGATGGCTGCCGGCAGCGCCATAGATCCCTTTTGGGCCATCTACCAACAGCACAATACGCTGGAAGTTTTAGAGCTTCTAGAAGGCTTTCGCATTGGCAACCTGGAGGGTGAACTGGTGGCCAGTGTTGACGATGAGTTGGGCTCGCCCTGGTCGCAGGAACCGCAGCGCCATGCCCTGCTCAAGCCAGCCTCCAAGAGACCCTTCAACGCAGAACCACCCATTGGCCTGCTGGCCGAGCAGTTTTACACGCCCAACGAGCTATTCTATGTGCGCAACCACCTACCAGTGCCCGTAATCAGTCCGGAGGACTACGAACTGGAGATCGAGGGTGGCGAAAAGAAAAAGACCCTAAGTTTGGAGGGGATCAAGGACCTTCCGAAGCATTCGGTGACTGCGGCCATAATGTGCGGTGGCAATCGACGCTCCGAGATGACAAAAGTCAAAGCGGTGAAGGGTGAGTGGTCTGGATAAAATGATTAACTATTTCTTAAGCTCTATTTATTCCTACCCCAGGTCTTTCGTGGGGAGCCGGTGCAGTGGGTAATGCCAAATGGTCCGGAGCTCGACTGTGCGACGTTCTGAAGCAGCTGGGTGTGCAGCCGGACGAGACCAAGCACGTGATATTCGAGGGTGCCGACCTGGATCCCACTTCCCACCCGTACGGAGCATCGATTCCACTGGCTAAGGCTCTGGATCCGCGGGGAGATGTCATCCTGGCCTACGAGATGAACGATGAGCCACTGAGCCGAGATCATGGCTTCCCCATCCGAGTAATTGTACCCGGCACAGTGGGCGCCCGCAATGTCAAGTGGCTGACGCGGATTGTTGTGGCAGATCGGGAATCGGACTCACACTGGCAGCAGAACGACTATAAGGGCTTCAGTCCCAGCACGGATTGGGACACGGTAGACTTTAGCAAGTCGGATGCCATCCAGGCCATGCCGGTGACCTCGGCCATCTGTACGCCGCAGCCAGGATCCAGGGTCAAAATAGATGACGACGAGGGACATATCGCGGTGAGGGGATACGCGTGGAGCGGAGGCGGTAGGAAGATAGTGCGGGTGGACCTGAGCAACGATGAAGGTTTGACCTGGCATGTGGCCGAACTGGAGCAGGAGGATATACCCGACGGCAGACACTACGGTTGGTCACTGTGGACCGCTCGTCTGCCCGTTTCTGAGGCCCAAAGGAAAGCTGGGGGCGTTGAGATCTGGGCCAAGGCCGTCGACTCAGCGTACAATGTGCAGCCGGAAAAGTTCGAGCATATATGGAATCTGCGTGGCGTTTTGGCCAATGCCTACCACAAGGTCAAAGTGAAGATAGTCTAAGCGGAAGTTTTCTTAAAACTAATCAAATATGGGGAACTGAAGATTGTCCACATAAAAAATAAAGAACTGGAGAAACATATTTTGGATCCAATTCCATTAAGTCTGGTTTTTTTTTCTCCGCCTTCACTTACCCGATGGTGAGGCATCACGGCTGCGCTGCATCTCCGTAGAATTTGCCTTGCTGGAGGCGGAGGCACTACTGCCCGAGCTAGTGTTGGTCTCCTTTTCCATGCTGTGTCTGGTGGAAGCGGCAGCTGCAGCCGCTGCCTTAATCTTGGCCAGCGGCAGATCTGATTCGGCGTCTTTGATGCCAACAGCACTCGGAACGGCTGATGAACCTCCGGAAGTGGAAGATGATGAGTTGGCTGGCGTGGAAGGCGCACACGAAGTGGCTGGTACGGCAGTAGATGACACACTGGCACCCGTTCCAGCGACTGAGGCAGTCGAAGAGTTTTGGGCTGCTGTGGATTTTTCCTCGTACTTTTCCACCAAGCTCTTGACCTTCCCCTGTTGACTGCTAGCCGCTGAGCCCTTCCTTTGCTTCTTTGGTGGTTCTACCACCACGCTAGACTCGCTGGTGTTGCCAGACTCCTCGGCTGCGGATTGCGATGCGGTGGATACGGCTCTGGCCGGTGTTGAAGCCGCCGCGGCTGCTGCACTGCTCGAAGTCGAAGCCACGACGTTTGTCTGATTGGGCTGGGCCAGTTTGCTGATGGTTTCCGTCTTTGTGGTCTCCATGGGCTTCGGTGACGCCACAGAGTTGGCCCGAACCAGGCTCCTGCCCTTGCTGCGGTTGGAGTTGCGCGAGGTCATCAGCATGGAGCAGCCCAGCTTGCGGTGGAAGTCGCCGTACGGCTGCAGGAACTTTTTGTACGCCTGCTTTACCAGATTCATCACACTCACTGTGCAGGGCGTAAAGCCCAGGCGCATGGCAATGAGCTTCCACTGATTCTGCGAGGTGACGCGGTTGTAGCCTCCTCGCTTTTGCACCGCCCGAAAGAGACGATACAAGTCTACGTCCCGGCTTTGAATGGAGGGCACCTTGTTCAACGGTGTTCCCCTGTCATCCATGTACTTGTACAGCTGGGCCACAAAGCGATCCTTCTCCTCGTGCGGCTCGTCGTCGGAGGAGTCCGAGTCAATCTCGCCCTCGTCATCGCTAGAGATGTTTGAAAGGCCGAACAACGAGTCCCTGTCCCAGTGGGCAGGAAGTATGCTGCTATCCAGGAACTCGAGGGCCGCCTGCACAGCAGGCACATCTTGTTTACTGGCCACTTCGCGTGTGAACTCGGTAGCCTCCTTTTTCGGCACCGTGTAGTAGCGGCCGTCCTTGAACGAGCGCACCAGGTACTCGTCTTTTACTCGAATGCGGACAGTGGCCTGCAGGGAATCAAATATAAACAATCCTTGGTGCTAACTCTTAATACCGACTTGACTTACCTGTGCTGTGGGCGCCACCACCAAAGCGGGGAACCACTTCTCTTTGTCTTTCTTCTTGGACTCGGTCTCTACACACACCACCTTTCCGATGTTCTCCTCCTTTTCGTTGACGACCTCCTTGGCATCGCTTTCTTCGTCGTCTTCTGAACTATCTTCGTTCAGGTGGCCGCGCCGTCTGCCCCTTCGTCCACCCACCACGGGATTACCGAAGTGCTCTGGATGGGTCAGAGGCAGCTGATCCAGCGTCTCGCTCTCGTTAAAGTGCCGGCCACTCTTTAGGCACAGAGCCGTTCGCCTCAGTGTGGTGATGTCTCCATCGTCGAAGACCACCGTGTACTGCGAGCAATCCTGGATCTTGGTGATGGTCGCCTCGACGATTTCCTTGCGATCCGGGTGACGCACCTCCACCACGGCACTCACGCGCAGTTGACCCGTCGGGGCCTTAATGGCATCATCAGAGACGATTCCAGAGCCCAGTCCCTGCTTGTAGGCCACCTTCACCTTGATGTTGCGCACTACCTTGCTGACCTTTGCCTCGCAGAATGCGCCCTTGTACTTGGCACTCACTTCCGTGCCCACGGGCAGCGATGGCGGATCGTCCATTTGCTAAACGACAGAGGAAGGTAGATTTGTATGCTATTTATTCCAGTTTTATAAGAGGAAGGCACATTTTTGTTAATGTGCTAGAAAGGTTGGTAATTTATCCAGTTCATAAATTACCTTCATCTTGTTTCTCTGGTTTCGAAGATATGTTAGCGTAGTGATACGTGAATTGCTTTGGTACATTTTAAATTTTAAGAAAGGAGATGTAAGAAATTAGAAATGTAAAATTTCACAAATTCACATTTGTCAGATAATAGCAGAGGAATTTTAAGAATAGATCCCAAAAATCTGACATTTCTTGTTAGACTGCTTGGATTAGACCAAAGACATTATAAGAAAATTATCCTAAATTAATAAAAATGAAATAGGCATCTTGCTTTAAAAGATTGTTACAGAAATATATATGCGCTAAACAAAAATCCTAAATTCTACAGATTTATTGTTTTTAAAAAGTTTTAAAGTTTTTGTTAAATTCATAGTCTCGCCATCTCACTCGTAAATAATTGTTTTAACCCACAATAATAACCCATTTTAAATAATAAGTTGGAGATATCCTATAGTTCGGTGATCATCGTATGGATCGACATTAATTTAATTACAGTAAAATGAAAGGTTTCAAATAATATATGCAAATTATGAACCAAGTTTATATGAGAATTCCCAAGGGGAATCTTATACGTGAGTTACTATTGAGTTATTATTCAATGTTTTGCAATATTACTATTTTCTCTATCAAAATGAAAAACTAAGCTGGAATCTCATATAATTACAACATATTTTGCTATATTTACCACTAATAAATGGAACAACTGACTGTTTTGTTTTCGTTTTGCCTTCTCACCTGCATCTTAATTTCGAAATTTCGCTGTTGCAGGGCCAAATGGAAATGTCGCTTTCACTTTCTCCTGGTTGCCATCCTGTTTAGTTGTCCATTAAATCCTTTTAGACCGGGTTTTTGTCCTTTTGTTTATCCACTAGACTGCAGCGATGCCGCTCTTCTTCTTCCTCCGCTTCTGTACCACCCACAAGGTGCAAGTTCCTTCTTCCACGCTGCCTTGGCGCAGGACGCACTACAGAAGTTCCCGAAATCTGGTGTCCCCGGTCTCAGTTCCTCGTTGCGCAATGCATTGGCCAGCTGGGTGTCCTGAATATCGCTATATTTTCAATGTAACTCCTTTAGTTTACGTTTTTGGCGCATGAAATTTTCGCTAGAGACGGGTGAATGCCTACTACACTTATCGATGTAAGAGATGGAACAATAAGCGATGATTTTAAGAAGTATATCGATACACAGGTAAAGTGTGGAAGGCGCCATTTATAATTGTTAAACACTTTTAAGAAATACTCATAGATGGCGCTTTTTAAATTACTGAGCAAAATGCGTTAGATGGCGACACTTACTTTTCAAAATGCGGAATATGCGTTAGGTGGCGCCACTGAAAAGTACATGTGTAAATTCCATTTATAATTGTATTAAACACTTTTAAGAAATACTCATAGATGGCGCTTTTTAAATTACTGAGCAAGATGCGTTAGATGGCGACACTTACTTTTCAAAATGCGGAATATGCGTTAGGAGGCGCCACTGAAAAGTACATGTGTAAATTCCATTTATAATTGTATTAAACACTTTTAAGAAATACTCATAGATGGCGCTTTTTAAATTACTGAGCAAGATGCGTTAGATGGCGACACTTACTTTTCAAAATGCGGAATATGCGTTAGGTGGCGCCACTGAAAAGTACATGTGTAAATTCCATTTATAATTGTATTAAACACTTTTAAGAAATACTCATAGATGGCGCTTTTTAAATTACTGAGCAAGATGCGTTAGATGGCGACACTTACTTTTCAAAATGCGGAATATGCGTTAGGTGGCGCCACTGAAAAGTACATGTGTAAATTCCATTTATAATTGTATTAAACACTTTTAAGAAATACTCATAGATGGCGCTTTTTAAATTACTGAGCAAGATGCGTTAGATGGCGACACTTACTTTTCAAAATGCGGAATATGCGTTAGGTGGCGCCACTGAAAAGTACATGTGTAAATTCCATTTATAATTGTATTAAACACTTTTAAGAAATACTCATAGATGGCGCTTTTTAAATTACTGAGCAAGATGCGTTAGATGGCGACACTTACTTTTCAAAATGCGGAATATGCGTTAGGTGGCGCCACTGAAAAGTACATGTGTAAATTCCTATTAAAAATACTCATATTTGACACTGTTTCAAATAATTTTGAACTAAGCCAGTGGAAAATAGGCGGATAACATTTTTCGTCGAGGCCTTTTTTCAACGCGGTACTCTGATGAGCTAAGAAAATACTAGAAAAAATACTTGAATTCCCGCGTGAATTTGTATAAGCCAGACAAGAAATTTAAACTTTCGCTGTGTTCGTGCGGAAGCGATTGGAAACGAAAACGCCTTTTTGGCATAAAAACAGTAAGTATTTAAGAAAGTAAGTCAATGTAAATAATTTATTTTTGGCCCAGGTTCTGGACTCTTTCGATCCAAACGATGCAGACTCCATTAAAGTAACACGAGAGTTGTTAAAAAATTATTAATATTACACTCAAAATCAAAATTACCATTAATTTTTGAAAATCGCCATCAAAACTTTCTTTGACTAAATACAAGAAATTGATTTCAAAAGTCAAGAAAATTTTCCTTGAATCAAGAACTTAAATGTAGGAAATGGTTGCCACAAACTAGAAGCGTACTAAGAGCAAGAAAAAGTTGCCCTATATGTTAGAAAAATAGAAAGACTAACAAAAAAATAAAATTGTTTTGTATTACCTTTTCTAAAAATGATTACCCTAACCCTAAAAAATTTAAATATTTTCTAAAAAATGGAAATATTTTCTGAAAAATATATATATTTGTTTTTGCATAATCTGTCGTACTGAAATATTCAATTTCAGAACTTGTCAGCGGCCGGTCTGCTGATCGGTAACGCAGACGGTTAAAGCGTTTGGTTAAAAAAAAAAGTGACGCAGGTTCGAGTCCCAATGACACCATTTTAATTTTTCTATTCATGTTTTTTTTACCAATTATTTTTTAATAGCAGTTTTCGTTGGAAAGTATATAACGGAAACTATCAGAGCCAGAGAAATGGGATTTCAGATTTAGATTTTGTAGCTTTGTACGCAACGCAAGTTTACTACGCGAATATGCCCGTCCACTCTAAAGCCCACAAACCACCCAAAACTGTGGCGCACACAGTTTTAGTTCAAGAAAAAATATATTAATGCTGCCGCTCCATTATCATACTCGTATATTGAGATCGCGGGTAGGTATCGCATTACAATCTCGCTTTGCTGCTTGTATATGTCCTCCTTTTTTTGGTCCCTTTAGCTGAGTTACGGGTGTCTGATAGCCGAGGCCCTCGACTATAGAGTTCTTCCTTCTTATACCCCTAGAGAGGGTATAATGATTTCAGGCAGAAGTTTGCAACGCAGCGAAGGAGACGTTTCCGATCCCATAAAGTATAAATATTCTTGATCAGCATCACTAGACGAGTCGATCTAGCCATGTCCGTCTGTCCGTCCGTTTGTACGCAAACTAGTCTCTCAGTTTTAAAGCTATCGGGACTAAACTTTCCCAAAAATCTTATTTCTATTACAGGTAGTATATAAGTCAGAACGAACCGGATCGGACTACTATATTCTATAGCTCCCTTAGGAATGACCAAAAAAATATTTTCTTTAAAAATTTTAAAATTAAAATTTTTGGTGTTTTTTGACATATTAACTTTTGTTGGAATATCGTTCTTTTAATATTTTAGAATTTCGAATAAAATGTAAAATCAATACAAAGCGGACTACTTCATCATATAGCTGTCATAGGAAAGATCGGATAATTAATGTCAAAAAAATACATAGACCGTTATATTTCGTTTTCGGTAAACATACACGGCAGTAATTTAAAGTGGAACATAAGCCTACAATTTTTAAAATTAATTTATAGTTTTCTAGAAATCGGAAAGCTCTTTACATAAAATGCTCTTACGGGAACGACCGGCCAGGGTATAGAAACATCGGCGTGCAGAAGTTAGCTTCCTTTCTTGTTTTTATTGATGTTTTTGATGAAAATATTCGTATCACCAGCGGTAAAGTTGAGTTATTAGTTACACATATATAAATTAAGCCATTTACACAATTTAATCTTTACAATGAACTTACAATGCTACATTTTGCTAAAACGCTTGTCTGCTTTCACAGAGAGAACGAAAAATACCAAAGCTGGTCATCAATCGGGTATTTTTGAATATCAATTTTGGTCCCTTATGTTGCCATATAATATTGATATTTTCAGACATATCAAATTGATATTTTCGAACACATCAATAGGAAATTTTTCATACCAGATTGACATGCGCACATATTAAACTTGTGACAAAACGATGGTACCAGTATGGTATTTTTCAATATCAAACTGATATTCTTTCATATCAAACTGATATTCTTTCATATCAAACTGATATTATTTCATATCAAACTGATATGTTTGTAATATCAATATTAGCCCGTTTGGAATCCTGGTCGGCATCCTGGCCAGCCATTTGACTTTGTTGTAGTGCAGTGGGTGTAGTCTAGCCACCAAGAAACACATTACAGTGTCCAAGAAGTAAATAAACATGAAGTCATAACAATCTAATTTGAGATACTACCACTTGCAAAATAAAATAAACAGCGCAAATTGTTCCACTTATATATGAAAACTGTTCTTTGAATGTCAGAGTGAAGCGGCAATTCAGTCGAAAAATCTTTCATACTAAGTACCATTAATACACAAAAAATACCAAGACACTGTCGTACTTTTTTTCAAAGATTTTTCGATGCTAAAGCCTAGAACTCAGATCGGCTAAGAGTTTCACTAGTCGAAAAATAGTGTCTGTCAAATTAGCGTCGGTCTGTTAGCAACGAAAGTGGAATGGTGGAATTTGGAACATGGGGGCGCTTTTTATTTTTAAATTTTCTCGCTATTTGGGGACTAAATCGAAAAATCTAAAATGCTTGATTGTTTAGAAAGAAAAGATCTATCGATCTAGGTAGGTTTGGGACACATCCGAGGCCTATTAATATTTCAAAAATGCATTTGAAAAATCGTGTCCCTACAATTTTGTTAACTGCTCCCCTCACAGAGGTTGTGCCAATATGCACGATAAGCCAAGCTGTTAAGGGTTAACTCAAGCTCCTTGTCTGAAAGTTTCATCAAAATCAAACCCACAGTTTTCGAGAAAATTGCCTAACAGTGACGCAACCTCGGATTTTCCCCACACAAAAAAGGGGGCAAAAATTAAATTACCTACGGCTCCACTCCTAGAGGTTGTGCCAACAAGTTATATGGGTAGATAGGGGATAATCTAAGGAGTGTTCTGTGAAAATGTTATCAAAATCAAACCCATAGATTTTGAGAAAATTGCTTTACAGTTGGGGGTGTAAGAAAGGTTAATAAAAGACCGATAATCCAGAAACCGAACCATTGGATACTAAGACGTGAACCACAATGTAATTGCTTAGCCATGACAATCATCCGACGCTAACTTTTTATAAGTTTTTACAACTTTCACAGGGTTGTGCCAACTTGCACGGTACCGCATTCGAAAGGGCATAATTTTAACTACCTTTTGAGTTAATTACAGGCAATTCAAGCCCACAGTTCTCGAGAAATTCAAGTCTTTTCAATTATGGCTTTTCGCACGCGGTCACACTGTCCAGACCAGCGAGAAAGCGAATTCAGCCAAGACATTTACCACAAAAAGGTATTTATCGATACATCGCCAAGTGCCAGGCTACGACCTACAACACTTAATTGAGCCAATCGACTACTTTTGGTCGCCAAATATTGAAAAATATATATTTTTTATATCAAATTTTCATTGTGATATGTATGCACCCCCTAATTGGTATTTATTTCCTGATTATTTTAATGTATAATTCATCGAAATCGAGCCAGTGGTTTGGTAGAATTTAACATTTTATTGATTAAAGAAAAATATAAAAATTCCCTAGTTGCTATTGTGGAGTTGCCGTACTGCCGAAAACAATCCCCGTTACTTTTTGCGGGAACTTCATAAAAGATGGCACGCCAAATATCAATGATTAAATGCGTAAGTTTATTTTTGATTTTACTTATTAATTATATTAACAATAAAAATTAATTTTTCAGACAATCAATAATTTTTATCTGGGCGATTCCCAGACGGAGCCGCAACGTCGGCGGCAGAAGG